CTTTCTAAAAATCGATTTGACTGCTCTTTACAAATTATTATTTACCTTCAATAAAATTATCCTGTACCTTCAGTATCAATTCCTAATGAGTCCATATTAAAGGATTTGTCAAGATTAAGAAAGAGTATAAAACACTAGGCTCTTCCAAAAACTATTCTCTTATCTATATATATATGTATATATATGTGATAGAAACACATTTACTCATAATGAACGAATGTATTTACCGGCTTTAATATTGTAGAATATTTTCAAGATCGCCGCGTTGAATATCAATTAGCTGTTGGGCATGTTGTTCAATAATATGTGTAAAGACCTCTCAGTGTCGTATTTGTGCTTGAAATGTTTGCTATTAATAGTCGCTATTTTTAGTCGCTTACGAATATACATTGTACTTGCCAATGATACTTTGTAAGTAAAATCTAAAAACCAATTTAAGGTTATATGGCGTAACAATTACAATTTGTTGTGATATATTGTGCTCTGCCAACGTAATATTTGTGACTTTTGACTATTTTGTAAATAAAATCGATCCATTTTATTTGGCATTGCTCCGAACTGATATTGATTCGAATCGCTCCTATTAGGAATTCTAAACCTCACATCTGTACTCGCAAATTAATTCATCTTATAACTTCAAGATATATATTTTAAAGATCCAAATACCAGCTATGAAGAACGTATTTATTTTAATAGCCATTGGAGTTGTGTTTGCTACCATTTACAGTGGTGCTATAGCTGAAGATGACGACGATCAAGGAGAGAATGGAATTGAGCTCGACATTCTCGGTCATACTAATCAAAGGAGGATGATCGAGTAAGAAATTTCTGTACACGACTATAGTCATGTAATTGATATTTTTTTTAGTATAGAATCAGTTGAATATTGTATTACTGTATTCAATATAGTAGTGTATATTGCTATTATCAAACAATTCGCTATAAAACTTGAATCTAAATTCGTCGATTTTGAATTTAAATCAAGTATAATACTAAAATGCATTGGGTGAGAAATATTTAGATTAGTTGTTGAAATAAGACAATAAGTAAACATAGAAACTTATTAATAATCGGATGAGATTATATTTGCTTGAGGAGATCCAAAGTTTACATTATTTTTACAGAGGCGCCTCGTGGAAAAGAAAGAAGCGTGATATTTTATTCCCGAACAATGAAGGTACTAAACATTTAATTTATGAAATGTAGCGCCATAATATAAAAAGGGCACAATCGTTAAGTAGCTCATGTATTTTATCCAGAAGCGTGTAAATGTTTATGTAAATCTGATAATATCTTGCTGACGACAAGTATGGTGTTCTTTCATTTATGAAAGCAATTTGGGGAGATTCCGATTTTCAATATTTGCGCTTTTTTGGAATATTTTTTTGTTATTTAAATAATCATCCGTGCGTTTTGGCGTAAATGAGACAAAACGTTTATCAAATAAATCCATGAAATGAAGTAAATATATAATTTTATTTCAGATGATATTGCTCTTTTCCGTTGACTGTTTAAACAGCAAAATCAGAAAAATGCAACAAGGACCCATCGTTTGTCACATATACAGTAATGCTATTGTCATTTCAATTTGACGAAAATTATAAATTTATTATATATATATATATAAATGAATTGTATTTCTTGATACACCGGTCGGGTGGCAGGCTACATCATTAGAAAGTGCATTATACAGTGGTAAACTAATTACTATAGAATAGGGAAAAGGATCAAATAATTGTATCAATATATAATTTCGTGCTTTCGCGTAAAATCGTAAATGTGAATAACAGGTAATAATCAACGTAACAAAAATTACAGTAATCAATTAATAATTTGACTCAAAGCAGTTCTGAACGCCCATCGACAAGAATGATCACATAATGATTATAATTATTAAAGAATACAGATTTTTTATAAATGCAGCGACTGACTTAGAATAGCTTCTTCCATACCTTGTTCCATAAGAGGTCTTACGCGATATCAGTGAAGATTGTCTGCATGCGGTCGCCTGATTCGGTTACAATTAACTAGAATTTGAAATCAGAAAGCGACTTTTTTGGTCAGATGTGAATGCGATTTAGTGGTAAGAACGTCAATGATATATCCCCGTTTTTAGCTTTTCTATGGGTAATAAATTCGAATAAGTAGCTGACAATGGTCTCGATCTGACAACATTCTTTACACGTGCACCTGCAGGCTAAACCTTCTATGTTTTCGGTTGAATTCGGTTTGTCGACAGAATGGGTTTTAGGGAGATATATTTCCAGGAGTTAGGTCTGTGACCTTAGTTAGTTCCACTATCTTTATATCCCTGTATCGCACCGATGCGTTCGTTGTTCCTCTCTCCGTTGCGTATCGGTGTGCAGGTAACGTAACGTTGAAACGTACCGGTGTCGCAATTTGCATAACGATGTACTTTCGTACTTTCGATAGTCGGGTGATTGTTAATAGATTTTCCCCACCTGTTCAACTGACTGCGGGGTGGAAGAATTTATTGTTTTTGCCAAAGCAAAAAACATACGTATATAATATAACGATGTTAATGATTACCTCAAATTTGTGATAAGGGAGTTGATTCCTTTTGCAACAACATACCTTCATGAAGCAAGATTTAATACAATGGCTGTACTTTGAACAAAAAAAACAGAAAAAGTTTGAATGTTGAAGATGACATGCGGTTGTGCCTAAGTAACATCACACAAAGATTCCAAAAACTGACAACGATGTACAGGCGCATCGTTCTCATTAACATAATTGGATAATATGTACTCATTTTTAAATTGATGTGGAGTAGAAATATTTAGTTTTTATAAGAATACCGAATATAGCGCACATGTCCAGCGCCAAATGTATAATTATTTATACAAATATTATGTCCCAATTTTGTGGGGGCTTAAAACGGATGAGGGCATTTACAGGTAAAAGCGTCTCTACTTACAAAAATTTCTGCCTACAAAGGGGCTTCAGGAACGGATTAATTTCTCAGGTAGAGTTTCTATCGTATCCTTTTTGTAGCGGGATCGTGAATATGTGTAAATGTTGATTTTACGAAAATTGGGGTCGCGGAAAAAAAAGTTAGGAAACCACTGTGCTATATGATCATGTGGCAATGATAAATAATAGAGTTATTAGACAAATATATGGAAACAAAGATACCGTGACCCACATCGTTACACAGAAATCTGTTGTTTGATGATGAAAAGTACAACTACTGTAGAAGTTATCATTATTGACGCCCTATCTGATCAACAGGCCTGGAGATTGAAGTCAGAGACAACTTTTCGAATTTTCAGTTGGATTACTTCAGATGTTTTGAGAGACTTCAATACGCAGTGAAAAAACAAATTTTTTCGATGGTAATAAACAATAATTAGGCACGAAGTACTCGTTGTGAAAATCTGTTACTGTTGTCCGTCTTGACTCACAAAATAAATAATTCTTAGAACAAAAATATTAGACAAGTTGTATTCCAAATTTTTTCTGCATTGCACGCCAATTACCTAAGTACTTTCGAACAGAGAAGATTACGTTTCACATTTGAATCAAACAAATATTGTAGAAATATTGAACTTAAATGTCCTATCAAGTTTGCGAATAAACGCGAATTTTCATTTAATAGAACAAGGACTTGTTTATTTCGAGCTGAGTCTTATGATAGTCCTCCTCATACCATATTACCATGGAAAATATTATATAAATGGATATTGTTTTATTAAGATTGTCACATTATTCACAAAATCCAGAAATGATTTGGTCTCCTCGCATGCTTCGGTGAAGGATAATAGCATTGAGGGGAGAAAGCATGCATTTTTTAAAACTTTGATTGAATTTTGATTCCTAAGTACGTCGCAGCTCTTCCGATGTGTTTGTTTTTAAATAGAGTTCCTCGTCCACTATGATTAATGTTGGGTGTTTAATCAGGTTGTTATAATTCTGGAATATTTTTTTTCGGGTTTATGAGGAAAAGGTGATCCCAGCTTACCCGTCCAAAGTGTTTACCCGATCTTTGACCCGCAGAAAATTCTAGGACGGGGTTCTTCACGGATCTCATAAACCGATTTTCGGGCCCCTTAGCGGTCCGCAGAACCACTTTGAAAACACCACCGGATTATAGGAATCCTGAATACGTTGAATGACGTGATGATTAGCAACCCGACGGTCATTCTCCAAATTTCGTACAAAGCAAGGTTTACGAGCACGTAACTGTGTCTCTCAAAATCGCAACATCGAAATCACTCACGTGCGATACATGAAATATCTTGTACACACTTAACGCACGGCCAGATACATGTTCTCCAAATCTTATATCCTTGGACAAAACCATTGTCTGATTAATAAGCTTTGTAAGTATAGGCAATTCCGTATGTGATGTTATAGTACCGGTACACAAGGATGTCTTCAGTTACTGGCCCCACCAAAATATGCACAAATGGCTTATAATTAACTTTTGAGATCTCTTGGTGACTTGATTGCGTATGAAAGTCGATAGAAAAATATGGCTCTCTCGGAGTAGAATGTCCTTTTGCTATTCCTCGCAGTGAGAAATCGATATATGGGTTTTTCTCAGACTGCCATTTATGGATTAAATAGCAAATAATTAACTACGTAAAGTAAATATTCACTTAGTGTATACATCTATTATAATCATACCGTACTGTAATTACATGTTATTAATTCGAAACGTAATTGCTTATGTTAAAATACATGTACTTATGCAACAATGCATATCATACAGTGCTATTATATTGTCAATATATGGTCAATTTTTTAATTTCCTTCCTAAAAATCGATTTGACTGCTCTTTACAAATTACTATTTACCTCCAATAAAATTATCCTGTATCCTTCAGTATCAATTCCTAATGAGTCCATATTAAGGGATTTGTCAAGATTAAGCAAGAGTATAAAACACCAGGCTCTTTCAGGAACTATCCAAAAACTATTCTCTTATCTATATATATATATATATATATATATATATGTTATAGAAACACATTTTTCATAATGAACGAATGTGTTTACCGGCTTCAATATTGTAGAATATTTTCGAGATCGCCGCGTTGAATACCAATTAGCTGTTGGGCATGTTGTTGAATAATATGTGTAAAGAACTCTCAGTGTCGTATTTTCGAAATGTTTGAAATGTTTTGAATTTTTGAAATGTTTGCTATTAATAGTTTTTTAGTCGCTTACGAATATACATTTTTACTTGCTGATTATACTTTGTAAGTAAAATCTAAAAACCAATTTAAGGTTATATGGCGTAACAATTACAATTTGTTGTGGTATATTGTGCTCTGCAAACGTAATATTTGTGACTTTTGACTATTTTGTAAATAAAATCGATCCATTTTATTTGGCATTGCTCCGAACTGATATTGATTCGAATCGCTCCTATTAGGAATTCTAAACCTCACATCTGTACTCGCAAATTAATTCATCTTATAACTTCAAGATATATATTTTAAAGATCCAAATACCAGCTATGAAGAACGTATTTATTTTAATAGCCATTGGAGTTGTGTTTGCTACCATTAACAGTGGTGCTATAGCTGAAGATGACGACGATCAAGGAGAGAATGGAATTGAGCTCGACATTCTCGGTCATACTAATCAAAGGAGGATGGATCGAGTAAGAAATTTCTGTACACGACTATAGTCATGTAATTGATATTTTTTAGTATAGAATCAGTTAATATTGTGTTACTGTATTCAATATAGTAGTGTATATTGCTATTATCAAACAATTCGCTATAAAACTTGAATCTAAATTCGTCGATTTTGAATTTAAATCAAGTATAATACTAAAATGCATTGGGTGAAAAATATTTAGATTAGTTGTTGAAATAAGACAATGAGTAAACATAGAAACTTATCAATAATCGGATGAGATTATATTTGCTTGAGAAGATAGAAAAGTTTACATTATTTTTACAGAGGCGCCTCGTGGAAAAGAAAGAAGCGTGATATTTTATTCCCGAACAATGAAGGTACTTAAATACATTTATTTATAAAATGTAGCACCATAATATAAAAAGGGCACAATCGTTAAGTAGCTTATGTATTTTTTTTCTAAATCGTGTAAATGTTTATGTAAATCTGATAATATCTTGCTGGCGACAAATATGGTGTTCTTTCTATTATGAAAGCACTTTGGGGAGATTCCGATTTTCAATATTTGCGCTTTTTTGGAATATTTTTTTGTTATTTAAATAATCATCCGTGCGTTTTGGCGTAAATGAGACAAAACGTTTATCAAATAAATCCATGAAATGAAGTAAATATATAATTTTATTTCAGATGATATTGCTCTTTTCCGTTGACTGTTTAAACAGCAAAATCAGAAAAATGCAACAAGGACCCATCGTTTGTCACATATACAGTAATGCTATTGTCATTTCAATTTGACGAAAATTAGAAATTTATTATATATATATATATAAATGAATTGTATTTCTTGATACACGGTCGGGTGGCAGGCTACATCATTAGAAAGTGCATTATACAGTGGTAAACTAATTACTATAGAATAGGGAAAAAGGATCAAATAATTGTATCAATATATAATTTCGTGCTTTCGCGTCAAATCGTAAATGTGAATAACAGGTAATAATCAACGTAACAAAAATTACAGTAATCAATTAATAATTTGACTCAAAGCAGTTCTGAACGCCCATCGACAAGAATGATCACACAATGAATAAAATTATTAAAGAATACAGATTATTTATAAATGCAGCGACTGGCTTAGAATAGCTTCTTCCATACCTTGTTCCATAAGAGGTCTTACGCGATATCAGTGAAGATTGTCTGCATGCGGTCGCCTGATTCGGTTACAATTAACTAGGATTTGAAATCAGAAAGCGACATTTTTGGTTAGATGTGAATGCAATTTAGTGATAAGAACGTCAATGATATATCCCCGTTTTTAGCTTTTTCATGGGTATTAAATTCGAATAAGTAGCTTGGTCTCGATCTGACAACATTCTTTACACGTGCACCTGCAGGCTAAACCTTCTATGTTTTCGGTTGAATTCGGTTTGTCGATAGAATGGGTTTTAGGAAGATATATTTCCAGGAGTTAGGTCTGTGACCTTAGTTAGTTCCACTATCTTTATATCCCTGTATCGCACCGATGCGTTCGTTGTTCCTCTCTCCGTTGCGTATCGGTGTGCAGGTAACGTAACGTTGAAACGTACCGCTGTCGCAATTTACATAACGATGGATAGTCGGGTGATTGTTAATAGATTTTCCCCACCTGTTCAACTGACTGCGGGGTGGAAGAATTTATTGTTTTTGCCAAAGCAAAAAACATACGTATATAATATAACGATGTTAATGATTACCTCAAATTTGTGATAAGGGAGTTGATTCCTTTTGCAACAACATACCTCCATGAAGCAGGATTTAATACAATGGCTGTACTTTGAACAAAAAAAACAGAAAAAGTTTGAATGTCAAAGATGACATGCGGTTGTGCCTAAGTAACATCACACAAAGGTTCCAAAAACTGACAACGATGTACGGGCGCATCGTTCTCAATAACATAATTGGATAATATGTACTCATTTTTAAATTGATGTGGAGTAGAAATATTTAGTTTTTATAAGAATACCGAATATAGCGCACATGTCCCAGCGCCAAATGTATAATTATTTATACAAATATTATGTCCCAATTTTGTGGGGGCTTAAAACGGATGAGGGCATTTACAGGTAAAATGCGTCTCTACTTACAAAAATTTCTGCCTACAAAGGGGCTTCGGGAACGGATTAATTTCTCAGGTAGAGTTTCTACCGTATCCTTTTTGTAGCGGGATCGTGAATATGTGTAAATGTTGATTTTACGAAAATTGGGGTCGCGAAAAAAAAAGTTAGGGAACCACTGTGCTATATGATCATGTGGCAATGATAAATAATAGAGTTATTAGACAAATATATGGAAACAAAGATACCGTGACCCACATCGTTACACAGAAATCTGTTGTTTGATGATGAAAAGTACAACTACTGTAGAAGTTATCATTATTGACGCCCTATCTGATCAACAGGCCTGGAGATTGAAGTCAGAGACAACTTTTCGAATTTTCAGTTGGATTACTTCAGATGTTTTGAGAGACTTCAATACGCAGTGAAAAAACAAATTTTCTCGATGGTAATAAACAATAATTAGGCACGAAGTACTCGTTGTGAAAATCTGTTACTGTTGTCCGTCTTGACTCACAAAATAAATAATTCTTAGAACAAAAATATTAGACAAGTTGTATTCCAAATTTTTTCTGCATTGCACGCCAATTACCTAAGTACTTTCGAACAGAGAAGATTACGTTTCACATTTGAATCAAACAAATATTGTAGAAATATTGAACTTAAATGTCCTATCAAGTTTGCGAATAAACGCGAATTTTCATTTAATAGAACAAGGACTTGTTTATTTCGAGCTGAGTCTTATGATAGTCCTCCTCATACCATATTACCATGGAAAATATTATATAAATGGATATTGTTTTATTAAGATTGTCACATTATTCACAAAATCCATAAATGATTTGGTCTCCTCGCATGCTTCGAAGAAGGATAATAGAATTGAGGGGAGAAAGCATGCATTTTTTAAAACTTTGATTAAATTTTGATTCCTAAGTACGTCGCAGCTCTACCGATGTGTTTGTTTTTAAATAGAGTTTCTCGTCCACTATGATTAATGTTGGGTGTTTAATCAGGTTGTTATAATTCTGGGATCTTTTTTTCGGATTTATGAGGAAAAGGTGATTCCAGCTTACCCGTCCAAAGTGTTTACCCGATCTTTGACCTGCAGAAAATTCTAGGACGGGGTTCTTCACGGATCTCATAAACCGATTTTCGGGCCCCTTAGCGGTCCGCGGAACCACTCTGAAAACACCACTGGATTATAGGAATCCTGAATACGTTGCATGACGTGATGATTAGCAACCCGACGGTCATTCTCCAAATTTCGTACAAAGCAAGGTTTACGAGCACGTAACTGTGTCTCTCAAAATCGCAACACCGAAATCACCCACGTGCGATACATGAAATATCTTGTACACACTTAACGCACGGCCAGATACATGCTCTCCAAATCTTATATCGTTGGACAAAACCATTGTCTGATTAATAAGCTTTGTAAGTATAGGCAATTTCGTATGTGATAGTACCGGTACACAAGGATGTCTTCCAGTGAATCAGTTACTGATCCCAGCAAAATATGCACAAATGGCTTATAATTAACTTTTGAGATCTCTATAACAAATTTTCCACGGAGTAGGCAAACACCAAAGCGAGACTATTTTACCTTGAATTCCTACTAAGAACACGCCAAACTGCCCACAAGGGTAATTTTAGCCTCGTTAATTTTCTAGCGCACAAAAGAAAGTTGGCGAATGGCAATTTCTTGAGAAAATGTGAGAAGGCATTGTACGAGGTTCCCGTTCATTTGAACCCACGACAATTGCACCTATGAAAATTTTTTTGTTTTGCGGATATTTGAACCCATACTGACCCTAACCCGTGGGTTTTAGCACAGGCATATAGATTGAACACGCGGATATACACATGGGTTCAAATGTAGGTCACCATTGTACGAGACGTCGGATTGGCACGAAATAAATCTCTCGAATATTTTCGATATTTCGTAAATGAAAAAGTTGGTGCTGCACGTCATACTAGGTTTGAAATTAGTTTCGATCTCTTTATATATTCATTTATACACCACATTATTTTAATCTATACTGGGCGCGTATTTGGAGATGAAATGAAATAGGCGTGAAAATGTGCGACTATTATGGAGCCCTTATCATGTTCACATATAAGGTAAAGATATCAGTGGTGCATTTTTGCTATTTTTACCTATTCCAACTTGCCCCAAAGTCCATTTCCTAAATCTTTAGTTCGTGGAATGCTTCAAACGTTTGCACTTATTTGTATATACGGTATATATATATATGCAGTGATGAGCTGGAAAAATCGTAACAACCGTAACGCGCCTAATTCGTGTATGCAATATATTTACAACACGACGCGGACGCTGGCAGAAATTTTTGTCTGTCCCAAAATAGAGCCGAAGAACTACAATGAAATATGAATTCATTATCTGAAATATGTCTGTGTATAATTACAAGAATATTCATACCAATTCAATACAATGTAACAGGACAAATTTTCACGGAGTCAAAGGTCGGCGAAAATTCACTACATGTTACTGCTGTACTAACTAATTGTTTGCCGCAATGTAAAATGAATTATTACGTAACAAAACGTAAGTTAATAACTGAGTTTACCAGAGAAACTAAACTTTCCATGACATAATTTCATTTCAACAACAGGGACGCAAATGCAATAAAATGTCCAGCAACCGGAACGCCGTTCCAGTGCGTTCCGGCTACAGCTCATCACTGTATATATGTATATTTCTAAACTTAAGCACGAATAAGAATCACCCAGATTGTATGACTAAGTCTAAATACTGCACGGTGGTTCCGTATAATAAATGATAGTATAACATTGATTCATTTCCATCTGTTATAGTCAGTATCAAAGATACCAAATACTAGAGGTAGGAAATTGAAGTTTATAGGAATTGTGAATTTAAGTCTTTTCTCTTCTATTTAAGGACTGTGGCAGCTTCATCGAAATCCTGTTGACCCTTATTCAAACATTCGTTTTTCAGTGACATAACTGGGGAAATCCATCCATGGTCGACGAGAACTTTCGAAATATTTTGTAATTGAGCAACTGTTATTTGTGGTGTATTAAACTTGGCAAACGCTTTCCAGCCTATACAAAAAATTACAGTTTGGTTAAAAAATTAGATTTTAGATATTAAAAAGCTAGCATAATTTTTAAACGAATTGTAACTTCCGTGTTAGGAAGGAACGTAAACTTCTTTGTATCAGTTATTTCTAATTTATTTTCATTTATTGTTTACCTCCTTTGTGGCAAGTAATTGTAATCATATAGGTTTCATAATCAGTGAAAAATGTCCAGTCGTTGGCAGCAAAATCATTAGCCTCTGCAACAGTAATAAATTTTACATTATTCATTATAATACAATGAAGAGAAGTAAAACAACTGACATCACCAAGCAAGTGATGTTGTAAGCGTACAAACCATTACGCTCATATTGACATGTATCTCATTGCGTCATTCCAATTATTTTTTAGTTGCATCGGTTTCTGAGATACTCATAATATCGACATTCATAAGCTTTTTACAGTACATTTTATTCTGAATATTACATATGATTAACTTAATTTAACGTTTGTTAGAAGAGCGCTATTTTTGTACTTTGTCCATCTATTATTCATTTCCATTTCTCACTACTTTCTATGTTCTTACTATCTAATCGAATTCCCAATTTGAAATGCTCATATTTTGCCAGATATGAACACCTGATACGATATAAAAATATACATACCGTTTACTATCATCTCCTTCGTAGATTTTTTAGATTCGTCTAATAAATGGTCATAGGCGGTCAACAAAGAGTCAGCTGAAAAAATAAGTGAAATCAGTTTTTTATCATAGCGTAAATTTCACACAAACTAATTTATTTAAATTCACCTCCAGATAGACGATAAACACCGGGCTTCTGACGGGTGAAGTTCTGGTCTGTTAAAAACTCTGGTTGTTCACTGCAATTTTAAATAAATAATCTTATTATCTTCCGCGAATAACAGTTTTGGTCAGTTAAGAAAAAATTAAACAAAAAATTACTCACCCTCCTACATAGATGTAATAACGAAATGAAATCCCGACTTTAGTAGGAACAACTTCTTTTGCCTCCCAGCAACCAACAGGATAGTCCGTATGTGGGATATCCACAACATCGTACCACCTGCCCGGTCGGACCTAAAATGATTTGCAGGATGACATCAGCATTATGATCATATCAGTAAGAGCAATAAGAATGGTTAATAAGGTTTCCGCGTAGAAAAATAACATCTGGCCACTAAAATTACAATTCTCTCATATTGTTTCACTTTCGGTTGAGACCTTTTTGAAAAAATTAAATAATCAGTTTTTATGGTATCGAGAAGTTATACTCAGCACATTCCAACTATGATACCAAAATTCGGTACTCCCAAAGTATGTGAACTAAGATGGCGGACACCGGTATGTAGTATGTGTACCAGGTTAGGACAGGCGGTTCAAACCCAGGCCCGCGGGCCACATGGTGCCCGCAGCTGCATTATCTGCGGCCCGCGTTGCATTCAGAAGGTAATCAAAAATCGCATTTGGTGTTGTTCCGTCATAAAATTAATCAGAAAAATATTTTGACATATTGTTACATCAGCAATGTCACTGAATTGACTGGTGTTCTGAAACGACTAGCGAAGTTGAATGATGTGCTTGGCAGTCTAAATTGCTATCTGGCTTTCTATCTTTTCGGTCGCGAATATATATGCTAACAATTTTGCCATCATAAAAAACTAAATATCGAATGCGGATTCTATTAGCTTGGCTGGCTATGTCTGACAACCAAATATAGATGGTATGGGCCTTACAATATAATTCTTGCCGGATAAATTGGTAAAGAAAGCCGAAGTACGAAGTTGAATATTGCCGGATGCAGCCAGCCTAAACAGTATCACAAAAAATGCTGCCTATATGTCAGAAAATTTAGTAGTTACCCTCCTGTACCTCACATTTGGTAATCAATCAGTCTGCAGTTATTTATCTGTAAGTTATTCTGTAAACATGAGTTCGAAAAAAAAAACTGACGAATTCAAACAGATTTTTAACTGGATGTGATAGGGAATATACCACAATGCTGCTTGCTTGATATGTCGGCAAGTTGTGTCGGTGACAAAAGAATATAATTTAAAACGACATTTTAGAATCTTGTGAACAATGAGCATTTTCCAAAGTTAAGATTTCGCTTTGAAAATCTTATAGATGTTCGAAAGCACTCACATTTGCGGAAGCACTTTTTCCGTTTTGAAGAGTTTGAAATCTTACACTAAATGTAGATATAAAAAAACTTCTGCAGGTTTTAGTAAGTTTTTTGGTGGTTTTTGCAAGTTTTAGCTTGATAAATGACAAATCCTTATCAACAATTAAAGTGTTTGTTTTGTATTGCACTGTTTACCTATTCTTGACACTATTGTGGCCCGGGAACAATGCAAAGATAATTTCTTGGCCCGGAGCCGACAACCTTGGACCACTCTGGGTTAGGTCATAATTTTATTCCATTTTTCCTTATTTTAGTTTTATTACGAATTCGAGGACTCGCCAAGTGACTCCCGTAGTATTTATACCTGAAATTATGACCTAACCTGGTACACATAATACGTTCCGGCGCCCGCCATCTTAAGGCACATACTTCGGGAGTACCCAAAATTCTTACCCTATTCCAATCGATGTCTTCTTCCGGAGGAATTCCGCATTTCAGGCAATTTGCCAGTACCATGCACATCGACAGAATCAACAGCGTGGACTTCATTTTAGCACGGACTTCAAAAATCTTTCAGAGCAACGTAAAATTCAATAAACCAATACTTTAAAGGTGAGTTGCTTATTTATAGTTTCTTTATATCATATACAAATAGGTTTGTTTCCGTCGCAAACGTTTGCGTGTTCTTTGGATTAAATGCCATGGGTTGGAGTCAAACGAATATCCTGCTCAATCACAAATTTCGGTAGTTGGCATCCCACTTCTTAGTTATTTTTATTTCCTCCGTCTGCAGAGCAATACATTAGAGCAGTACATATCCTGCTCAGTCACAAATTTCCGTAGTTGGCATCCCACTGCTTAGTTATTTTTATTTCCCCCGTCTGCAGAGCAATACACTAGAGCAGTACATATCCTGATCAGTCACAAATTTCCGTAGTTGGCATTCCACTCATTAGTTATTTTTATTTCCTCCGTCTGCAGAGCAGTACATATCCGGCTCAGTCACAAATTTCCGTAGTTGGCATTCCACTCATTAGTTATTTTTATTTCCTCCGTTTGCAGAGCAATACACTAGAGCAGTACATATCCGACTCAGTCACAAATTTCCGTAGTTGGCATGCCCCTCATTCGTTATTTTTATTTCCTCCGTCTGCATAGCAATACACTAGAGCAGTACATCATCAACTATATATTTTATTGTTATACGATAATAGTACCAAAATGCAATATTTCCATGTTTTTGTTTGCAACAAAGACCGTGTCGCATTGCGTGGTATACTTTTATAGCATACATAAAGAATAAAAGCATAAGAAAGAAATGGAAAAATGAACTCAAAGCTACAGGTGTCTATATTGAATATCCGTTATAGTCCCCGCGCAGAAGAAGTGCTGAACGTTGCTCAACAACGCGCGACATGCCCATGTTCATGAAAGAATTAGTATAGAATGACATGCATGACTCAAGTCTATCCAGTGTGTGCATGACGTCAGTGAGGCCACATATAAATAAGGTTGATCGTTACAAGAATTAATATATTGTTATCTCCAGTTTTCAAGTGTGCTTCAAACGAGAATAACGAGAATTTTGACTTTTTCTACGCACCGTAGGTACAATTCCGCGAAAGAAGAAAAGTTTTGCGACGCCCTAGCAAATTTGAAACGACGCACTTGGGCCGGGCGTCGCGACGCCCACTTTAAGAACCACGGCTGTAAATATACAACCATGATAAAGCGTATTTTATTTTTAGTCATAGGAAATAAGTTAAAGTAAAACATCTAATTGAATGAAATTGGTCGAACATTACCAAAGTTTCGGTACCGTGCGGAAAAAACGATTTAGTTTCACACATTCATAACTACTCTACTAAAGCAGCGTTTTATTTGCCTGTAGAAGATATATGTAATGCATACAACAAGTGGAATATTGAATCAAGGTTTCACCACTACATCAAAATTCATGTGATACAATTGTCACCTATCGGTTTGAATAAAAACAACATGAAATGATCTCAATTGCTAAAGCAGGGTTCCCAACCGAGGACCGCCTATAGTTCTATACCATTACACAAAATTCATGTGGTTCAACCCAACACCTATCGTTTACCTAAAAAAACATGTAATCAAAATATGCTCTCAAAAAAAATTATTATTTTGAAATAAAAAATACATCTGGGGCACCTGGCTGTTCCTGGTTGCATTCGATTGGTATCGAAAGTAAGTTTATATACATTCGGAAAGCATTCGCTTTTAATAATTTTTCCCATTGTCCACTGATGTACTGAAGTCGTTACCGTGGTACAATATCAAACTTAACAGGTTTTTGGATTCGGTAGCTAACTTCTGTAATGAAAACAGCACCACGATCGATCGCTACGTAATCATGTTCAGGGGACTTCGTGGTTTCCATAGCCGATGTACTAACGTGTTTCCTAACATCGAAAATTATCTATGTCTCTCACTCTCCTAGGTCAAAACATCAATGGTGTATAGAGGACTTGCACGGGTCACGTGACTTTGTTTACTGGACGGCAAAAAAACAAAAACGTCCATTTGGCTCCTGTCAGTTGCAAGTCGGATTATACGTTTCCGTTTTGTTTGGCTGTTGAAAATGGTTATTTCGTATTGTACCTATAGAGTATAGACAACGAAATGGATCTTCAGTTGTATTCCACTGTTTTCAAAAGATCCGGAACGTCGCGCAATGTGGATATCATCTATTGGCAGGACTGCTTGGTGTCAAGTCCAGAAGTCATCTCGCTTGTGTTTCACTGTTTGCGGACAGCACTTCGTTGATGGTGAGTGATAATGTTCCGTTATCAATTTCTTTAAATATTCATAAGCTTCCTCATTTCAATGGAAAGCAGATGACAAACTACTGTTATTGGTAGGCCTAGGCGTAGGCCTACTTGCAGACTTGTGTAAGGAATTAATCATCAATTGCCATAAGGTATTGTTTCCCTAGTTACGCATACAAGTTAACAGAATTTGTTGAAATGGTCCTGTCTCTTGCCTGTCTTTAAAATCCCTCTTTTTCTAACTATTCTTTTCCTCTCTGGGGATGGCGAAAATTCAAATATTGATGGCTTTTAAAAGCAGCTGATAATGGGTTATCTTTCCTTTTTCCTGAAAAGAAATTAAACACTAATCATCATTTGACAGTGCCAAGTTTGTGTATCGTATCAATAATATATTACCTGCTAACTAACAAAACAATCAGACAACACCTTCTGACCATTAATGAAGATTTCTTTTAATTTAAAACGCAAATATGCCTACCAATGCCGGTAGTTTTTAGGATAGGATTTATCTGGGAGGGGGAGGATTGCAAGGTGCAACATCGTACGATTACCATTCTATGTCGGAATTAGTTAGCCAGTTATTTGTTTTCAGAAGCATGGACTTGGATGGTGGGGGATGGTCGTAACCGATCAGCGGTCGTGTGAACCACCCTCAGTGGGAGTAGAGCTGCAATCCTCTCGTATATAACTATCCCTACATGGGATTGGAACCTGTGAAACTACCAGGGTGATCAGAGATGCGGTGGCAAGCGTATTTCTAGATGGCGAATTCAAATGAATTCTGGTTATTTTTTGCATGGCCCGTGGAGTTAAACTTAGTTATCTATTCAACCTTTCCCACTTAGTAATAGATTACCTGCCAACTAGAGAAACAATACCTTATGGCAATTGGTGATTAATTCCTTACACAAGTCAAGTCTGCAAGTAGCCTAGGCCTACCAATAACAGTAGTTTGTCATCTGCTTTCCATTGAAATGAGGAAGCTTATGAATATTTAAAGAAATTGATAACGGAACATTATCACTCACCATCAACGAAGTGCTGTCCGCAAACAGTGAAACACAAGCGAGATGACTTCTGGACTTGACACCAAGCAGTCCTGCCTATACCGGTAGATGATATCCACATTGCGCGACGTTCCACATCTTTTGAAAACAGTGGAATATAACTGAAAATCCATTTCGTTGTCTATAGCCTACTATACGTACAGCCAACGGAACAATGCGAAATAACGATTTTTAACAGCCAAACAAAACGAAAACGTATAATCCGACTTGCAACTGACAGGAGCCAAATGGACGTTTTTGTTTTTTTGCCGTCCAGTAAACAAAGTCACGTGACCCGTGCAAGTCCTCTATATATCAAAATGGATGACATTTTACATGAAAAGTTGTGACGTCAGAATACGATGTCATATTTTGTAATATACGCCTTGCGTAAAATGTATTGTGGCGCACCAATGATAAAACCGGTGCGCTAGCACAAACAAGTGGTGTACTGTATACATTTTCACTCTAGACCTGAACAAACAGTGAATGAAAAAGCGGATATTATTCATTAAGATAGAAATTCTTATAATATGGTTAGGTCATTATGGACCTTTCCCCGAGCATCGACTTCCTTGTTTACTTCGTGACATTGGCCAATCAGCAATATGCAAAAAGTGACGTAACAATGCCCCCTTTTCGCATCCGCTCAGACACTTTTCTCACTCAGACAGATTTTCAAGCGTGATTGTAAACATTACCTCGTTTTTGCGATTTTGAACTCTATTCGTTAGTTTTCAGTTGTGTTTTGGGAACTTAAATAAAAATCAGATAATTCAATAATCACTCTGTCTTTCTAGGAGTTTTAATTTAATTACAGTAATAAAAATTAGTGTAGAAATAGCTGTGATAGACTAGCCTAAAATTCTTTACCGGTACTTTTAAAAAACAGATTGTTGTATGCGATGAATCATAATGATGGTTTGAAACACATACCCCATTTTACAGACGCCAACTCGCAAAAGCACTCTTAAAATAGCCTTGACAATTTTGCAATGGTAAAGTATAGGGAGAATTTTCCGAGGGTCAAAGGTCGGGGAAAGGTCCATACTTCGTACTTTGGCTTACTTTTCCAAATAAGCTAAATAATGACTTGAATCAAAGATTGATGTCTGGCACAACGGTGTAAAACTAGTTTATATTGTCCGAATCCCATCCTTCCAACTTTGCATGAAATCAAAGTGCTACTTTGGAAGATTGTAGTACCCGTACTATCTCGTTTCAGCCATCATGCCCATTTATTTGAGCCTTGCTCCATTGTTTAAAATGTGAGGCAATCCAGCTGAACTTCAATAGCGAAGAGTTTGTATAATAAATCCTCAGAAAGTTGATTGCAATAATTGGCTCGGCGGTGTGACGCATCGTGCTAAGCGTTAGAAATACTATGAATACTGATTTCTGATTATCCTTACTTGTTTTTTGTAGGGATCCGGTGTGTCGATATGAATATTTCACGGCTCCTATCACCTCCCAAACACCCATAGTTGAAATAGATTTTAAGACCGCGCGGCTCGCGGCTCTATTACCGCAATGCAACGGCCTTGCGATTCATCAAGACAACAACTTTTCTTCGGAGTTATTTGGGTGGTGGTTTTTGTTTTGAAACCATGCATATTCTATGATATATAAATGTTATAAAACTAACTTCTCTGTATAGTTAACTATGTCCCTGCAAGCATACACTCATGCACTCTAGATAGAGCTCACTTTCTGACAGTTGTCTGGTTGTAGACTACCGGTACCGGTACCGTACCTGTGCTAATCAAAATATCGTGAAACAATCAAAATATACACTTTGTAACATTATCCTAAATCGGTGAAAATATTTGTTTTTTCTGTGTGATTATTCTGGAATTTCTGTGACTCTGTCAGCTCAAATTTTTGCAGTTTTACCGTTTCTCTGTTTTGCAATGTAGGCTACTGATGTATTATGCTGTTTTTGCTGGAACCCCTTTAACCATGCTTGTTGATTCCAAATTTCTTTTATTACTGAATTGTTCCTTTTTTGCTGTAGTCTACTATTTCATCTACTTTATTTCACTATTACCTACTGCTGTACTGTATTACAATTTTTCTAATTTCTGTCTGTTCTATTGCATCTGGTGAACTGCAAGTAATCTGTAATTGATTATAAGCGCTACACTGACACGGCATAACGGCACATAGCAAACTTGGGGTCTCATGTAGTTTCGTACCTAACATACTTCTAGTAGCAGAGTATGCGTAGCATAACAATTTTTCATGTGTCAATCCTAACCCCCACCTGACTACGCCATCCAATAATTATGTCACTACGACGTCACAGTAACGTAATAGAGCCCCTCAAACTAAACGAACTGTCATTCAAGACGAGCAAGCACCCAAAATCGAACAGCTTTTTCTCTCGTTTTCTTTTCGCAATGATCCCAATACAGCAATATGGGAGAAATCAATGACGTTAATGAGTTCTTCATCATCGGCGCCGATGCCATTTTAGGAGATCGTACGCATATTTGGCAAGCTCTATGACGTGATTGTGATGTCGAAGTGACATATTTTTGGATGGCGAAGTCAGATGGGGGTTAGGATTGACCTTTCAAAAAATTATTATGCCAAGCTCACTAGAAGTGCGTTAGGTACGAAATTACATGAGATCTGTAAACTTGATGCACACATTTTATAGCGAGAAAATGCGTTTTCGTATCATTCTTACAGGCTAACAAAGAGTATTTGCAACATATAAAAATGATGTAAACACAGAAATATTTTTTATTTTCAGTATAATGACAGTGAATTTTAATGTGTAGGTCCTAGGGTTTGGGATGTCTGTATTACTGGATCAGTAACACAAGGAAATAAACATGACGCAGGAGTCTGAGGAAACTGGTGGAGAATCATGTTGTTGCCTGCGTATGCCAACCATTCCGTTACGATGGCTTCTGTTCATTGAATTTGCATTTACTTTCGGAACAACTATCGTTTATTTTGCTGATATCGTCACGGATATAATCACATTGAAAGCTTATTATGACAGAGAATGGTACTATGCTTTTGGATTCTCTATTGGATTTATTGTGGTGCCTTCAATTTTACTAGCGGTTCTCGAATGTCAATTTCTTCTTAAAATGTTTGGCAAAAATGTGAAGTGGGGAAATGTGATTGTCAGTACATTACTGAACATACCATTTCAGCTTACTGTGATCTGGTATCATTTTAAGCTCTCTTATAGATATCTTAAAGTTTGGCTGAATAATGTACGTCACGAAGAGAATAACCCTATAAGAGAAGAGGATAAAAAAATGTCTATGTCAAATCTCGCCGATTTGGACGACCGTGCAAATACTCTCGGGCGGCGTGCAATAATGTCTGTGGAAGTTCCTGCGTCATCTGATGTTCCTCCTATTGTTTATCCTGGAAATACTGATCAAACATGGTGGAAAGAACTCACTCGTGAAGAGTGGCTTTCTCATTTAAATAAAATGAAATTAATAGAAAGTATGCTCGAATCTCTACCTCAGCTTCTGATCAATTTATACCTGATTGTTTCTTATCAGGAAACACCTATTATACAGTACATATCTGCTACAATATCATACCTCTCTTTATGTGGCGGAATTGTTCGATATGACAAAACACGCAAAGATAATGAAGCCGATCGCTTGATGGTTGATCGCACTTTACTCCACTCCAGAGCTTTTACTACAAGACTAGAGTGGCCACAAATTTTGTTTTTGTCTTTGTACAAGGGATTTTTCTTGGCTGCACGAATACTGGTATTTGTCTATTTCACTGTATATTTCCAATGGTATGTTCTTGTGTTTGTCTTCATACACTGGGCAGTTCTGATGTGTTATCTTGTATACTTATGGTATCCAACTGACATTGATAAAAAGACAAAACAGCTTGTTCAAGCGGATTATAAGTTCAGGGCTTACATGTTTTTGAGTCAAGATTGCTTCAGTGTGTTTCTCAATAGCCTTATAGGCATCTTCGTAAGCGTCCGACCTCAAAATTATGGATTTCTAGGACAACCATATTGCTACCTTTTTTGGTTCTACTTTACATTTATTATCGAAAATATAATTTTATTTTTGATACCTGGAGTTTATTATTCTATTCTTGATGAAGAAAGTATGCTGGTGATTTATCAATATTACATTGTTTTAATCTTTGAATTAACATTGAATGTTTTTGGTGCAGTCCTTTGCACTATTTACTACTTTTCTGTGCACAAGATGAGTGTTTACACAAGAAATGCTTATCCGTCAATTACAAAACTGCAAAAAATATGCTGTTGCTCAGCGATGAACCCTTCAGTACCATCGGACTGGACTGTGTGTAAACAATCTGAGACAAGTGAAATATTTTTCTTGCGGCGTGAAAATTTGAAGCAATACAAAAACAGTTACAACACTGTTGTACGGGGAAATAGACAGCGTGGCAGAAATTTAGAATGTTTTATTGATGAAAGGGGTAAAATATTTTATGCTCCTAGAAGAAAACTCTTTAAAAAACTGCCGACGCCAGAAGAAGAAGAATGGGTTGATATTAGAAGAGGAGCTAGCAAACAAAGCCTCAATGAAATTGATCCTGAGGAATCATCAGCCCGACCAGATTCCAGAACTACTGCTAATGAAAGATTAGTGGGCGAGGATTCAACTTTTGAATTCCTAGAAAACCCTGAAACAGAGGGCCTTCTCTCTTCCACGGTTTCTCCACCTCCTTTACCAAGCACACCTCCTCAGTCATCCACACCAATACCAGAACAAGCTCCTGCATCACTGAGAAGTAGCAGAAGCGCAAGAGTTTCAGACACAAAATCCCAAATACTTCCAAAAAGTGATAGGGATTCTAACAGAAGTAAGAAGAGTCAACGTAACAATAATTCACAGGTTATTCCTGCAGTTCCATCAAGCAGTCCAGGAAATATCCCACTACTTAAACAACAACCAAAAGCGGAAAAATACAGACCAGCATTTTTGGATGAATTCGGCCCAAATACAGTAGATACTAACGAAAAGATGTCCGAAAATTTACCAAGGAAGAAATATACAGATAGAGACAGTGAACGAGGTAGCCATAAATCCTCAAAATCACATAAACATCAGCATGATGTGGGACATTCGTCATCGCGTGAAAATAAATCTCAATCACATAGGTCTCCAGAAAGTTCTAGAAGTAGACATAGCCACATGGATAGTCCATCTCCAAGAAAGAGTCCTAAATCTCCAGAACAGTCGCAACAAAGTGACCATCGGGATAATAAGAAATCTTCAAATCGAGACTCCTCGGGCAGAAGGTTGCGATCACACAGATCTTCTCATTCCTCAAGAAGAGGGGAAACTGAGAAATCTTCTAGTGATAGAAAGAGTCACTCATCTCGATCACACTCCAGAGGTGATCCTGAGGGACAAAGCTGGATATAACCGCAAAAGTAAATTGGATGTTTAAATATCTTCAGAATTATTTATCCTTGATGTAGTAAATTCTTGTTTTGAAAAAAAAAATTCCTTATATTTTTCATTTGAAAAATTATCAATTTTAGCGTTTCACTAACAAAAGTCTAAAAATAGGCTTATTCAATTTCAGGTAATTGGAAACATACTAAATAAAACTTTAAGACAACTGTAGTACCTGATATCTTTTTTTTAATCTTGACTTAATACTATTTCAATACTTTACCTCCAATTGGAATGCTTTTATTTTTCAGTAATGCCACAAAACAAATTAGTGAATTTATTATAACTAATGTTTTTAAAAATAGTATAGTTATTTTTATATCATGTTCTATGAGTCTTACTCCGTCCATTTTCCTTTATTTTAAAATTAGGTCTATTAAGGTAGGTTTTGTATAACTATATTTTCCAATCTCTTCTCATGTTAACTTGTTGCTAAATGATAAGTTATATCTTATCCAAACAAGAATCCTAGTCTGAATATTTTACATGCAAAATATGATTTGCAGTTGTAGATTTGAATATCAATGGGTTCAGAGTTTTTATAAATTTGTATTAGCAATTAATTCTGCCGTCATAACAGAGTTTGTTTTATTATTACTCCAACTGCACGCAACTTGGTTTAGGTAAATTCTACATAAAAAAAAAGTTTTTTATAACTACTATTCTTCTGATATTGCATTTTGCAGCCAACAATGATTGAGGTTTGTTTACTATGACAGCAAGTACATAATTCTCAATGTAGTTCTGCTACCCCATTGTATAGAAGATTCCTATGTAACAAGTTAATCTGTTTTGAGCGTATTCTTATGCTGTCAAGGATAGCCACTTGCTTGCCTTTAAACAATCCATCATTAGCATAATTATGAAACCGTTTGAATATATTTTACATGATTAAATTCAGAACTTCCATTATTTTAGATTACTAATTTTTCTGCTATTTTCATATATCAATACACTTATTTTTGTCTTATACCAAATTTTCAACTGCACAAACCATTAAAAAATGAGCCATTGTATTTTTTTACCCTGTTCATATGATCTTCGTCTTTATGCACAATGATTAAATACCTTCCAATGTTGCCAATGACAACCATTGATTTTTATTTTTCATTCGTGATCTCGTTTTATAACATTTTAATGTCTTCCTTATATATTTGAACTCGTTCAATTGCCAATGGTACTAACAGTGACTTTTATATATATTTTTTTTTAATGATTCTTGTATATGTTTTGATAATTTTTTTCTTGATATCGTGGACCATTGTGAAACTTAAGATATGGCAGTTTTATCACGGAAGACATAAGTCTGTTCTATCTCCCACAAGATAGTTCAAAACAAGTTGAAAATTTTTATATTCAATGTAGAAAATTCTTGCTTTTAGGGAAAATTTTTAGTTTATACTAGTGCCTCATTAGTTGAATGTTTTAAAATGGGATATCAAATATTTGAATTAATTATGTTCGATATTTTCAAATTTGGATTTCAGCAATTATTTAGAATAATTCCGTTTGAAAAGTAATTGAGAACCAACCAAAAATTATTATATGTCTAAACTTTTTTTTTTTTTTCAAATTCAAAATTTTTCCACTTAGAATTTGAAAGTAATACTTTCATAATGTTTTGATAATGGTAGATTGTTTAATTTTTGGCATAAATAACCAGATTCACTTCTCAATAAGAAACACATTATTGACAAGATAAATTATTTTGAAGACAAAATATGTGACTAATTTCATAAACAAATATTTTGTATACCCAAATTTGCGATGTATCTTTAACTCGGCATTCGCTTCAAATTCCGTTTATTGAAATATTTCTGTTATTGTCATAACAGTTATTATTGATCTGTTATGACCTAAATTTTATGATTCCTAAAATGTAATGTTTTGGATATTAGTTAAATGATCATGTAAAATATGATTTAATGTTGGATTTTTTTTACGTTTTCAATATAAAAACTGTATTCACATTTCACCTGCAAGCTCCTTTTCTCCTCACTTACTATCGGTGCTATTTAATCTTTTTTTAATATTGCTATCAATACCTATTTTAGCCACTAGGGGTAGTAATGAACAATAGTGGTCCGCCTCCCACCAAGCGCATGCGCTATTCGGGTGAGGACCTTAAAAAAATTAGTAAAGATGATCTGATTGATCTATATGTAAAACAACAGGATTTATTAGATGGAAATCAAAGAAAATCAAGAGATACAGCTAAAGGTTCGTACTAGTATTTGTTGTTTATAGCAAGAATGTGGATTTGTGAGACCTGAGTTTGGCTTACTGTATTTGCACTTGTGTCAGAGTCCAATTTGCAATCTCAGGAGAAGTCAATATTCTCTTCGAAATCTACAAAATTCACTAAGGCTCACATATGTTGATAAATTTTTGTAAGCAACATTTGCTATTTTTAGTGTCCAGAACTAAAGTTAAAGTCCAATTTTGGACTACCTGGTGTCATGAGTTAAGCTCTTCTTAACTTAGAGTCGGAGCCAAAATTATAACTTTTGACACCATAGCCCTGGTTTATAGTCAATATTTGATTCACCAAATTTTTGTCGATTACCACTAATTTTTGGAATCATGTAAACGTGTATTATATCGAAATCTTCAACTTTTTAACTTGGAATGCTTTTTTGTATATGTATTTTCTGTCACTAATCGGCTAAATCAAATTTGATATTATGTTGAAAAGAACTAGAATAAAAAGTTAGTAAACCTTTATTGTTGGAATTTCTACAAACTTCCATCATTAAAATTTCAATTTTCTGCAGATGGTGGAGATAAAACCAAAAATTCTCTGAGTGAAACAAGTCGACGGGAAAATCTGTTAATGATGAGACTAGCAACAAAAGAGCAAGAAATGCAACAATATGCAGTGAGTTTGGATCATATTTTAGTCTATGTATCTTTACTGTGTCTTACTTATTAAAACATACATAATTTTTCGTATTCTAGGCGCAAATCACTCACATTAAAAAAGCACAGGAAGATGCAGCTGCAAAAAGTTTACGTGAAGCAATGCTGGATCCGGCTATCAATCTGCTTTTCAATAAAATGAAAGATGAACTAAAAGAAACAAAAGATAAACTTGAACAAGCACAAAGTGAATTGAGTGCTTGGAAATTTACCCCTGACAGGTATCTTTGTTTCACCTGTTTGAAGTTGTGAAAATTTTTTTATCTAAAAACTTTATCTAAAAAAATCTAAACTGTAAATTGTTGAAATATTAGTAATGTTTCATCATCTTCGATTCAACAATGTCAGGCACCATCAACTTTGGCACTATCATAGCGAATGGGTATAGTAACTGTCAACTTCTAAATTTGCCCTTTGAGAGATCTTCTGAGTACGTCCCGACTCCTATGTAAAAAAAAGCATCGCCCACCCCTGTGGTAGACGATATCTATTACATTCTATTTATATATTGTTTTATATTTTAACACAAAGTTATTGATCGGCTGCTGGACTACTTTAGTTACTTATTCAATTTTTTTGCAGCCAAACTGGAAAAAAGCTGATGTCACGTTGTCGAACGCTGATTGCCGAGAACCAGGAACTTGGAAAACAACTCTCACAAGGAAAAGTAGCTCAACTTGAGGCAGAACTTGCATTGCAAAAGAAATACAGCGAAGAGTTAAAAGAAAGTCAGGAAGGTTCGTTCGCTTACTTGCAGTTTGAAAATCTACAGTTTCTTACTTTAATCGTAACATGAAAAATCGCCGCAAGAGCATTTTGCTGTAAAACAAGTATTTGTGATAAAAACAGTTTTTTTTTTAATTACCTTTTTATTTAAAAAATATTCATTATTTAAGAGCATACCCTAACCCTATAATCCGAACTGTTTTTATCACAAATACTAGTTTTACAGCAAAATGCTCTTGTGGGAATTTTTCATGCGCCGAATTTTCCTATGCGGCGAGATTTCCTACAGCGAAATTTCGTGTGACGGATTTCCCGGACACGAGTTAATTTACCCCAATTTTATTAAAAATCTTTAATAGAGCTAATGCTATTAAATATTTTGTTTCACAGAGCTGAATGAATTCGTAATTCAACTTGATGAGGAAGTGGAAGGAATGCAGAGTACCATACAACTTCTTCAACAACAATTAACAGACTCAAGGAAAGAATTAGAAAAATATAAGAAAATGACGGAAAATATCGACTTCTCTGAGAATGAGAGAACTAAAGATAAAAATGTGGATATAAGAACGAAAAATCAAATGGAGGTAACGACTTCTCAAAAGGAAATAGGGGACCAGGATTCAAAATATGTTAAAGCTAAGGTTGGTGTGAATGGTATTTATGAAAACCAAATTGGGGTTGACTCGCCGGCTGTTAGTTTTGAAAATAGTGAATTTGTTTGCAAGGAGGAATGCGAGTCCGATGGGGATAATGAAGGGGGTGAAGAAAACCCCATGGAAATCGATAAGTATCAAAGCGGGGGTGAGGGGAAAGAGGGTGAAAATACACCAACATATTCTGAGCATGAAGTGATCGATGAGTCACAAGACTCAACCCCCCTGCATACCCCAGAAAGGGCTTTATCGAATAATGGGGAGGTGGGTGAAAATCAAATGCCATCTAGTATAGAATCAATGGGTAATGATGGCAGTCCAGCCAATGATGAAATGTATGCCGTTATTGATAACGGTAGCGACGATGAAACGGAACACATAGCGCAAATATCTAGCACAAATGATGCGACTGATGAACGTGTAAATGATATATCTTATGAAGATAATAAAGCAATAAGAACGCCAATTAGTGATGATGAAAATCATGATATATTGAATAGTGAAGGTAGTGCCATCATTGAAGATGTTAACGCAGAGCAACACGAACCTGACTCTGTTTCTGACATCATTGAAAACACCATACCTGAAGAAGAAGATGCAATTTCTGCAGCAGAACGAATTCAAGACGCGACCAATTCGGATCCGCTCACTGAACCCACTGCAAAAGTAAACAATTCAACTACTGAGAAACCACAGACCACAGTTTCTAATGCAGATGTGATTTTGGTTGAAAACGACAATGTGCAAAAGCCTTCAACCAATCAAGTTCAACAACTTGTACCTCGATCTGTTCCGAGAACCGAGGTCGTGACACCAACGAACGGACCGCAAACCATGCTGCCGCCTCTTGCACATTCCCTCATGCCACACGCCCATGTTCCTCTTATGGGTGACTCGACATCACCTTACCTAATGAATCCACATTTTCAGCAGTTGCCAAATGCAGCACTGGCCCAACAGCAAGCCTTTTTAGCTGAGCAACAGGCACTCATGTATAAAACCATGCTAGCCCAACATCAGCAACAGCTGACTATGGCAGATGAAAAAAATAATTCAATGCCCGATAGCGCTAATACCCCGAGGACAGGGGAAGAATTAAGAACCATGAACCCACTAATGCATGGGCTACCATATGCAGATCCAGCTGCTGCATTCATGGCACAATACAAGGCTATGTTGGCTGCTCAACAAATGTTTGTTCCAGGGTCTGATGGCAAAACACCTCAGATGTTAACCCCCGGTGGGCTGGGGTTGTATCCTGGTCTCCCTTTAGTTCAACCACCTGTCGTGCCACAACCCACCACTGACCCTGTTACCAACGGTGTTACGACATCGTGGCCATCTTGCACAAACGTAACATATGCGCCCCACCCATTAATGGCGCAGGGATTTCTTGGCGCTAACCCAGCAGGTATGATGCTCTATCCCGGGCACAATTTAACTTCACATGCTGTAACTGCCACTCCGGCAGTTGTTGAAACAGACACCAAGCAGCAACATATCGGGTCTGGGGACCATGGACCTATACAAAATGGATTAACTTCACAAAAGAATACGGACGCGCCTGATACAAACCCAAAAGAAGACACAACTCAAGCGGTAGCGTAATATTGTCTCGCACAGGCTCGAAATGAGTGCTGCAGTCTCTTAAAATAATCTGCCATATTTTCACACATTTTACCATCATATCACATGAAAAGTTTTACAATTATATCCAATAGTACCACAGATCATTTCATGCCAATTATATCAGCCAATTCCATACCTAAATTGTTTCCTAAACCAATCCGCTTCTAAAAATTTGTTTTTATTATGGTTGCACCAGCAGATGATGATTACATACCCATACCTACATGCAGGCAGAGTATTATTGGGCATGTGAGTCCCATATACATATCTATGTTTTACTTGATATAGCTGCTTTTGGGGAAATGCTGTAATGTTATGAAAATTTCCGCACTTTTGAGATAGCGTTAATAAACATACAATACAGCTAGGGTAGGATTTTATTTTATATTTGTACATTAGGCAGTAAGCCGGACCTTAAAAAGTGTATTTTCACATCTTCTTGTTTCCTTATCACTTCTTGAAATGTTCGGATATTGTTATAGCATCAAATCTATCGCAGACTTATTTTTTGTAATTTTATCTAATCAAAAATTGTTAGTAACAGACTGGATGTGTGCAAAAATTGCTTGCTTCCTTTACCATTCTTCTGGTGTTATTTTGCCTGGAAAAATTGGATTTCACACTTTAATGGTCTGGATAATTTATTTGGCTAGAGATCTATACATGTAATGTTACATTAAACTAGTTTATAAATAAATATTAGTACATTATTTTGATGGGGCACAATGTATTTCAAACTCTTATTATTTTCATAATGCATTTAATATTGAAAACTTACAGAACAACTTTGAAACATTATGATATCAAGTCTTTCATTCCTTCTCTTGATTTTAAATTTTGTTTTATGATTTTTTTTTGATGGTTTCTCAAGTTTGGCATTGAAAACTGTGTTGAATTGACAAGGTTAGTAAGTAAATTTGCATTCGAGGCGAAAAAGAAAATTGAACAAATTTTTAATCCTTGCAAAATTGAAAATACTCAAGGTTTAAATGAAAACGATCCATTGTTAGAAGATGTCTGGTACAATCTGATATATATTATGTTTAAGGGAACAATATGTAGATCAGTCTTATTTGAACTAATCTTATTTCGTACAGCAGATTTTTTTATCTTGTGTTCATTTGCTTTCTATTCCAGAATTTAATGATGAACCAATGGTCTGGAATATTTGTTCACTCTGAATGTTAGTAATTTGTCATTTTTCACGACTTATTATTTGGGGTTTTGTAAGGTTTCTAATTAGTATTGTTACATTTTTTTGTTTGAATTATATCATATATTTAGGGTTTTTCAGAAATTTTGTTGAATTGAAATCCTCATCCCTCTTAGAAAGTGATTTTTATAATCCAAACAGCGAAAAGAAAATATTTTGGAATTTAAAAAAATTTGATTGTGAAGAAATTATTATATGTCAAATATCATGATAATACTGTATTTGAACCAAGATACCAAAAAATCCAGATATCACCGATAGACAATTTTTTTTCTTGTTGTAGTAATTTGAATACCCTTTTTGGCATTTTTTGTAATAAAAAAACAACTACTTCGAGTCACATTTTACAATTTCGAAATGGTGTATAACCTCAGCTTTTTAAAATTTACTATCAAATAGGAAATATTTTTCCTGTTAACAACCTGAATAGCAATTAATTACAGTAAGTAAGTCAAAAATACAGAGGTGAGATTTGATGGCATTGTTTTGTATTATGTGATATTATGACTCCTATTGAATCATCTATCAATTTATATTAGTGCTCTGTGTGCACTACCATTGTTTTATTTCAAAGTGAAAATACATCATTACACTTGAAGTTAGTTTGAAAAGTGATATCTCATGATATCCAATATGATATATGATGATATTCAAATATCAACAAAATTTCAGATTTTTTTTTTGACATGAGGTGTTCTCCCATTCCTACACTCTGAAAAAATGGGGTTATATATAAGTATACATTTAAAAATTTGGGATTATCAAAGTTTTAAATGTGCAGCGTAAATACTCCTTGGATGGTTAGGAGAGTGATCACTATATTAGCCCCATAAAAGAACTCATACTTTGGAAGTGCCGTGTGTAAATTGCGATGCTATCATGATTAAGCCAGCATTACTCTGCACATAGTCCTACACGTTCCATTATGTATTGGTAGCAATTTGGTATCAAGTGTGTATTTTTTTTAAGCAGCGAATCTGCGTATTATCATTTTTTACAATTTGTGTGTTTTTGTATATACCTTCCTAAACGTGTCAGTTTTTACACTGCTTACTATGTGAAAAATGATTGGAGGATTTAATTATGAAACAAACCAAAAATAAAGAGCGAAAAAGAAAAACTTTTTCGTTTCATGTTTTATCTTATGTGTATTTTAATTTTTTAGAAAAGAAACACATGATCAGTTGGAAAATTTTGTTGCTGATACCCACCATTTATTTTATAACCACAGCATCTGCCTGCTTCATTCTCACTGATCAAGCTTTACCACTATTTGTTACCAGAATTGAACTAAAAGCTTTTTTAATTTAATAGCAATTTAAAAATGAAGCAGTTGATAGACTGTTTCCAAACAAAAGTTCAAAAATATAATATTGAATGAAATAAGAGATATGGTAAACTCTGGTGAAAAAATCCTACTTGAAATGGTCATTTAAAATTCATGCACATCGAGAAAATGTATCATACGCGTTTGAATTTCTAAACCTTCCAGTGGCTCTCAGAATGACAACTGCTCCTTTCAAGGCAAAACATGAGGATACGTCACATATGGTTCTGTTTAAAGTGCTACCTCAAGATTCCGTGCAAGCGAAGAGAATTCTCAATCTCCAGCGTATCAATTGCAAGCTTGTATACGACTTCATTGATACGTCGATCATCAGGAGACAAAGATACTGGTGCATCTCGGGATATACAAATTCTCTTCAAGCGTCGGCACCTCAGTGTCTTGTCTTTCTCTACTGTTCGCCAAATCATGTTTTTGTCATCCTACGAATAAAGAAATCACTGGAATAGCTGTACACCTATCTAGGAGGCTTCAATGAAGAATTGAGTTCTATGAATTACGTAACAATGGCCATTATCTTACTTTCATGGGCACATTTTATTTTAGCATTAATACGTGGCACATGCACATGTGATTAATGCGTCAATAGTCTGAAAAATACCAATGATTTGTCATAGATATCCCCTCAGATTACATTGCACAGTTAATGTTTTTTTCCTTAAAAATGAGCTCGCCAAAATGGCTAAGTTCATTGTAAGGCAAAATCATTTTTGTTACAGTGCAAAGCACAAGATTATGAAACTTGACAAAATGGCATAATCATGATTGAGTCAATATCCAAATATACCAAACAAAGGTATATCTGCCAGAGGCAAAACATGTGGATGATATGTATTCATTAATATTATAATCCTCAGCCAAAACGGTCGCGATGGGTTGTATCCCTGCACGGTGGCCAAACAAAATATTTCCAACCCATATAAAAATGGAAAACGTACAAGGCTGTATGATCTGTGCACCACCCCGAACCCCAATATTTTCACCACCAGTGTACTTTAGAAAAGGGGTGGGCAAGGTTTTTGGACCAGGGGCCAAAAATTTTGCCCACTCAGACTGGCGGGCCATGTAAGTTTGAAGTGAAAGTTACAGTTCATGAACAATATTTATACAGTGTTGCAAAAGTGAAAACAATGAGCCTTCTTCAATAGCCAAACCTAATGGCAATCTCAACAAATTTCTTGAGCTATTTTTTAGCTGAAACATCAAAATTTGGTTTTAGTTTGGTTGTGGCAGCATCAGGCGGGCCAGATTGAATTACCCAACGGGTCGGATTGGCCCTAGTTTGCCATGTCAGCTTTATAACCAATAATATAGATAGACTTCCTTAAGGAATGGAAGATCCTGAGATCAGCAATTCAATGTTTGTGCATTCAGAAAGAAATATTTGATACCGTGTACTTGATAGTTTGGTTTGAGACTTCTGTAACTGATCCTCAGTCTGATGAAACCATAATAGATGGCTTCCTATGTATAATTATAGCGATTCATAAGCGTCCCATGATCGTTAGTACTAATGTTCTGGCATGAATATTAATGTTCTTGTAGTGGTTTCCCATTTTATCAATATTTCATAAAACCGATTAGAAAATAATATCTATGTTTACCACGATGGCAAAATTTATGAAAGCACTTAATATTTTATTACCACGGTTTTTGTTTTGTCGTGAACACCGACAAAGAAGTAGTGTCGTGAAGGTGGAGAAAATTTTAATCTCACGACTCTCGATTCCAAGATAAAAAAAAATATCAACCACAAAGCTTCGCACATGCTCCAAATTTTCAGTTGAAGCAAGCGTGGGCATGGAAATTCCTTGGCGATTGGTGCATAGTGCAATTCAACGCGTTCGAATACTCTTGCCATCGCGTGAATGATCCGCCAGGCATATTGGGTTAATCAATTTTATTTTGGTCAGTGGTCACTATGAAAGAAACAAAACAACAACAAGCAAAATGCAGAGGACCTTTAGTACGGGCATAACTTGATAAAAAAGTTTAAAACGTACAAGTATATGCCCGTCCACCAAAAACAGTCAAAAGCACACAATAAAATAAAGACGCGATGTAAAATCGGGCAATACCTATAGATTAAATCAATTTTTTTAAACGTGAGACACTGATCAAAAGAAGATCATGGCAATACTTTATACCAGGGGTGTGCGACCTTTTTTGCAGGCGGGCCAAGTATCAATAACTGAGTGAAACCGCGGGCCGCACCGTCATTTAACATAGGCTTTCTATTAGATGCAGGCACGAAATAGCTCATTTTAAAAGTTAATAATTAATATGTCACCGAAAAGTGCCATATTTGAAGCCATTACTCTTTTAAAATGTGGAAAGTTATCTTGGTGTTTTCGGTAAGATTCATTTCCAAATAATTTTTGTCAAATCTTATTCTAGATTAGATTTAGACAAAATCAATTGATAGGCTGGAACCAAAACTAATTTAGCCTTTGTATCTATACATTATTAAATTTTTTAAACTGCTTTTCGGTTGCCTAATCTCCAATTGCCCGTTCTTACAAATTCATTAGCGTCTGCTCCGCATTTCCTTGAACTGTTTGCTGCTCCGCAAGGGACAGCTTTGTGAATCGTATTGTTCGCCTCGCTGTCAGGACGCTGTAACGTCACAGTCATAGATAATAAATTGAACTCGGATATAAGCCTTGCAACGCAAAAGGAACCGGATCCAACTAAATTCCAAAACTAGTTTACCTGGCCGCGCACCATTCACCCACTCCGCGAGCCGCACAATTTCCCCTTGCGGTCTGCACTTTGCACACCCCTGCTTTATACAAACTGGAATTCAAAAAAGAACAAAAAATTGTGGCTGCGGTTCTTAAGTGGCGATTACAGAGAAAAATTGATTGTTCAGTGAAATTTTATTACATAACAAACATAAATTACGAGAAAATGAACTATGTATGTGAGAAAGTGGCATGCATAAGCCTGCTACAACAGACGGAATCTTTACAGGAGACTTGTACAATTAGAACCGTTTGCACTCCCAAAGGTAATAGGCATGGGTAGGTATATAAAACACGTTAGGTCTACCCCCAGACGCCAGCAATTCATCGCGGTTTGATAGCTTTGGACGATCACCAGTTCAATTTACGATGAGATGATTTTGTTTGTTCGAAGTTGCATTTATTCAGGGCGTATGAAATTCTTAGTTACTATTTTTGGAAATTCTAGCAGGCTTTAAAAGACTAACCAATGTGTTTTCAGAGCTGCTCGCCAAAACGGCATTTTCCATTCCTTCACAGTATGATGAAACTTCTTCACTGATTCTTTTCTTGAAATCTTGGCCTGTGTTTCATAAAATATATTTCATAGAAATAGCAAGACGTGGCGAAATCATAATCTCCACAAATGCGTGCAATTTAAGATATTTCACTGTAAAATGGGATAATGTGATTGTATTATTTAAAGCGTCCGTATATAGAAGTATACACAAAGTACCATACTGGGATTTAAAGTTCAGAAGTTATCCTACGCTCTTAATTACCCAAGGTGCAATGAAATTGGGAATCTGGGCCGGCTCCTAAATTCGGGACAAGCCTTTTAATTAAGTTATGTTCCAGTGCTATATCTCAAAAACGACAACGCCCAATAAGTATGATACCATTAAAGTTTATTGATATGAACCAATTAACTAGTTAACCACAACCGATCAGGACAGTACGACTACGCGGAATGTCAGCAACATATCTCTTCCACAGGATATGAATGGTTAGCATATTAGCCCCAATTGGCGTGTTAGTTGACAGTGCGAAAGTTGGCTCTTATTTATCGCATACATAGTGCAGTATAATTTGAAGGTAATTAAGGAATTTTTTAGGTGCTCCCGAAGTATGCGAACCAAGATGGCGGACATCGGAACGTAACATGGGTAACAGGTTAGGGTTAGGCGATAATTTTTTTCCAATTTTCCTTATTTTAGTCCTATTATCAGTTCGAAGACTAGCCAAGAGCATCCCGTAGTATTTATACCTGAAATTATGGCCTAACCCTAACCTAGTACACAAATTACATTCCGATGTCCGCCATCTTGGTTCGCATACTTCGGGAGCCCCCAATTATCTTTGATGAAGCTTGAACTCTTTTCTGATGTTTTACGAAACTTGAATGATACAACTTCGGTCTATAAAGCAAAATTTTTGAGGAACGCTGTTAAAGGACACGGAGGTTTTGTCGAACTTCAACAGCATTCAACTTTTCATAACGATATTAGGTAATAAGTTCTACCATCTTCACGAAAACATAAGCCTATATATGTATGGAATGTGTTTTGATACCTTATTATCTTTAGCACAGAAATTGAAATATATATGACGTTTAATAAAGAAACTATACCTTATCTCGGTGTGTTTATCTCGCTCAAATTTTACCGTATTATTATATAGTAAAAACATCAAACTACTAAATACGGACACATATGGATTGTTTTGCGGAATTCTTGTTTTTTGGAATTTATCTTGTTATGATTGGGAAGAAATCTCTTTTATTCTGAAATTAATCAGTACTTGGAGATGAAAGAAAACACGCGTAGTCTTTTTTTCTTTTATTACCTTCAAAATGTTTTGGGTACCATAATGATCTAATTCGAAAAAAATTTGCTGTTTTTCTTTCAATCTCAAAAAACCGCTTCCGTTTTGCTTGAATTTTTACTCTTTAGGAAACTCGGTGATGTCAGGCCTTACCGTACCGGCACTGACGGGTGGCCCCCGTTTTCATATATTTGAGTATCGGCCTTCATTTTTAACTAGATGACCCCAGATATTTATTGCTTCACAACGTGGACCAGTTTAAACAATGTATATATATAACTACATTTGTCCGCTCTCAGCGGAAGATGTTCAGAGAAGTAGTGGGGTATTTGCTTTAAAACAGGCCTCCGGGTTGCTGAGTTAGTACGTTTTTACAATGTGAGACGGGCGAAAAGTATGACAAATCATCTCATAAATTTATAAAAAGTTCCATTCATTATAATGCGGGATTTACCTCTATTTATTTACAGGTTGGCATAGTTTTATATACGAGAATTAAAACGCTGGCTGATTCGTTTTACTTTGTTTATACTTCTGGGTGCGTCGTGGAAAAAAATCCTTCTGATGTGCTGACAATGGCAAATAACTTGTTACAAATGGCAATTTGTAATCAGAGAGTAAAATAGTGCCGTTTAAAAGTATGGCGTCACATTGTCGAACCTCTCGGCTATAGTCATAGTCGAGGCATATCGGGATGAAATTTATCTACAACAGTACCGCCAGACCGATTCGTGCGATATGAACTTGAACGATATGAGCGATATGGACCAAAAAAACTTTTTTATCTCACTTATTTTTAGTAGCTCAGTCGTGATTGCTTCATTGTTGCTTTCATCGTTGGCAAATCTTCTGCATCTTTTGGGCTGTGTAATTACATTGCCGCTAACGGCACACTGAAATAAAAGACATGACGCTAAATATTAGATTCGAATTGGCCCAATGTCGATAGACTGCCCACAACAACAAAGTATAAATCGTGGTAACCGGATTCACGATATATTCTTCTCTCTACTGTCATTGATGCAAAGGGTCATGCCTGGTAGTTTTGATGATTCGTTTTTCTAGTTAGACTGCACTTAAAATTCACATAGAATCGGTCATTCCATTGTTCAGCTCGATAGCCCACTACTATATTATACTGGCGATTACATGCAACGGTCGAGTCCACGTCGTTTTCCAGACGCACACGAAAGAATGGCTGCTTTAGGGATTCAAATTCTTCCGTACATACCTCTAAACAATTTTCGTTTTCTTCGTACATACCATGAAGTGATTGAAACTCCTTCAGTTCGTCGCCGGTACTTCCCATTTTGTTGAAAGTCTCCGTAGTCCACCAAAACCGCCAGTTAGAAAGCGATGAATGACAAGTTGAGTTACATTCATTCTTACTTGCTAGCAAAACAACCCGCCATAACGATCAATTGAACACGTCACAATACATCTTTTTGATCCAACAATGAAGGGCTGGGGTTGTTTCTATCAATAGGCACAATTTAGATTGCAGACAGAAGATAATGTTTCCGTGCCTACGTTTATCAGTGCAGTGCCACTGATTTGTTCAAATATAAATCATATCAATTCTACTCTACCTGTCAATGATGTATGGTCCATCCGTATCATTCCCGCCTGCAAATAACATTGAACGTTTTTGATGTATGTTGTGTGTTGTTACATTTATTTGTAATGGTCAGTTGGTCATATTGTAAAAAAAATTGAGGATTCGAAATAATATTGTCGGTAAATCAAGATTTTATATATATTTATGCTAAATATATTCGGTTAACTGCAATTCCACTGAGTCATGGGGCAAAATGAACGGTACTTTAATTTCCAGCATATATATGTTTATTGCTGTATCAGTGTAGGCCTAATAAGTTTCGTAAAGATTAAAAATTGAATTTTATGTTTCCATCCTTGAAAAACATTTAAATTAAGATATATACTGTATCAGAGTAAATTGGTCATTATTAGCTTTAGTGTTTCAAAAGTAGTCTACAACAGCCCGAAAGTGCAATATATTTGCGTGTTTTTGTTTGTTTATTTCTGACCCAAGCCTCATATAGCCGTTTGTGTTTTTGTAAATTTTTGTGCGTGTGCGGGTTAGAGGGCATATGATATTTTTCATGCTTTTTTGAAGGTTTTACCCGCTTTCCAGAATTCTCCATTGTTAATTTGTATGTATTATGGGGTTTTCAAAATAAACTATCTATCTTTATGTTTGCACATAGCTAGGAATAACTTGTGATTGTTATCTCCCGATTCCAAACAATTGTGCTAACAAAACCAGTATGTTTAACCCGGTTTGTTTTTGCAAAATTGACCGGTTGTTCAATCACATAATCAGGAGTGACTCTTATGTTTCGTGACATTTTATTACAGAGGCGTCGTATGCAATCATTTCCCGCTGTATCATACTGCACAATATGATCCATGTCATGTTTTCTAAGATAAGGTAATGGTGTATATTGATTGCTGCGGCCGACAGCGTCATACATACCTAGTCCGCCTGTTCAAAATTGTTTTTGTTTCGTTTCAATACTAATAGTGTGAAATAGTTTCAAAACTAATGTTAGTCTCGTGGTCATACAAAAATCTTGTTGCACTTGGAAATATCAGGCTAAACAGCTGTAATTGCCTTGTGAAGGTATTTTATCACAGCCAAATATGTTATTTTCATTGTACGTAAATGAATAAATACACAGATATAGACAATATTTACTCTCAAAATAAATCACGCAATGAGCAACCGCGCCTCTATTTGGATCGCCGGTTGTTTATTTAGATCGGGCGTGTATTCGCATCGATTTGCCCTGTTGAAATTAATAACCGAATCCAGTGAGTAGTTTTATTTTAAGATCGAAGATTTTCAGTCAGACCAGCACCGGACATATAATCAATGCGCTAAGAATAATGCGTATACGAATTTTAAAAACGTAAATCGCCATGTTCTTGAAAACAATAAACCGCTTGGGGATAAACAATATATTGTATGTATGACGCCTGTTAGGATTGAGAATTGCCAGAGATCGATATATTTCGTTCAGCTTTGATTATTACAATTATGACGGAGGAGACACGGTATGCATGTAACATATGCCACGGTTTTCTTTTTTTACGACGACGCATATCAGAAAGTTGTAAGGATTGAAAACATTAGTTTCTTTGACAGTAGACAGTTTGTAGAATTCTCAGTTTCACGTGTCTGGGTGGGGTTCCGAGTTAATTTTGGTCGGGATGATTTTGGTATATTCATTTGTCTACGTATTTATTCGGAGATATGTATTCTGTAACATCTTCGCCGACTTATCACTCGATTACCTGCCGTATGATTAAGCCGTCTTATCCATTTTCCTCTCCAGTGGGATAAATATGTAAATCCCATTCCACCGTATGCTAATATGCGATTCATAATTACTCGGATTACAGCTAGATTGGATAATTACGTGCATTTCGTTCACTTTCGTCTTCAATATACCTGTATATATATAAGGAATGTCCTATAAGAACAGGGTTATTTACGGAAACCTATAATAGCGAAATTTACCCTTTGTTCAACCATAGATCAGTCGAAAGCTACTATACCAAATTGGCCGGAGGGGCAACACTTTGGTATGTTTCACAACTAGTTGCGGGCGGGATTTCTACTTGTTATGAAAATGTAAGTGGTAGTTTAACCAAACCTCAAGTCAATCACATTGTAGATATAATATCCTTAGGCATTTTTAATCGAATTGACCAAATGCAATCCACCAATTTCGATCAGACGTTTTCATATAATATTTTATCTTTGCTCTGCTTCACTATCAATATTTTGGGTGATGAGTGCTAAATTATTCATGTATTTCACATATAGTAAGTAGCCTTGCGCTATGACGCACACGGAGATGAGGCATCAGATGCTGTTCAGCGGTATAATTAAGGGCGACCTTTTCAGTTTCGCTGGCAGCGATTCGCCTGGTAGAGCGTTTGCGGTATCCATTTCCGCCCATAGTTAAACACTGTAAAAGTATAAAATAGTATGATGTACGTGGCGTGGAATGGAAAGAGTAACTCTCATTTCCTAGATTATTGAATGTTATTTGGCCAGGACTTTCATATACTGACGCTTTCGTATGTAATTTACTTAGCAGCCAGTTTTCAACGGTTTAATTGGTGCCATTGGTTAATAAAATGCAGGGATTTAATATATTTTTGCCCGATTATAGTTTCAGGCTACTTCTAGTTAAAGTCAATTACACCGATTATTGTCTAATTTCCTTGAGGCAATATTCATTTTGCGGTAATGTACACTATTACATAGCTACTTCAGATTTACGCTAGGTCTGAGATTCTGGCACAGAATTAATTCTGGAAGACAGAATTACACAAATTTATAATTATTATTACATGTGCCAGCAGATGGATTACAAAATTGCAGACTACTAAAACCAAATAGCTGTACAATAAAAATCGATAGCGACTTGCATGCGGCGGAATTTGCATTAGTGGCCGTGGAATTAGATTTGCTCTTCGAGACCGTGAGGTTTTGGTGGTATTCACCTGTCGACATTACTATTCATGACGCGAGACAACACTCCTTCGTTTATTGAAGATGCAATACATAGTAGTCCAAAGCCGACCCACAAAACTTTTACCGAAAAGCTATTGGAATATTCCGAAACCGTACAAGACTCATCATCCGTGCTACAAAGACTGAGGGAAGGAATCGAAGATTACATGGTGCCGACAAGTGTTCTGATATCCGGATACACAGGCGCTCCAGGCGGAAGGTAAATATTCATGGTTGTTAGCTAGTTTTTCACGTCATGTACATTCTATGGTTATGTTTCAATTTGAATTTAACTCCTAATTTTATTATTTTAATCATTTGTTTTTGAGATTGACAAACATTTTACATTTTTTTTTACATTCGGCCATTATTAATGACAAAATGTGTATACATACCCAACCAATCTACAGAAAGCACATTCCACTTTGGATCCTAAATAATACATTGACCGTACTATTTTGCAATCAATTTATTTACTGAGTGTATTAGAATATAACCATTGTAATACACAATTTCATAAAAATTTTGATAGCGTCGAATTGACAATTTAAGCTGACAAAGTTATTTAAATTCTTAAACGCTTATTGCATTCAGTTCGATCCATATCGCGATAAAAATCCCGCAACGAATCTCCGAAATTGACACTATTTTCTATTTTGCAAATCGCTTACTGTCGACTGAGGCGCGCACCTAAAATTTCTTCCGCAAGTTGGGGTTGCGGGGTACTGACGTCATCGTCACCATTGTTTACATTCGTCGACGTGTTGCCTACGGCCATTGTACCATGATTTTCTGTCTGAATGCATTAAGTCGAGAGGTTATGGCTCAATAAAAAAGAGCTGAGGAATACCGGCAGTGTCAGCAATCGTATGGTGCTTTTATGAAGTTTTGAAGCTTTTGGCAAAAGAGGAAAGTTGGCGTATCAGTGTCCACATGACATTGAACTCAAATTGAATAAACATGGACTCGTAAGTAAATGTTCTGATTTCTGAATTTATATTAACTTTTCATTTGATACCGGTAACATGATAAAATAAATATGAGGAAAAAGAGTTTTTATGCTTTTTCTAATTTTTTCATTCTGTGGGGTATTCATTTTCTATGGGGTATTCATTTTCTGTTTGAAATATGTGTAGTTCTATCACATTTCAGCATTTACTGATAAAAGATCACATTAAATATAAATTGGCCAGAATAGTTTTATCATAGCTAAATAGGTTAGGAGTCCTAGGGCCATATCAATACTGCTAGAAACTATGTAAAAAATTCAGATTCAAGAGTTATTTTATGTCTCATTTTTGCAAAACATTTGGAATTGAAGTTTCTATGATAACCCATGGAATAATTTGTACTAGCTCTTGTGATTATTTGTTGAACAAAGTTTTTGTTGTAAATTACAATATTTCATATGGTTGTGTCTTAGTTGGAGATAAATATAGACTACAGATACTCTAACATTATATAGGTTACTGGGTTAATTCAAATTATAGATTGCTCACTTAAGCCAAAGATTTATAATAACATTAATAAAACCATTCAGTACTTTTTCGAGTGTATACTCATTTACTTCAAAAAAACAATATTGTGTTCAAGAATTCCTCAGTCAACAGTATGTTGATGATGCTTTTTCTACAGATTGAAAACATGCATTGGGTATATCCAAAATAACATCCAAATTAAGTACCGGTAAGCATTTGTAAATGACAAAATAAAATTTGTAATAAAATGAAAAAGTTAATTTTGGTAAGAAAAAATCATACAATAAGGATACAAACACAAATTACGTTTGAATTTAAGTCAATAACCTCATTCATCATGTAATGGTCACCTTCTTCCTGACCTTGACGTGCTATCTCTGTGTTCGGTGTTTACCTCTGTTTAGTGCACAGCCTGTTTCATGTATCAAGATTATTCAGTTGGGAATTCTTTACCACCTATTTCAACCATATTATTAAAAAAGATGAAAAAACACTCAGCACTGAATGAGTGAATACCAAACTGCCCAAGTCATGCTTTAACTGGTATGATGCAGTGTAGTTTCTCAGTAGATTTTGTCAATTCATCGATTGATGACCGCTCAGGGGTAGGTTTTTGTCTGAAAGAAAAATTTGATTTTTTTGCTGAAAGTACTCATGAGAATTGAGTTGTGAAAGTTGTTCGCATTCAATTTGACAATTGTAATCCTCCATTGAAAAGAAACATAAGGGGCTTAAACAAAAGATATTCAGAATAATATACACCAGAGAAACATCAGGAGCATTCAACAGATGTTTGCTGTATCTAACTGTTCTCAACTTACATTCACAAAATTGAATGAAGAGCTTACACAATATTGGAAAAAAGAATAAATAATCTTTGAAATATATCATTGATTATATCTCATCAAAGAAGCATACTGCTTATCAGGATTTTCTTCTATGATCTGAAATGCTTGGTGTGCTATTTTACTATATTTTATTTTATTTTACTATAAAAGTTTAAATATATATAATATTTACAAAATGATATGTACTTTATTATGTTATGATTAGTCATTTCTTCCTTCCTTTTATTTGAGTACCTGCTGGGTTCAATACCTTCAGGTATGTCATTCAATGTTGATAAATGATTTTAAATACTTGAACAGCAAGCTTCTTACAACTGAATTCCATGAACTCGTATTTAGCATATTAAAAATCGTGGTTGAATGATATCTCAATCTGGTTATTCCAGTTGTTAGTCTATTCTTGCTCTAAAATGCTCCATTGGAGAGTAATAAATGGGATATATTTTGGTTTAGGAAAAGATTCTTGTTATTGCAAGTTAGTAACCCAGGGAATGTCGTTTCAGGACCCTGATTGTCATTTAAGATGAATAGTAATGTATTCAAGGTAGCATTCATGTGCAACATTACTGGGACAAATTTGTTATGATACATGGTGTTTTTGCACACACATTGTTACCGAAAGAGAAATCAACTAAACATTGGAACATGATTGTTTTTTTTGATCAACTGAACACTCAAGTCAAATCTATCTTGTTTTGAGGGGCAACGTTTGCGGCCGACGACGAAACGATATAAATACCTAATGCGACTTGAAGATCATTTTATATCTATGGTTTCGATAGTTTCTTCACGATCGGCCATCCACGGACTCAAAAAACAGAATGTCGTTTAGGACCGACCTTCTAGTTCGTATTCTCGATTTCAAACTACGCTAGGAATGCTTCTAAACACGGGCAATTTTAGAACGTTCTTTGAGATATATGATTGAAGGCGAAGAAATCACATACAGCTTAGATGAGTAGTAGCGAATTTGCTATGTTATGTTAACGCTGCTCTTTATGATTCAGTGATATGACGGGTTTTTTGAGGAGACGAGTATTTTTGCAGTTGTGTCGTCAAATGTATGTAACAACTATTTCGGATAGAACAATACCTAAAATAAAATGTTGCTCATATATCACTGTTGATGCCAAAAGGAAGCAATTTAGCTCGATCGATATTTGAAATTAATTACGAAATAAAGGAATAATCGAAATTACAGTATTTTGTGAAATCTATTGTTTTGCGTCGCAAATCTGATAAAACTCATGATCTTGCTGCAAACTGGGTCTACTACTAGGAATACCAAACTATTCTGATATAGGCTTCCCTACGTATCACTGCACTACTAAGCGTATAGATTCGAAATACAGTATTTTTGTTTTGATTTTCGTGGAGTATTGATCATGTTGTTGTCGGTGTTGAGGAGTGGAACAGATCAGCGGTGTTTCGAGAAATTCAAAGCTTCGTTCAGTGTTGTGTTAAAGTTTTCGTAGAGTAAGCAACTTAATATCAGGCATCGAGTAGTATAGCCCCTTTTTTTAAATCAGTTAAAGATGAGGTAGCTGAATATTGGCCTATAATGGCATTTGTCAATCGTCTGTCTCGTGACGTGCATTCTAATATGAAGCGCCGTACCGCGACGAGAATCATATGTAACTTCACCCGCGCTTGGTTGTTGTAGATTACTTTTGCTATTAGCCCGTTGAATGAGCAATTGGGATATATGCATATTGCATATTCACTCACTATCAGTGTTTATTGATCGACAATCTGGCTCCATGTGTACCGAGATTATTTCAATCATTCAGAGAACATAAATTAGTTGGTAATGGGTATATATGTGGCCAATAAATATGTTGCGTTCTCCGTGGATTGTATATCGCAACATCCACACCGTGGTTGCATTCTTAAGTCAGACTATTGGCTGTTGTTCAACATTATGTCGCCACCGATTGCCGAACTTGTCTTTCAAATACAGAACAATAACCACACAACAAGACTGGATCGTGGTTTCGTATTTTCATAGCCACGGTCGGTTCTTGCGAACATATATCTGTATGATATAAATCATTTTTGTGGTTTGGCGTTCATATGATGACGATGCAATCAACATCTTATTCATATTCCTACATCCCCATGGGGAGTCCTATTCCACACTAAGTGTTCTTCGCGTATATGTAAATTAATAAGAATATTTATAATATGACAACACGCAGAGGCCTACAGTTAGATTAGCCGTATCGTTCGAGTTTGTAGTAAGATATGATTAATTGAAATATATTATATTCTTGGTCGTTACCGTTATCCGGAAATTTATTTCGGGTTTCAGCGAATTGTTTTTCCGTAGTCATTCACTATAAAGATTCAATGTGGATCTAAACTCCCTTTCATCGGCGTTTTTAATGCGTTCTCTGTACTTGTATATCATCTGCATCCCTGCAATGAACTGACACCATTGTCAGGAAATCGCGCCTGCAACGTTTTGATGATTTTTTAACATGTTGAATTGTTTTAATGCGGAAAATATTAATCCCCGGCCTCGTCGCTCATGCCAAATTGTCAATGTTGTTAGGATTAGTGCATCCTTAATCTTTTTGTCTCGGCCAAACGCGGACCAAAGGTTCGATTTAAGCTGTTGTATAGTTACAGCTGTTTCCGTCCCAATGTTTTGTTTGCATATGTTAATTCGTCCCATTGTTTTAGGCATTAGATTGTATGCCTTTCTTTTAGCGTGTTTGGATAGATGTATATAATGCTACGACCGACTTCGCATATTAATACAGTTTGCAAATATAGAAAAATTTGTTTTGTTTCATTATTTAGTATTGAAGAAATATCAGCAAGGGAATGAATGCATTTTCAGTTTTACCTAATAGAGATACTAATTTATAAGCATGCATGTTTGATAATCGTTTCACAATCCTAATAGCAGAGTGGATTGGCGATGGATATTCCTTATTTGGCAAACTTCACTACTTATTTAGAATGAAAAGTTTCGTAATGCGATGGGTACAATTTGAGATCAATATATTATCAGTTTAAATTTATCAGCCGCGTGTTTATGAACGTGTAGCGGTACAATTTGAATTTAAACAGAAATTATATATTTACGGGGAATTATGAAATTTTATTGGCTGTCGTTAAAAGTCTTGAAATTTAAACGATGACATCCGCGTTTATAAAATTTGTTCGATATTTGAAGCTACTTGGTTAACTTAAATATCGCTAGACGTACGAATTAAAATAGAAGAGCAGCAAATTATTTGAAGAGGCTCTTCTCCTATATGGCAAGTTATATAAAGCATAGTTATGGTTGCAAATGTTATTGTAACCGTAGTACATATCATAATACGCCTCTGCTACCATGTAGAAAGGAAATAATTAAATTGAATTTTGTCGAAACTGTAGGCGATACATTATGTTATTTTTGGGTGTACGTGGGACGTAAGCCCGCCATAGATAAAACATAGGTTCCATCTTTGTTCATGCTTGATAGCTCGTTGTTTTACTCGTGCAATAATGTGAAAGTTGCGCTTTTTATCTCATTTTTAGATGCATACTAATGGTTCGCAGCTCAATTCATCGAAGAATAATTCATGGCGTTTAAAAGATTGAATATATAGGGACATGGCCATCTTATAGCACTTTACATTTACTATTGTTCTACTTTACACACTGGTTTCGTTGTTTTTTGAAAGAGAGAATTCATACGGACGCCTTATACTCTGCTGACTATTCCGGCTATGTCACTTCTCATGTCTTGCATTTCACGTTCTGTCTTGAAAGAATCTATCAACACCGCACGGGAATCATCGATCCTAACTTCATTAAAATTTGATTAATATAAATGACTTCATATTATCATGTACTGTATAAAATCAGAGTCGAAATAATATCTACTTTGAGTTGTGAGTTCACTTCCCTCTAGCAATTTGACCCGCTTTGGAAAGGAAGTCCATAACATGTTTCCTACTTTTCTGTGAAGAAGAAAGGGCGTTTTAGAATTTCTTTAGTCATGCGCGACTCGAGAAAAATCACACTAAATTTAAATTATAGATCTTTTTGTATTGTCGATCAAATGTCACGTTTCTCCGACTTCCTTTATGACGACATAATTGATTTGGCTTGGCTGTTATGCTGTATAAAAACAGTTATTTCTACACTACCTGCTAAAATGTGTGAATCACCGATGATCCAAGAATGGATTGTTTTTGTTAGATCTATAAACTGAGTGTATTGCTGGTGATATCAAGTGAATAATATATTGATGAGTCTAACACAGTTAGTTAGGGTCTAAGTTTGAAGTGTGCAACAATTCAGCGTTGTTTAAATCACTCAGCCGTTGTAGATTATGGGAATGTCATCGTCGTGTGCAATCAGATCAAGTCTTTCGGTTCTCGATACTATTTTCGGGGTTGATACCGTGCATACTATAAAGATTCATTATCACGACGCTATGCTCTCAATACAGTTTATCACATTAAAAGTATATATACATGTAAAGTTTCGACCCAAAATTAGCTTCCCGTCAAATTTACGTCAGCGTTGCGTTTAAAATAAATAAATTAATTGAGAATAGTTCTTTCTAAGCTGGCTAGTTTCAGCAGAACGAATAAATCTCGAAGAGATCAATATGTTTACAACCAATCCAAGACTTAATGAGATTGCAGTCAATAGACAGTTCCGTGTTCGGCGTTTATTCGTTATTAGTCTGCAGCTGATGAGTGATCAAATATGCGAGTTTAGTAAGCAGCACCAAAGGGAGATTATGCGAGCAATCATTTTTAGTAGCTGGCTTATTGGAGAGAAAATCGTTATAGACTCAGAAAAATAGCGCAGTTATTGATCTTAAAAGGCGTAACATTCAAAAATCTGATAAATTTTAATTTAGATTTAGCGATCAAAATAATACATGCACAAGTGGGAAGAAATTACATGTGGGAAGAAATTCAGCCTAGACTAAATCGTTTTCGTCTCACCAACGTACGTTTTACTTTCAAATGAAGTCTGTTATTAAAGTTATACATTAGAGATTGGATGATAGCCAAGAGAAAACTTTCAAAACTTTTTCTATATTTTCATTTTAATAAGAATGTATCATTTCTTTTTGCAATTCAGCATACCGCTACTGCCGGGTCTATAACCCCTCTGGGATACCCGGTTAAAATACAAAAAGGCGGACTTGCTCCAGGTTACGATATCTAATAAATCGACAACCCGTTAGCGTTTTTGGTAAATTTAAACCACGTAAAAATGGAAAACCCAATTGAACTGCCGTCGGCGGCAGTAATAGAATTTGTGAGGTATAACCCGCGAGATTTGCGTGGATCAATATCAGACTATATTTATGTCGGCAAAGCGGAAAAAAATTATCCGTCCGTTGGACAGCAAATCGCATCAGCTGTAAAATCACAAGTGGAAAAATACAGCACGGACGCTGAAAGACTTCAAGATAACTTTATTATTTTACCCGCATTTGCAATATTCCTTGTTATGGTGTTATCAGTAACGAAAGACGCTCGGAAATATTTTGGCCACAGCGGTAGCCATGACAACGGGTCATGTGCTAAAACGCAAAAGTGAGTATTGGAGAATAAATATTTTCCTTCTTGGCAAGTCTTGAGTAAAGTTTTGACTCTATTTATTGTTATACTTCTGCTGCTCAAAAGAATGCACAAATCTATTATCTGCCCATACAGATACACAAATAAACTCAATCGTTGGTACTTGTCAAAATATCAAAATTTGAGGCATAACCATTCATACTGGTGGTACTTTAAATTTGTGGTTGTCTTCCTGCCACCATTTCTATTCAAATTGCATAAACGTTCCAGAAATGGAAATGCAATCAGCTCTCGAAATGGAGAAATTTGTGGCTCTAATTCATATTTCATACCTCTGTTTAACCATTTGTCTGTAACATTAAACCCAAATATAGGCTATATAAATATACATTATACTAGCATGTGTATGATTTTTTTTATCATACTGCTCAGATATTGGTTTATTTGAATGAATGAAACACCAACTTATCAATCCAGTTGGGTTAGGGTTAGTTAGGAAATACTAAAAATACACTCATCTATTTTTTGGCCTCTCTGCTAGTCCAAGTTTAGCTAAATATAAATATTTTGGCTTACTCAGGAAATGAATTTCTATAATATATGTTGACACGGTTGCCTACTTTCTACTAGTTAACATGTTGGACCGACCTATGTATAGTAATTCCCAGTTTCTAATCCCATGCCATCCACTTCACTCAGGCTTTAATGAATTGATTGGTTAAGCATTTACCGTAAATTTCAATCCTACCAAAAATAATAACTCTTTTTGTAGTCAGTGGCATCTTACACAGACCATTGTGATGGTGTAACAAAAACTCATAAAATTTGTCACATTCACATGGATACTTCGATTAGACTAGTAGCAAGATTGCTCACTTGCCAAAACGATGATTCTATTTATTTATGGATTCTTATTTATATGGATTCTTACTATTTCGTTGAAAGAGATCATGTTATTTTTACTATTTATATACCTTGTATTTTATTTCAGGACGATTCAGATGAGATTGTACACACTGTCGAAACGTCAATTTGTGCTGGTTTTTGTTGCTTTTTTTACTTGTTTTCTTCTCACTGTTCTTGTTGGACTTGCAGGTAGTTTATTTCGTCGTGAATCATTTTTTCATTGGTTTGTTAAGGTTTCTTTGAATCATGTTGCAAGTGGTAATGTTTGTTTTTTCTTATGATGCATTTCCTCATAAATCATGGTATATGATCTGTCAAATGGCATTTGTACAAATATATCAGTTGATAAATGTTTTAGATTGATTTTTCTTTTTATCTATCAGTTTCACACTCCTTGAGAACTTCAGTCAGTTGTCCTATCTTCCAATGGAGTTCAATATTTGAATAACTGGTTATTCTAAAAAAAAATTCTTGAAAATATTTTGAAATTAACTTCTTATATAGATATAGCAAAATAGCAAAACCTTTGACGGATGACCCATTTTATTTGAAAATTTTGAAAAAAATTACAGCGGCATATACTATAAGAACAAATTTTGATCATAATTGAAATTATAAGTAAAATTTTATTTTTGTTAAATTCTCTGATAATACTTATTCTCGAATCCATCGAAGAACTCTATATACATTGGAATTAATTTTTGTTTTCCATGTCCTATAATCTCCCTCATTTTTTCTAGGTCCTCGTATTATAAGCTCTACTCATATGAACACAAGCAATGTGAAACAAGAAAATATAGCCGTAAGTATCCTCGATATATTACACATTCTTCATTAGAGGCTCATGGATGCCTAATATAATATATATGGGTATTTTAAAGCAAGTCTCTCCTTGTTGAAAATATGATATTATACTTTTAATAAATAGATACTTGAATTTCTGAAATTTTGATGGCAATCACATACATAATTGTTTGTTAGGCATGTGGTTATTTAATATTTATAGCCTACTTGTTTTTTATTTGATTTATGGTTGGTTATTTACTTCTTATAAAATCTTTTTGTCAGTATGTCCAAAATGTAATTTCTCTTTTTTCAGACTGGACCTTACACATTTATGTCACCAGTTATGTCAACTTTCAATCAACAGTTATGGTTACTGGCAAATATCAAAGTGAAAAATCCATCAGGTTAGAACTGTTGTTAGTATTTGGTGCCATTGGGTATTTTAGAAAAAATATTCAAAACAAAAAATGTATGTGGAATTTTTAGTGATTTTTCCCACATTCACCAGCAAGTAGTTTATAAAAAGGGAAATATACCATTTGCTTGCTATGGGGTGTTTGTAAAACAGGTAGTTAAGGTTTTATACATATGGAACTGTTTTTTTTTTGTAATATCATTGTTCTGACTAGGAGTGACTGTGTGTGAAGCCTTTTTCAGAGAGAAAGTCGTTTACTCGTATAAAAGAAATTCAATATTGAACCATTGTTCCCTTTGCAGTTTCAATTAAAGTCATGAAACCAGTTTTCTTAAGGGAAATTAACATATAGCAATGGTTTTGTATCATGAGTTGAATAAAAAAAATTTTAAAATCTCCGGAGGTATTCAAAAATTAATTAAAAAGATGGACTATTTGGTTATTCCATTCTCAGTTTTACAATTTTCATCGTTTGTACAATAGTAATGCTTTTGTTATGAACTTATGATTTTACATCCATCCTATTTACTTCGTTTATATTCAGGGGCTACAGTTTCACAAGATTTTACTCTCGGTGTTATGATATTTTCGATTAGCCCTGATGCATCTGGCCATGAAGGAACACAAACTCATAATCGCACGAGGACTTTACATTGTTCTGGAAGCGAATGTGATCCGTTAGTCGTTTTGCATCTTGGCTATCTCGAATATACAAGAATAAGGGTGCAAGTTAATTTTTATGGAATTGAAAACCTCAAATATTCAGTCGAGGATGTTTTCTTCGAGGTAAGTTGAACAACCTACGAGTTGAAGATCTAGGGTCCCTATACTGACCACTTAACCCGGGGTATAAATAAACTGTGATGTGATCCGTTAGTCGTTTTGCATCTTGGCTATCTCGAATATACAAGAATAAGGGTGCAAGTTAATTTTTATGGAATTGAAAACCTCAAATATTCAGTCGAGGATGTTTTCTTCGAGGTAAGTTGAACAACCTACGAGTTGAAGATCTAGGGTCCCTATACTGACCACTTAACCCGGGGTATAAATAAACTTGGCGGGCTGTGTCCACACCGTTTGCTCTGACCAAGGCCATATATAAGCAGCCACTGCCCACTGATATCTTATGATACAAAAGGAGCTACTTTTATGAGAAAGAACTGTAATTTTGGCGCCCTGAACGTATTCATACCAAGATGACGCACAACCTGAACAACCTTGATTTGGTACACATACTATGTTCAGGTTGTGTGCCATCTTGGTACGAATACTTCGGGAGCACCGTAGTTTTTACAGTTCGACATTGCTTACCCAATTTATTAACCTGTGGTGAGGTGGGGGCATGGGTTTCAAACCTGATGTGTATAATTTGTGATGCCAATGTATTTAAGTCTGATGCTTTAACCGTTAGGCCTACACCCAGTGTCTTGTCAATTAACGTCAATTCGTCAAATTATCTTAAAATTTTTTGTTTTCATTTCAGTTTAAATACTACAATCCAACATTCACGCAAGTTGAAATCTGGTTCAGATTTGTCTTCCTTGTTATTTCATTTCTTGTCACGGTAAGTCTATTATTAGTCATATATTTGGTGCAAGTATTTCTTAATCAACTTGTTTGTATATGATAAATTTTCAATATCAGGAAGGTTGCAGTTTTTCATAGGCATTTTCTACAAAAATCTAGTCAAGTTTTTGAATAAATGTGTATATGTTAGAACTAGCGATTGCCCGAAATGAATATTATCAAATGCTTTCTAAATTGGACAACAAATGAATACAAAAAGATGGTGCATGTGCAAAGTCGTTGAATTTAAACTTTGAAATGTTAAGAAAAATGGAAAAGCTAAGATAAAAAATGATTTAATTGATTCCTCATTTTTGCATTTTTCAAAAAATAAATGAAGGCATTTTTAGTCATAGTCATAATAATTTTCAAAACTATTCTAAACTATTTCTTGAATCAAGAATTTAAAACATTAAATATATTAATTTTCAAATATATTTGAATATTTTGAATTCTTGATTTAGAACATCTCTTGTTGAAACAGACAAGGATTGGTCAATTATTGACTTTTATATATTGTGAAATTTTTTATGTTTTAGTGTATGTTTGCACATACCTTACGTCGTTTTCATATGAGAGATTGGACGATAGAACAAAAATGGATTTCATTACTTCTACCTCTATTGTTATTGTATAACGGTGAGATATCTATTTTATCTTTTTTTTTTTTTGAGTGTTTAAAATAAACTTTGTTTGGTCATTATTTTAATAACATTAAGAATCCTTTAAATTTTTTTTTTAACTTAGTTGAAAATATAAGACATAAACATATCTTCCTTTTATTTCAGATCCCTTATTTCCACTGAGTTTTTTGATAAACAGTTGGATACCTGGATTTATTGACACAATTTTTCAGGTAACTCACCATTATCTATATCTAAATTTTGCCAATGTTTATTCAGGGTATTACAGGATGGGTGATCAAGCACTTGTTACTTATATCTCATTTTTGTTTACTCAATCAGATTTGTATTTGACTCACACATTTTGTTACATATTTGACTTGTTTAAGACAATGTTGACACATACTGATAAAATACGAAGTGTCAATGAAGAGTGAAGAGAAAATAATATGATTTTTATATCTCAGTCACTAGGTTACTATAAATGCATTTGATCCATATGGTATGAGTGGACAATTCTCTTAATGGGGACGATACGATCATGTTAGTCGCATACTAGTTTAAGAATGTAATATTCCATGTTTGAAAAGAATATCTAAATTAGTATAACTGTCAAAATATCAATTTGGATCTGCCTGAATATAAACTTGAAATATGTAAAAATGTTTTTGAATGTAAAAATAGGATTTAAATGTTTAAACAAAAATTAAATGCAAACGTGAATGCTTGAATAACAAACCATTTATATATGAATGTGATAACTTACGTAAATGCAGGGTGGCCAAAAACAGGTTATTTGGAACATATTCTAGAGAGAACATAATGTGCAAAATCGTCTTAGATTACTTTTGGGTTCAATCATACACAAACAGGAGTTCAAAAATATACTTTCCCCATTATCATAAATTAATTGAAATTTATGGGTTCTGTTTTTCAGTCACCCTGTACATAAATATGGTGCATATATATTAGAATTGAAATTGATGCTCTTTGGTCGATCCTCGTCAGTTTAACAATTTACCCATGCAAAATCACACTCAAGCTTGTAAAGACCTGTTCTTACCACATCTAACCATAATATTTTTGTATGGGCATAGGTGTATAAGGAATCTCACTAAATTATATTTTTATCTCCAGGCCACTTTTCTATGTGCTCTACTTTTATTCTGGTTGTGTGTCTACCATGGCATAAGAGCAGCAACAGACAGAAGAAGATTCTCGACTTTCTATCTTCCAAAACTTATTATTTGCTCATTATTATGGTTGGCAGCAGTAACCTTGGGTTCATGGCAACAGTAAGTGATTTGATTTCTGTTTTTATGAAGCACTGAACTAGACTGATCAATTCAGATGATAACTACTAAGCCAACTCTTGGCTTAGTGGTTATCATCTCGATTGATCGGTCTAGTTCAGTGGTTCTCAAACTTGATTTGTAGCTCCTTTTCAAAGACTCTCAATACATTTGTGGTCGCCTACTCTGATATGAAACATCTAGTTTTGCTTTTTACATGTTTTTTTCAGTTATTTCATGTTCCAAATAAACGAAAACAAACGTATAAATGCATAACAGTTAAGAATTTTAAAAAAGTCACAGCAAATTTACTTCAAATTGATTTAGTCATCACAAATGATACTTGGTGAGGGCTTTTGCCCATGGCCCCTGGAGAATCACTCTGTCGCCCCCCAGGGAGGCAGAGGGCCTAGTTTGAAAAACCATATATTATTAAGCATAATAATATCTCATATAATTCAAGTAATCTTATCAAGTAATCTCATCTTTTTTTTAACAGGTATAATGAGTTGAGAGATCCAACATACCAGTATAAATTGGATATCACAAATTTTACTGTGAGTTGATTCTTTATTTCTCCATTATTTTACAATACCCCTCTTTGTGCTTTCATTTTATCATTTACACCACCTTTATTGGTTTTTTTCAAACCATTTCATTACAGGCAAATTTAGGATTATTTTTCTTATTTTTTCATGCTCAATTATATTTAATTTTTTTTATCTGTATCACAATCAACATTGATACCTATTTTGCAGGGCATGAAAGTGATGTTTTTCACAGTTGGAGTGGCATACATTCTATATCTGTTGTTTCTATTGGTTCGAGCTTGCTCAGAACTTCGTTTGAAACCTTATTTTAATTTGAGACTTCGCTTCCTTACTTTACTGACTGCTTTTGTCCTAATCATAAGGTTAGTACTGACTTGTATATAGATTCCTAGAGCAATACTATCTAATGATTATTACTAGTAAAAACTGGTAACATGTTATTGGACACAAAGAGGACATCATTTTGTTATTACCGGTATGTTGTTGTTTGTTGTTAGTCAATATTTTCTTCTTTTTGTTGTGAAAAAAAACGCCTTTCTCATCACTCCACTTTGCTTAAAATTTTCAGTGGTTAAAGATTGTATTTGGCACGAAAATGCCATTAAGATAGGATTCACATATTCGTCCCGGAGGAGAGGAAAGTCGATAAGACAGCCTAATCATATGGCGAACCACGGCCTCTCGTCCGATTACCAGCCCATGTATGGGATTAGTTAGCCAGTTATTTGTTTTCAGCAGCATGGAATTTTAATTCCAAAAATTTCTTGGAGGCTCTATAAGATTTGTTTTTTGTATGTGATGCCGTCATCAAAATAAAAAATTGTGCACCTTTCGGAGGTTTCACATTAGTTGCTATCTTATTAATATCAGAGTCTGAACTTGGATCGTATTCCAAAATTTAACCGAGTGGGGGTAGTTTCGAATTCTTCAGAGTTGGGAATCGGAGTCAAAACTTCACGATTCTGGAACGAATGGTGGTGAACGAAATCAAAATCTGCAACAGAAACTGAAAACATCAAGTCGACTAAGCATTGTTATTGAAAGAAAATTCAACAAGACCTTTGCATGATGAAGTTTTCTTTGTTAAAATATAATTTTTTTGTCATAAGCTGAGTCCACATATCCTTTAACCCGGGGTAACAACTCAAATTGGAGTCAAATTTTTTGTCAACTAGGAGTTGGGAGACAGACTTTAGAGTCTGGAAAAGGTCATAATTTTCTCTGACTCAAAAACCCTGCTTATGGGAATTCAAATGACCTTGTCTTATTGACAACCTTGTGATATTTCTTTCCCGCCTGATTCAGCCAATTCATTTTTTACTATTTATTCAATAACATTTTAATTATAGTGAAATAAACGATACTATTATTTTTTTTAGTGTTGCAATCATTGTACTGAGGTTTGGTGCTACCATGTTGCAAGATAATTTTGTTGCTGACATATCAACGCAATATGATAATTATATCCTTTTTTAATCGAATATAGTCATAGTATCATAGTAATTTTTGTATAATGTAGCAAGATTGACAACTATATCTACTCATTTCAATTCATGTGGTCATAGTCAGATAAGATTGTTCAATTTCATCACATCACAATCATATGATAAATATAAAATTAGATATTCTAGATATCTTATAAGTTTTTCTTCGTAGTCCAATTTTATATTGTACTGTATATGATTCCTTAATGTAATGTTTACCAGCTGAATTTGTTTGTTTCTACGCTTTACTGAATTTTTACATGTTCACAATGGCTTTCGTGTATTCTCCATCAAAGACTGCTCAAGAAGGTAAGAGCAAATTTCTATTTTTTAGTCAACATTATTACTATCAGCATCATTAGGAGATTAAAGACTGCGAGATTGGTTGCCTTGCATTATGCGGTTTCATTAGAAGTATATTCATTCCATCACAAACATGTTTCAGTTCAGAATTGAATCTAACTTTTTTATTGATTGGATCAGATTATTGTATTAAAATAATGGCTTTGGTAAAGGATCATGCCTTGATTGAATGTTGTTTGGAAATTCAAAATTTCTATTAATTCTCTGCAGAATTGAAACCAATTCATGTTTCACAAAATCTGATAGGTCCTGTTTAACAAAATTGCCTAAAGGCAAATTTTAGTGAAATGCTCAGTAGTTCGATCATGTACTGGTACTTCATAAGATTTCTCAAGTTTGGCTCAGTGTGGCAATTTTTTCATTCATCTGCCTCAATTCATTTTAAACCTTCCATTACTTCGTTTTAACATTTGCTTGAAATAAGGTTATAATAGTAAATAAGCAAGAAACAAATTGCTTGATAAATAATAACTTGTAGCTGACTGATATGAATCTGGTGGTAGTATTTCACAATTTGTATATTCTTCTTTATTTGAGTTGTTGGCATGGCTGGGTGAGAGTACCGGTTTGCTATACAATAAAAAATCTCATGCTTGATGTCTTGTCAATGTAGTTCTAATCTATAAGTTATAACATTCATTTTTGGTTGACTGAAGATAAATAAGATATTGGAGATTTGTAACACGATTAACTGATTATGTTGTACAATTTATAAAGTAGTTGTTTCTCAGGTGTTGATTTTTATATCTGAATAGTTAGCAATTATGAAATACTACCTTGCAATTTGCTTCCAGTTTCAGAACCGTTTAAAGCAAAATCACAATACGTAGCAATATGTACTATGTGAAGTGTAACACAAATCATTATTTCAATACAGAAATGTTAAATTTTATAGAAATACAACTGTAATTTTGTCCCTGAAACAATAAAAAGGCTTTTATATCTGTATATATATATATATATATTTGTATTACTTCAATTAAATTTGCCATCCTTAGTTGGCATGTCATGCTTTTATTCTACAAATCTTTCTAACATTTCAATCTTTCTGACCAGTTGATGATTCAACAGAATTAATTAGCGTGAGTAGTGCTGGGGTGAAATGGTGTCACTTCTGCTGATAATAACACTGAAATGCTAGTTGAATTTGTGTCACACTTTTGCTGGGTGCTCCACTGTTTATGCCTGTAATATACTATCGGTGATTAGAAATACAGTTTGTCTAATTACCTTTGCCTGACATTAACAAACCGGGGTGTGTAAGACAAAAGTTGGATGTCTCATTGCCCTATTTTTTGAATGACTAGTGCTTAGCTTAGGTCCCATTGCATACTGTTTTATACAATTACTTTACTGTTATTGGCGCCTTCTACCATATACATGATAACTATGTTTGCATGGTAGTACATAAATTTCCTAAATTCTTGCATGTCATTTGGCAGTGTTTTGCACTTTCTTATGCTTTAAATTTAACATCTTACTTTAGTGCAGTTGATATCACAACATTCACAAGCCCCTGTTTTTTTTGTTGACAGAATCAGACTTCGAACATCACCCAGGATTCTCCCTTTTAAATGATTCAGATGAAGATGTTTTATATGGGTAAGTTTTGGCGACTCACATATTTAGCTTTTTGGTTAAAACTACCTATAATGATTGGATTTCATAATGTATAAAGACTTGCCAACTGCAACCAAGCTTTTCATGTCAAGTCACATACCGACCCTAAATGGGTAAAACTGCTGACAGCTGATTTGAAACATACTGCTTGTAGGTAGTTATATTTCTCCATATCTTCTGGTATATGTCAAATGAAGGTTAGATTCATCACAAAATTCACACTATGGTTATTTAATACACTTCGAAGAATCCAAATCTTTGATAATGAAAATTCATGATATATCATTGTTAATTTTTAGAAGTGATTCGGAAGAAGTTCCACTCAGTAATGGCAAGCTTCGAAAACCCCAATATTACGATGATTCAGACTGACCAAATAAAGAAAGTGGGTGCAAAGGGATCACCTGCCAACATACACTTCTGTAAGCTCAATGGAAAATATTGGAGTTCCTTCAAGAGTAGATGAGACATAGTAGCAATATGGATAGTATCATCTTGTATGGATTCATTGCTGATTCAAATGCAGCAAAGCCGAATTTAAATTGTGTTACATACAACTACAATACAAATGTAGTACAAGCGCATACCATGTGGATTCCTTCCAGTTGATGACAAAGAACACTTGGATAATTGCAAGCTACATCGAACTAAAATCAAAATTTCCTGCTATTACTGTTCTTCATTTCATTATCTGTTTTGGTTTGTGTCATGTGATAATGTAAATCATTTATATATTGCATCTGACAGAGTGGCATGAGTGTAGCAATACTACTGGTTATCTATAGTACTTTATTACAGAATTTAACAATAGTTATCGTCAGTAGATTATTTTAGTCTAGTTTTGACTCTTACGTTTTTTCAGTTGGAAAAAATTTTTTTTTGCATATTTTTGTAGATTTTTGTTTTGAATTGTAACAATCCCCATTTGCACTATTTTCTCTTTGTATCTTTTATTTTTGGGCTTTCAGCAATGGTTAGACATCATATAGCTTTTAGTGTGTTTACTGTATTAATACATATATATTCCATAGCTTGCCAATTTGATCTAACATTTCCAATTAAATCATGTTTTATCAAGAGTGGATCGATCACGTTGATAAATCCAGATTTTTGACTCCCTGCAAATATTAATCCACTAATTTGCCAGTCTAAAATGAATGTAGCTGTGTACAGCTGGGGGAAATTTTTCTATGAATTGGGGACAAGTTACTGACTTAACTTGTTATTTAAATCATTGTACATTGGTGTCTGGTATTTGAAGCATCCTTAGACGTGCAATTTAATTAAATTCTTTTTGTAGAGTAATTGTGGTCTGATATCTGGTGTGAGTTAAGGCAATGGTGGGATTCGGGTGCCAACTCATTCTTGGCAGGTTGTCATATTCAGCAAACCCGATATTGTTTTCCCAAAGCTAAAGTGTATAAGTTTGGCATAGTTTTCTGAGGTGAGCGATAGCGGATTCCTTTAGTTTATTCTCTCAGGTCGAAACAATCATTTATTCGAGCATCCCTGGAAAACCAAGTCGAATACAAATACTCGTGGCCCTCGGAAAAGGGCGAATTCAGCTATTTCGTCCAACTACCGAGCGCGTAACTTGCACTCGCCCATAGCCGGCCTATGGCCTACACTAAGCAGGATCTGTTTTCTGGTGCATAAGATTCATATTAGTTTATAAGTTCATTTGGCCAAGTTTACAGTTTTGAGTGCTTGCGTCTAATATTAAAATTTTTCAAAGCAGAAACAAGTCGATTGCTAAATACAATGGATTAGCTCTGGGTGTTATCATAATTTGTGAGAAAGGCTGTAGATTTCACCAGAAGGATCTTGCCTTCAACTGGCGTTATTCTCAATCAAATTGGTTTTCCTGTGTCGATTCAATACATGGTTATCAGCGTCTTTGGTGCAGAATTAGTTGCACAGTTACGTGGCAAAATTCATGACTTGTAATGCAATCGGGAATCGTTAGCTGGTCATATATAATCCGCTTGCTCAAATATAATGTATTATTTGCCATTTTGCGTCTCGAGATTCACATTTCACACTGAGACCACCATGTGGAGTTGTATTGAATTCCCACCAGTTTTACTGTTTTGCCTACACTTCTTTTGACAATATGTATGCACCAAACTATTTAAGAAAAATAGACAAGTGCTTTGGTTTGGTACTCATTACTCAATACAGTTGAAAAGAGTCAGTCGTTAAACTTTTAAATAACATTTCACCGTAACTTTAATACTGTTAAAAAGCGTCAGTAGTTGAATGTTCAAATAGCATTTTGCGTAACTTCAATACTGTTAAAAAGCATAAGTCGTTGAACGTTGAAATAGCATTTCATTAAAGGTATTTTTTTAAGTTTGGGGACTCTATTTAATCTTGCTCTATCATGCTGATGGATTCATAGGCGTATATTAATGCAAAGATGTTTATGGTGGCCTATCGTTGTCATGCGTAAAATTAAAAATAAAAAAAAATTGAAAAATAAAAACGGAATAAAAATAAACGCCAAATAAAAATGTCAGGTGCTTTTGTATTTTGCAAAACGTTGTCATGCATAATTCTACTCGTACAGACGATGTACATGGGTTTCTAACTCACTACTAATTGAGTGCAATAAGTTTAATTTATAAATGATATTTATATAAATTCACCTATCTACAAGTAATGTAATTACCATAATGATGATAAGAGAATATAGGATCGAATAGTAGAGCTCTATATATACTATAGATCAGTGGTGTGCAAACTGCGGCTCGCAGGCCCAATGCGGCCCACAAGAAAAAATTGTGCGGCCCGCGGAGAGTTAATTGGCTACAACTTCAAAAGAAAGACCATGACATAAGTTGGGACACTCCTCACTTGCACATACTTATTATTTTCATGAGAATATTGAACAGCCATAATATTGTTATCATCTCCGAGATTGATAGTTATTTTTGAACAAGCAGTCATTAAGCTCCCTTCATTTGTTTTGCATTCTAGTTGGCTATTTATTTTGTTCTATAGCATGCATAATAAAAGAATTTTTCCTCATATGACTGTTCACATTCTGACATCTGCATGCGCATGTTTCCTTTTTTCTATGCTGGGTTTCTGATATTCCACATGCATGATCTTTGTTTTCTAATTGGGTGGATTCTTTGTGAGGGTTGTAGACGGTACAATTTAACTTCTGTACCTATTATTGTGATTAGGTGGCCAGTCGAGCTATATTTGGATTCTCCCCTATATTTTAACTCGCTGTAGTATTATATGCTGTGTCCTGTGTGTATACAAAGATTTTATCCTTGGTCGAATTCATGCTGTGTAGTTACAGTATGCAAATGTGTGTTGACTAGTGTGATATTAGTGATTAAAATAATGACCAACATGAGTGTGGTTTGACCGACATTAAAAGGTTTTTGCATGATTTGTGAACAGTTTCTCCTGTGTCATAACCACAATCTCCTCTTTTTCAGGCCTTTCAACTAGCAGTTTGATGATAGCTAATTAATATTGATCAATATTTACACAAATCAACAACTTCCTCTTAAAAGTGTAGGGTAGTTTTCTATTGAATCATTATTTGCGAGCATTGAATATTGTACTCGCAGATATATTTTTTCAGGACGTCATGATGATCAATTTAAAAGCTAGCTAATTCAACATAAAAGGTGTTTACATCAGCAAATCTTGCAGATTGATGAATCATCCGTGATGAATTTGAACTGACCACAGTGGTCAACAATCTCAATTAAATTTGCTTGCCTATAATCCATGCCTTCAGAAACCTTACTTGAACCTTCATTAACCTATATATTCCGTAACCAATTTTCCTACCTCTGTATCATATCGCCTAAAATAATTTTAATTACCGGTAATTTTATTGAATAATAGTATTTACAATAATTTGGATAGGATAGGATTAGGATAGGATAGGATTTACATATTTATCCCGGGGAGAGGAAAGCCGATAAGACGGCTTATCCATATGGCGAACCACGGCCTCTCGTCCGGTTACCATTCCAAGTCGGGTATGGGATTAGTTTTTACTGTATTGTTTGTTTTCGGAAGCATGGACTTGGTGGTGGAGGAAGCCGTAACCGACCAGCGGTTACGTGAACCACCCGACGACGGCGAGGAGTCCAGCAATCCTCTCGCACATAACCATCCCTTCATGGGATTCGAACGTGCGAACCCACGTAGAGTAATTTGGACGTTAATTTGGCTTCTATCTGGTGAGTGAAGTAGGTCTATCCCACCTCTTCATGTAATCAACTTGGCACTTCTGATTGGGGAATTTGGCATTAGGTGACTCCAATTATAATCAGCTTGACGATATCTTTTGAGGAATATTTTTCTATCCAAAGTATATAACTCCTGTTGCGTTATTTCGGTATCCAATTCGGCAATTCTCATTAAATTATTAATTTGGTGTGGCAAAATAATTTATCCATTTCTTTTTATTTATTTATATATTTTCCTTTTTACTGAGTAATTGATTTTTTCTCTCGCTTTTTTCACTCCCGACCGTTAGTCGTTGCTCCCGACTTATCATGTCTCAGTATCGATGATTGTATGTGTGTGTGTGTGTGCGTGCGTGCCCTAATTAGTTTTAATACTTTTGGGTAAGCGAACACGTACTACTACTTTTATCAATACCTTCCCATCTAAAATCCGTACGCTTTAAAACTTACTTGAGGTTTCGTTTGCTTTCCCGATTCTATAATCAGTTTTATTTATTTTGTTTTTATCAATTATTTCATCGTCTATTGCTGATTATGGAGTCGAAATAAACTTACTTACTCACTGAAAGTCGGTGTGACAATAAATTTGGATAGCAGTTTTCTTCAGAAGTTAATGCGTTTTACTTCTTCTGAAAGGACCCTTATTAATGCTGTATAATCAATACCGAAAAAAAAAAATATATTTTGTGCGTGCAACTACTAGAAAGGCTATCCTAAATAAAGGTGCGTCCCGCGGCTTCACCCAGCTACTTTTATCTGGTCCTCCTGTAATAAAGGTTGCACGTCCCTACTGTAGATGACAAATTGGTTATTCGTTTCTCCCCTTTCTGCTTCACGCTACGTTTCCGGCACTTGGTAATTGATAAAGATAGGCAGTACGAAGAATTCTAAGCAAGGGACTTCGTATGGGTATTACGTATGATGTTTGCGGACGCGGATGTCTGGATTCTGGACAGGGAAGTGAATTTAATCTGTTTCGTGTGGGTGTGCGTACGGTAAAGTCTGAATGTGAAAAGTATGCAGAAAAAAGTTGTTTGCAGTTATTTTTCGGTACTGGGCTTGCCGATATAAGATCGCGATCTGAAGCCTGAAAAAAGTCGGGAAACATTGGTTTGTAATATAATATTTGTTATTTATTTTTTGATAAAACAGGTTTATGTATTTTAGTCTATTGCATTTTTTATGCAGTTTAGTATGTCTGTATGTGAAAAGAATCATAGAAATAGCAACATCAAACCATATTTGCTGGTACCGGTACGTGTTTGTAATTCAATATGAATTATAATTGTTAATTTATATTCTAATCCCTGCTACCCTGTGTGAGGTTATATCAATACTTGGCTGTAGTATTGGAAACCATGATATTGACTATACCTTTAAAACTGTTCAGTCTGGATGATGTAACACCTTGTGTCTTCTTCAATGACTTTCTGGTGAACTGTAGAACAGATCATTTTCCGGTTTTCGAGGGAGATACTTACAATGATTTGCTTGTTAAATGTGGAATAAAATGTCACATTTCTCCTGTTTACTTGCCGATGTTTGCTATTTGGAATCCATCGGATAAATCGTGGAAAAATATGAACAGGGGTATCGACATTACAGAAAAGTTTTTGGAATTTAGAATTCGATTCATAGTCAAATTAGAAGCCCAAATAGCTGGAGAAAGAAAAATCGCCAAACGTTGGTCTCTTCCTGGAGAACAAATAACACGTTGCATGGACAGCACGGTGATTGCGTATTATTATCATCAACTCAGAGATGATTATTTGCTCGATAAATTAACATTAAACACCGGTGATCAATCACAAACTGATATTCTTTTATCTGCTTTTGAGATTGCTGTCTATGATATTCTGTGTATGTCCAAAGCTGCCAATGTTAATATAAATGCAGTTAAACATCAAATTAAAATTAAAAAACTTTTGCCCAAGTCTTGTTTTCGTTCATTTAGACAAGCTGAAATTAAAAGAAAATTTAATCAACATTGGAAGCAATTTTTATCAAGTGCTCAGAACTGGGAGGAAAATCATCATAGATTGGTGTTCTATCATCAAAGATACATTTCAAACTTGGATGAGTTTCTTGTATCCCATGGTACAGAGTCATATAAATTGGCCATGAATGGTTATGTCACTGTTAGTGCAGATTTGGGAATAACTTTTCACAGAAATAGCGATGATGATGATGAAATCACAGAACACTGGGGTGAATTCTGGGAACTTACCGACATGTCACTTAACTTTCAAAATAGCATGGTAACCCTTGGAAAATTTGATGGAAGCGTGAAAAAGTTTGAAATGAAATCTATATATGAAACAGAAAATTTAGCTTCATGCATAAATGGATATTATAATTTACTCGTTGATGCTCATCATTATTTATGTATGGAAGTTACCTCGCCTATGCTGATTGAACATCTTATACTAGGATGTCATGGACCAATAACACCATCATTTGCAGAAGAATCCCTAAGAAAGAGAGAGGCTGAAGGAGTTGTTGAAGTAGGGGACTGCATTTTACGCCAATCACACGATACGCATGGTGAATATTATGTTGATACCGTTTTCGATCATTCTCCTCTTCAAATTAGAAATTTCAAACTCAACAGAAATCCTTCTGGGCAACTAGGAATATTTGGGTTAGAACATTCATATAAGTATAAACATATTTCCCAGCTCCTCAATTCATGTAAAGATGGACGCTTCGATGAAGTTGAAGTACCAATCAAACCAAATAAAATAGTTTTCCCTCAAAGTAAACAGAGAAATAATTTGATAGTAAATCTATGTTGCAATCAAGAAAATAGAGAAACTGATTTTTATAACGTACGAGGAATCGTCCCTACAACTGTTCTTATCAGACTTGAAGATTATTCTCATGTGCGTTATTTGGGCAGTAGTCATTTTACTGATGTTAAAAGATATACAAAAAGAGGTGAAACTGACAAATACATTGTTTTCAAAACAATTATTGATCAAGATATAAACACAGCTGATTCAAAAGCACTTAATGACCATATCAATATCTCTCTCCAAGAGTCTACGGCGATACTAAACCGTTTGGAACATAACCATATAATTCAGCATATTGGAATGACATTAAATAATATGTTAGCATTTGAATACCTTCGTTTTGGATCAATCACCTCTTATCTAGAAAATGTTCAGAAAAGTGAATTATCGCATAACCCGACTTGGCTGTTACAAGTTATTTTACAGATAACCCGTGCCTGTCATTATTTGGAAGAATTGGGTTTTGCACATGGCAATTTACAAGGGAAAAACATACTCTTGCAAAATGACTATCCTCAGCCCCATATCAAATTAGCAGATGCTGGAGTTTTAACAAGAATCAGAACAAGTGAAGTTTCTGACACTTGTAAAAGATTATTTGTTGAAGCTCGATTGACCTCTCCCTGGCTTGCTTATGAATTTTGTGATATCGATGATTCACCAAATTTTAACAAATATCCAACAATTGCAGGAGACAAATGGAGTTTTGCAACAACGCTTTGTGAGATTTTAAATTTTGGTAGAATAACTGTGGATCCTATGAACGGGAATGAAATGACAGAAAAAATGAAAACGTTTTACAGAAATGGTACTTTGAATCAATGTTTATGTATACCAGAACTCATTACAAACAACGCCAAAATTAACAACTTAATTTGTTCTTGTTGGTCTAAGAATCCCAGTGAACGACCATCTTTTCACAACATTTTACGTGAGTTGGGATCCACTATAGCTAGTGATCACGCTTTATCGCCTCTTCCCGCTCAACCAATCTGTGATATGATTGTTGAGATTGAGCACGACCTACCTACATACGAAGATGAGAAACTGACTTGCCGCAGAAGCTTAGGTGAAGGGCATTTTGGTTGTGTCGAACTCTGTGCCTATGATCAATACAGAAATAACAATTTTGAATTTGTCGCTGTGAAACGATCGAAGCTACCAATGAATAAAAGACTACAAGAGTTTACTCAAGAGATAGAAACTATGAAAAAATTGAATCATCCTTATGTTGTACGTTTACTCGGAGTTGCTACTCCATCTAACAGGATTGTTATGGAATATCTGAAAAATGGATCTCTTGTGGATAATTTGAGAGAAAAGAAAAGAACTGGTAGAACATTACCTATGTCTACACTACTACAGTTTTCATCACAAATTGCTGAAGGTATGGTAGCTCTGCAGCAAAAACGTTTGATTCACAGAGACTTAGCTTTACGTAATATTTTATTAGGAAACGACTTAGACCACCCTCGCATAAAAATATCAGATTTTGGGCTGTCTCGTTTTCTCGGCGAAGATGCAGATGCCTATATGGGAAATCTCATTGATTTCCCAGCCAAATGGTATCCACCTGAATGCCTTTGCAAGGAAGGTATTGGTTTCCAATTTGAATCAGATGTTTGGTCATATGGAGTAACTCTATGGGAAATGTTCTCTTATGGGGACAAACCAGTTTACCAGACTTGCCCTGAAATCAGATATCGAGAACAGTTACAAGATTTACTCAATTGTTTAATAAATGATGAAAGACTGCAGAAACCAAGAGATTGTCCTGTTGAAGTCTATGAACTAATGTTGCAGTGTTGGGCATATGCACCTTCTGATAGATTATCTTTTGTTGAAATTAAAAACAAACTTGATGACTTGTTTCCACATGCTGATCAGCTTCCTTTATAAATATAATGAATGATTGCATAACATAATATTTTTTTTTTATAATTTTGCTATATGAATTTTTTTCAATTACTCTATGTCAATTAAGCATTTAATTTTTCTGATTATAATTATTTCTGACAGCTTAGTATTAATAATTTTATATTTGCTTGAAAGTTTTTTCTGTTTTATATTTTTTTGATAATAGCATGAATTTTATGTTTTAAAATACTTTTCTCCTTTGAAGTTCAAGAATTTGAAGAATTATAAAAATTATATTTATGACATTTTAACTCTCTCTATTTTAACTCGAAATAGAATAAACTTTTTAACTGTATATTTATTTATACTTTCATTAGTTTTATATGTTTTAATAGATGTTTACATTAATTAATAATTTTATGCAGTAAAATTGTATTTAGAAAATGAATAGGCCTGTTAGGAAATCATTGTCAATTGATTACTTCAAAGAAGAAACATATTTCCTAATGTTTGACATGTGACTGTGCCACTTATTATGATATAATAGAATAGTGGTGTAATTATGTATAATTAAATTTTACAATTTGTACACCAGTGTTGTTATTTCTATGTCATACGTATCAAAATTTGAATTGTCATTTTGTGCAAACTAACTCAAAACTGCAATATTTATATATAATTGAACTTTTTATTAATCTTATTTTTTATTTACATTACCAACATAATACAGTATTTCTTAAATTTTACCAAATCCTAGACAATGCCAGCCACAAATTTACTGCCAACCTGATATTGATACCTGTGGCATCTTGGCCATTGCCCACCTGCAATCATACATATAAATTGCTTTGGATCGAGATAGCTTTAATTGATCAGATATATCAAAATATCTGATCAGAGGTTAGAAATAGATGACAATTTTTTTCACGATTAACTGCTTTAAAGTAAACATTTAAAACGTGTGTCAACTGTTTCACATTCATTCCTCCTTTTGTGTTGTGGATCTATTGAAATCCTTAAATGCTCTGTAAATCTTTTTCCCAATCATGAGAGTACATTAATCATAAATTCCCATATTTTTAACATATTGTATTGTATTATTCATGCAATACCTAGCTTGCAAGGCTTTTGTTTTTAATTTTGTAATTTTATTCAATCATGTGATGTTTCCTGTTTTGATGATTGCGTGCTCGTTGTGTGTGTGTACCCATACGATAAATAGATAACAGATGTTTAATTAGTAAACCTGTTTTTATTATTGATAGCCTCCTAATGTACCTGATGTTTGGTTTTAATCGTATGTTTTTGTTAGTGAAGCCTGAGTTTTTGTAATAGTCGTATTTTAATAAAAAAATTCTAATAATTTTAGATTGTATAAATAGAAATAATACTAGAAAAAATGAGTATCCCTGTTAAAGTATTCATTGGAAAAACTTTGATAAATGGTGCGAAAGCTACCATTGATGACTTGCTTGTCAACTCTGAAATCGTTGAATTTCCAGTCATTCCTGGAGATACGTATGATAATTTACTCACTAAATGTGGAATAAAATGTCACATTTCTCCTTTATACTTATCAATGTTTGCTATTTGGAATCCTGTGGACAAATCTTGGATGAATCTAAGCAATGTTATCGATATGCAAGATAAGCATTTGGAATTTCGAATTCGATTTGTTGTCAAGACAGAAATGCAAATAGGAGGGCAGAAAAAGGTTGCAAAACGTTGGGCACCTCCAGGAGAAACTTCACCTGCTTTTATGGATGACACATTAATTGCTTATTATTACAGACAACGAAGAGATGATTTTCTGCTCGATAAAATCAAGTTTTCTATTGAGGAATCATCACAAACTGATTTGCTATCGGCAGCACTTGGTGTTGTAGTTCTGGATATGATGTGCATGTCAAAAGCTGGAAATATGGATGTGTCTGCTGTAAGACGTCGAGTGAATTTTAAGAAACTTTTGCCGAAATCGTGTCGCCACCAAATGTCTGAATTCAATTTCTGCAACAAAATTCGAGTCAAAAATAAATTTGACCATTATTTGAGATATTTTTCTCCAACTGCTCAGATTTGGGACAGGAACGGTTATTCGTTAGCATTCTTTCATCAGAGGTATCTGTTGAATTTGGAATTGTTTTCTGCTTCTTATGGAGTGGAACGATACGATCTGGCTAAAAGTGGATATATAACAGTCAGCGGAGATTCTGGAATAACATTACATAGTGATGAAAGTGAGGAAAATGCAGAAAAATGGTGTGATTTTTCGGAGCTGACTGATATGACTCTTAAAACTCCGGCCAATCTAGTAAGTCTTGGAAAATTTGACGGTAGTGTAAAAAAATTTGCCATGAAATCTGAGGCCACAGCGGAAAATTTAGCATCGTGCATTGATGGATATTATCGGTTACTCGTTGATGCACATCACTATTTGTGTAAAGAAGTTTCATCACCGTCATTTATTGACCAATTAAGTTTGGGATGCCATGGACCAATAACACGCTCATTTGCTGAAGATTTACTAAGAAAAAGAGAGGCAAAAGGTATTGTTGAAGTAGGTGACTGTATTATCCGTCAGACGCATGATTCTTATGATGAATATTATGTCAACACAGTGTGCCATACATCACCCCTTGAAATTAGAAATTTCAAATTGGATCGCGGAAGAAATAGTCAGCTTGGATTATTTGGTTGGGTGCAATCTCATAAGCATAGAACCCTCGTGGGACTTTTACACGCCTGCGAGGATGGTCGTTATGATGGAGAGGAAATTCCTATCAATCCAAGTCGTAAAGTTTTTCCACAAAGCAAACACAAAAGCAACCTTCTTGTCCGTTTGTGCTCCAGTGCGGAGGATAGGGATAGCGAAGATTATGATGTTCATGGTATTGTACCAAGGACTGTGCTCATTAGGTTGGAAGACTATTCACATGTTCATCTTTTATCTAATGGAAATTTCACAGACGTTAAGAGATACACTAGAAGGGGTGAAATAGACAGATATGTTGTCTTCAAAACGATCATAGACCAGCGACCAGATGATGCATTGCATCATCATATTAATATATCTCTTCAAGAGTCGACAGCCGTATTAAACAGACTCAACCACCAGCATATCGTTCAACATATTGGAATGACATTGAATAATATGGTCGCATTTGAACATATCCGCTTTGGTTCAATCACCACTTATTTACAGAGTGACAGAAGAAATGAGGTTGCTTTGAATCCAACTTGGCGTTTGCAGGTTCTTTGGCAGATTACTCGCGCCTGTCATTATTTGGAAGAATTGGGATTTGCGCATGGAAATCTGCAAGGAAAAAACGTGCTTTTACAAAGTGACTACCCACAGCCCCACATCAAACTCTCCGATGCTGGAGTCCTTACAAGAATCAGAACGATTCGAGTTTCTGAAACGAACAGGAGACAAATTGTCGAACCGAGGTTGACTTCACCGTGGCTTGGCTATGAATTTTGTTTTATCGATCATCTGCCTCAGATAACCAAATATCCAACCATTGAAGGAGATAAATGGAGTTTTGCAACAACGCTTTTTGAGATTCTAAATTCTGGTAGAATTACTGTTGATCCTATGAATGGAAATGAAATGACTGAAGATATGAAGACGCATTATCGTAGTGGGAGTTTAAGTCGTTGTTTATATATACCTGAACTTATTACCGACAATATCAACTTGTTCAATCTTATTTGTAGCTGTTGGTCCGTACATCCATATCGTCGACCGTCCTTCCAGAAAATTTTGCGTGAATTGGGATCCACTTTGACCAGTGATTATGTACTGTTACCATTGCCTGCTGGACCAGTTTGCGATATCATTGTTGAGCTTGAACATGATTTACCAACATATGAGGATGAAAAACTTACTTGCCAAAGTTCTTTAGGTGAAGGACATTTTGGATGTGTAGAACTCTGTGCTTATGATCAGTATCGAAACAATCACACTGAACTCGTTGCTGTGAAGCGGTCAAAACGTGGAAACAATCGAAGGCTTCAGGATTTCACTCAAGAGATTGAGACAATGAGAAAACTGAATCATGCATATGTTGTTCGTTTACTAGGGATCGCAACCCCTTCTGGAAGAATTGTGATGGAATATTTAAGAAACGGTTCTCTTGCAGAGGATTTGAAAAAACGGAAAATATATGGAAGGATGTGGCAAACTTCCATGCTTCTACGTTTTTCATCTCAAATCGCAGAAGGTATGATAGCGCTCCAACAAAAACGTATCATACACAGAGATTTGGCACTTCGTAATATTTTACTCGCTAATGATTCCAGTAACCCACACATAAAAATATCAGATTTCGGACTATCAAGATTTCTAAGTGAAGACAAAGATGTATATGTTGGAAACCTTACTGAATTCCCATCACAATGGTATCCACCAGAATGTCTATGTGAGGAACCACGCAAAGCATTTCAATTTGAATCTGATGTTTGGTCATATGGTGTCACAATATGGGAAATTTTCTCCTATGGTGATAAACCAAATTACAAAGATGTTCCTCAAGTCACAAGAACAGATCAGTTGAAAGATTTACATAACTGCTTACAAAGGAATCAGAGATTGGAAAAACCACAATACTGCCCAAGAAATGTTTACCAGTTAATGCTTGATTGTTGGGCTTATGCACCAGCAGAGAGACTAACTTTTGTTGATGTTAAGACTAAATTGGATAGTCTTAGTCCACATGCAGACCAGCTTCCATTTTAGAAATAACTTTGTTCCTTCGTGTATTAAACCCACTGAAACGTCAAAGAAATTCCACTTATTTCTAATGACTCTTTATGCTTGAGATGTTTTTCTGTATCAGATTTTCAATAGAGTATAAATTATTCAGCAAGACAGTATATTGTGTCTATACTGTTCCGCTGCTATATTCATATCTAACGATCTTAAAATTGTTAAACATTATCACATTGCCACTAAAGTTATAAGAATATTTGGAAATAATGCATATAGCAAATTCAAGGATCCCACATGTAACTGTTTTTGAAAGTATGTCATCTGCTGACTTAGTGAAAGTCAACTTGAATAATATATGGGATAATTTCTATACCCCATCAAGCTTTATGTGAATGTCGATAATCTAGGAAGGAGGGGAGGGGGGGGCATAGATAAAAATGAAATATCGATCAGAAAATTATTTTTATTTCTTGCCATTCATTCGGATAAATTAAGCATAACAATAATGCCCCTCAGTATAGTACCTTTTTCTACTTTCTAATAAGGAGAGGAAGCTTTTCTAAGGATATAGTTGAAACTGGAAATATCTTTTTTTATTAACACTCAATATATTGTCCATTACTAAAAGTGTTGTTTTATTTGACTTTTTTATATCACTCTTATTTACATCTTTCGCTCTGAAAAAGGCCCTATTCAGTCAGCCACTGGTAACTAACGATACGTAAGGAGTTACCGTCATTTGGAAGGACCGGGACCTTTCCGGTTTGAAATTGCCTACCCAGGTGGGGTCATGGGATCTGAACCGGGGCTGTGTAGTTTGAGTACCAACAGGTACAAGTTAATTCTAACACTTGAGCGCTAGGCTGTCAGGTACAATTTTCTCACTTCCCATTCTCTTATTGATAATGTTTTCTGCTATATTAATTTGACTGGGCTTGAGTATTAACTCGTGTTATGCTAAAATATTAATTATTCATTTTTATTATTCGAGGTGCATCTTCTAATTCCTATTAATTTGAATCCAATGATGACAACATTTATCATGCAGTATGCTCTCTATGCTTTTTTTTTCGCATTTTTTATATTGTTCTTCCTTTTAATTCCTTCCTGCTTTTGCCGAATTGTGTTTAATTATTGTGTAATAGTGCTAAATAAGATTCTTTTTGTTGATTAAAAATCAGCTTTCTTGCCTGTAAATAATTTTTTTTATCTTACTATAATTTGATCAGTGTGCGGTAGCCGGTAATGTTCCTAATCAATTATGTACTGTGTAAAGTGAGTTAGGATTTGGTGTTCCATTCAATGGAAATATCATCAAATCTGTATTTTTTGTATGTTGTGAATTTAAATCGGTAATATGTGGTTTTATCTATATGTAAGGTGTCCATTAATCATTGCTATTCGAGCAATGTTATTTTGATAATTTTTATTGTAAATTTGCCATTCTTGCTGTGAATTCATGTATTGTCAAATTTTATTATGTAAAAATTTCCAAATATCATTATCACAATAAAAATTCGAACCCTTTGTATTTTGAACACAATACCTGAAGACTTTAAAAAAGTACAGTTAAGACAAAGTTAATGCGATTCCAAAAAAAAATTGTGTGATCGATATTATAATTTTTTACGATAAAAATTTTAAAATTTATTATGATTTTGCTGCAATAGCTTGACTAACATTAATCAAAATTTATTACAAACAGATAATATATGATGTTAAACGAATTAATTAGTTGACAGACACTTTGGATCAGTTTTCAAATATTAAGCTTTTCCTTTATTGTTTAAGTAAGTTTCCAGCTATATTTGTGTAAGCCATTTTGTCCTTTTTCTTCAGATTTGTTCCAGTTTATGGATGAATTTTATCGTTTATGGTAGTTTAATCTATTTCAAGCCTTTGCTTCACCATATCCCAAGTATGATGAATATTGGGTAAATATGCACTGCCTTCTTTTTATCGTGTATAATACATGTTGTTTATGAAGTTACTGCATCTTTGATTAACAACAGGGAGAAAGGGATTGTATCATTCATATAGAATTAACCGACGACGAATTGACTTATTTTTGCGTTAGGTGGCCTGGCCGTCACAGGAACTGGCTTCAGTAAGCGTGAGTTCTCTACCACAATTGTTTTCCTACTTAGTCACTCTTATATTTGGAATATGGGAAATTCCTAATAGCACTTCAATTCTTCGAAATCGTGATGTTACAATCGCCGCTATCAATTTAGTAGTTTGTGGATCGAAATAATCTGTTGTTCATGCCTATATTTCCATACATTTGAGTCACAAATGTACATAAAATTCCTGGGTTTATATTTACACTTTCAAAGTGGTTCTGTGATGTCAAAACATAATGGGGTAGGCCTGCCAGTACCGAGTTATATTTTTTAATTTTTCTCCAGTGTTCCGATAGTACAGGCCGGGGGATGCGCGATTTTAGATTCAAATATGAGAGTACGGTATATAATTTTTAAACATAATCATATAAACGGATACAATATGGACATATAACAAGTGTGTCTAACTGTTGTTACGTAAAAACTCTCAGGCGTTTCGCGTCATATTTTTGTCTCACAAATTTTTTTTTTGATTGACGTATTTCATGATGACAAATATACATGTGATGTATTGCATATGGGTCGCTCTGGAATGTTTAATTTGGGTTCTGCTCCACTAAGAAGGTTAAAAACTCTACCAAAATATAGAAAGTGTGCCTTGACTATGCATGTCTGTCCCGTCATGTATTTTCGAAACCCGTCATTTTCGTGTTGACTATCGGTCTGTTGATGAACACTGATCAACGTTTGTCGGTCGGTTAGCTCCAAAAATCATTAATTTGATCCCAGATCGGGCTTGTTGGAATAGACGTTAATACTAGTCTCGAAAACTAAAATGTTGCCGCCTTAAAATGTCTTTATTTAATCGAAGTCGTTTGAAAGATATTACAGCAATTTTGGAAAATATTTAAATTCTATGCAAGAAAGGCTTACTACCGTTACCAAGTGCCTACGCCAGTAAAGCCTGCCTAGCTACTTGCAATGCCAATCGTGGCTAATATTTGATTATGCAACTGAGGCGATGTCCGTATGTAATTTAACTTCTGTTTATAATTTACTGTATACAAAATGATTCATCCTCTTCCTAGAGATATCGATATATCGTGTGTGATTCCATGAATTTCAGTTCATCGAAGTTAATGAGTACTTGCTTACAATGGGTGGGGAAGCAAAGGGATATCCTGCTGAAACGGAAGCTTCCAATGAGTCCGAAGAGAATTACGATTTGCAATGCAGATTAATACCATTTAACTAAAAAATCGAAAGCTTTCCGAAGCAATAGCTCAGATTAGGCCGTGCTAATATCTATGTAAGCTAACTGTTGTCAATCATGTTACATGATGAAATCCCGGTTACATATCCATAACAATGTTGATTAAAAGGTGGTTTATCGTGGAAAATCTTTTGTGAGGAATTTGATATACATATACGCTTACTATTTACTCAAAGTCGACTTAGTTTCATACGAAATCGATCGCAGTTGTGACTTTAGAAACGACGGGTGATGACGTATTACTGAGTCATATAAATATGTGGTCTATTTCGCCCCTTTTTTTTGAAATCTGCTATGACTCAGACTCGTGGTACCGTGGCTCCGATTACTCTAGAATCGGATGACTCATAGTTTAGAGGCTAACCAACACTGGATCCACAATCTTGAAGGCCGCTATCGATTTAGTTCGAAATAATCGCACCGTCAAATCTCGCAAAATTCAGAAACTTGAAAATCAGCATGCCTGCGTTTTTCGTTCTGCATGCTTTTCTTGATTAATATTACCATCCAAATAAAAGGTTATGAATCTTTTTTTGTTTGATATTGAAAATAGTTGTAGAACATTGTAATATTTCAGAGCTCCCTATGGAACATTTTGAGAACATACATATAATTTATGGCATTGTCTTATAATTCCCCAAAATTGAGAAAGTTTCACTCTGATATATAAAAGAGAAGAAATGGGCTTGAGTCTTCAAGATTCACTAAAACAGCTTTTTTTTAAATGCGATTTCACTCCGAGAAAAGCTTGACACAAGAAAAAGTTGATCCATACATAAAAAGTTTTCATTTTTTGGATGTACTAGAATCTTTAAATCCTACCCTGTTCATTACACCTTGTGTGAGGGGGCTGAATGGAAATCGGAGCTATCTTCAGCTCTGAGACAACCTTGCCATCTAATGCCTAAACAGATTAATCACCGCAATCCTAGATCGCAGGTTTCAACTCAGTGGTGAAAACTCAATTAAAATTGTGTGCATAACTGTCTTGCAAAGGCCCCAGCAGAGTTCTTTAACAGCCAAAATTCACCCAAAGTAAGTTGAGATAAATTAAATGATCTCATGTAGTAGGTATTAGAAGTGTTTCAATCTCAGGGGAAAGTTTGTAGCATACCTGAGGATTCCTCCAAACGCTAGCAGTTCTTTCATTATCATTGCAGTAACAAGGGCGGGGTTCTTAAATCCTAATACAATGAAGGACTATTCCAATTGGACAAAAATCGACCAATAAGAAAATTCCGAAGTCACGTGACCTGCGCAGTACCAAAACGGACAAGCACTTGCCATGCGCGAAAATTCATCGTTTTTGACAGTTGCCAGATTTCAGAATTTTGTTTTTGAACGGTGCGATTCTGAATCAGACCGTTCAAAAAATATCTGGCAACCGTCATTTTTTTTTAAATCTCGCGCATGGCAAGTACATGACCGGTAATGTACTGCGCAGGTTGAAAAATTTTGAATCAGCCAATGGGAGTTGAGTATTTTCATGCGCATGGCAAACAGCAACTTCCGGCAAGGGGTTGAACTTCCTGTTAAGATGTTCGTCTGCGCATGGCTGAAACATGGCAGATGGGGTTCTGCGCCGATCACGTGACTTGAAATACGCGTTATGATTGGCTGTTAGTTATTGATAAATATTTAGGAAATTCTAACTTGGCCACATGTTCCCAAGTTACTCCAGTTCTGGTCTAATAATGGCGGACGGACTTGGACTGTGAATCTTAAGCTTACTAATTGTAAAATAATTACTGAATTGGAAGGCTTTGAATTATATTTCAACCCGATAAGTCGTCTCAACTGTTTTCCTCTCCCACAGAATAATCTTTTTTCGCTCCCCGCCTTACGGAGTATATGGATCTTTGAAACATAACATGAGTGTTAAACACTATGGGTGGCATTCCTGCGGAACTAGCATTGAAGTGACGTCATAATTTAGCAAAACACTTAAAAATTTCCTTTTTTCAATTTATTCACATTTTCCTTGACAAACAAGCATTTCAAAGTACATTTTTCAAATTTAATAAAATACGAGGCACACAAAATACCAAAAATTCTAATATTTCATCAATATAAATAAATAATATAATTTGCATTTTTAGAGAGCTTTGTGTAAAGTTGAGATATTGTGTATTTTTGAGTATCAACATTGAAAACTGGGTAACATTGCTTCGAATTAAAATGGTTTTACTTGATAGGCCATAACTGTACAAAACTTACAGGGTGTTTCGGACCCGGATTTGGGCGAGCAGAGAATTGGGCATATAGAACCAGGGGCCAGAAAATTTCCAAGGGAGGTTCTGAAATTTCTTTTCGCCAATTTCGACCAAAGACCGGAAAACATGGGCCTTCGTGAGTCTTGAGTGTGTAAGAATAATTACGAGCTACGAAAAGTTATGCATGCTACAGAAAGATGCCTATATTTTTTAGCATTTCGGAAGGGGGGAGGGGGGGGGGGGGGGGGGTCTGAAAGCAGATAGAATAGCGTAGAATAACACAGGTATGGGCATGGGTCTCTTGCTAAACTCAAACTAAGGCCGTGAACAAGTCAATATCAAAATACCAGGATTTGGAGGTATAACGTTTTAAGCTTTTTCTCCAAATAAAGCCATTAATCCTTATTGCTAAACAGGTTTAATGAGCAATGCTTTGGTTAAGTAGATACATAAGCAAAAGAAACCCAACTCGGGGCATGGGTGCTCTATAGCTTGGATTAAACTATGCCCCAAATTATTTCTGAACAAGCAGATATGACTGGGCTTCGATTTTCTGCCGAGTCTGACCTATGCTCTTGAGAAGGCACTGGACGTTACTGCAGCGTAGGGCTTTTCAAAGAGACAACAGAAAAAATTTTGCTACCTTCCAGTTCCAGGGTGAAGTGACGGTCCGTTCTTCAAAATATGCAAATATTCAGTAAAATTGTGACACAAAAAGGTAAATTCAATATATGAGCATATATAGAATACGATTATAAATAAAATTGTGTATATGGGTGATTCTTTTGGGCGGAATTTAACATATAATGCGAGTAAATGCAGCACAGCTTCTTATAGGGTTAAGCAAGACGGGACGGTCACAGATTTTCGACAACTACAAGTCTTTACTCAAAAATAAAGATATTCATAGGAGCGATAGTTTCAATTCGAATTTAGGGTTATGTGTATTGGACGCTCATTGGTTCGTTTATATTCACAAGGAGAATGTAGACAATTATTTAAAGCTAATTAAAGATAAATGTTAGATTTGATCTTGCCCTCCTCATTCTCATCTTGGATATTGACATTTTATCCTTGGTATTTGTAGCTTATTGTTAGGTCGGGGCTTGACATAAAAAATTGAGAACCGCTGCTTCAGATTTAGGTTTAGAGATTGTGACAAAACTGATTCAGAAGAAAAATATATATGAAAGTAATATCGACACTACATTTTAATGTGAAACAGATAAAAGAGCTTAAATAGAAAATAATGATGAAAGAAATAACCCTGGCTAGAATGAGAAATGGTGTATATTGGAGGAATTCGTTCATAAGTTTTACAAAAAACTTGTGTATATTGATACTTCTTTGGACGAGAATTTTCATTGAAAGAGTGAATTTAAAACTTAATAATTGAAGGCTTATAAATCTCAACTGTGATCAATTTAAATTTTTTGGCAGAATCAGTAGACTTTCTAAAGGATTCTGGATTGTTTCAATGAATTCTCATAAGAGTAAATTTTGAATTATAAACTTGGATTTTTAATTTTTATTATTAAAATCGGAAGCGTTTACTTGGGAGTCCAGAGTAATAGTACCCGATAAATATAGATGAGCTTTGTATAATTTTGCAATTTGATATTCCTTAAAAAAAATGAAATCGTTGTCGCGCTCAAAAAAAATTGTAACACGGAGTAAATTTTTGCGTAATAAAGCTAAATTCAGCATTTTTTATCAAACCTAAAGCATTAACTGAAGGCCAAGGTACAATTTTCTGATCAAGTTTTGAATGATTTAAAACAGATTCAAATATTAACACCTTCTGAATCAGTAAAAACTAGCATGAATATCTTGTGACAATCACAGAAAAAAGTATTTGAAACAATCAAAACATGACAAAAACAATACATTTCAATGTGAAATAAAAGCGTCAATAGAAATCAGACACAAAAGAATAAATAACAAATTCAAACAAGGCAAAACATGGTGTATATGAAAAAATCGTACAATAAAAGATGGGAAAATAAATTAAGGTACTGAGGCACAGTATATCAATCAGAGGTGGTGAATCTGGTGGAGGCGGTGTGATTTTGACAAAATTTTTGTCATAGGTTGTAAACCCACAAACTGCAGCTCAATTAAAAGTCAATTTTGTGAAAATCTTCGGTTTTTAAATGGTCATACCAGATTTGCTTATCATCTAGAGCAGGGGTCGGCAACCTTTTGTCGCTCGCGGGCCAAAATTAAAGGTTGCAAGTCATTGGCGGGCCGCACATATTTTTAGAAAGTTAAAAAACGAATGGATGACCGATGAATCACATTTAATCACACAGATCAGAAGGTAAATTTTAAACAGCGCGCGAAGACTGACCATTTGAATATTTTTTGCGCCATTAAACCATTCGCACTTAGCATCAACTTTTCTGCGTTTTGTTGCTATTTGTCTAAATTATAATTAAATTATAGGCTCATTAAACGAGTAATTGTGAATTATATACTTGTTACGATATCATATAATTTAGTCTAACGTAAATTATTTTGCGTAAAGAATATAATCGACAAAACAGCTATACTGTGTTACTATAATTCAGTGAAGCGTCGCGGGCCGGATTATATTGCTCCGCGGGCCGTAGGTTGCCGACCCCTGATCTAGAGCTTTCATAGAAAACAAAATTAAAGCAAGGACCGTGATACCTCGGTAGTCAAACGACTTAATTATTAAACAAGTCAGTAGTTGACTGAAAAATACTGCTGTATTCAAACGAAAAATTCGGTGCTCAAATACCAGAGTGTGCCACCAAATAAGAAGAGGTCTTGTCAATGTTTCGGGTATTTTGGAATATTTGAATAGATTCAAATAGTAAATTATTATAATAGGTTCAGAGCAAAATTTCGAATCGCCGCCATTCGTGGCGAATCCACCAATTCCCTTAATTGTTGAGGTTAATAAGGAAAGGAAAGGGAGGGAGGCGGATAAAAAAATGAAAAATGTGGAGGCAAAAGATAATTGAAGAAAAGAAAGCCAAGGTTGTGCAATCCCCAGATTCGAATGTGACTCGCTTGCAAGTTCATAAATTTATTGAAACAATTGCGAGTTTGACATTGGGGTCATCTGATAGTAATAAAAATAATTACACGAAACGTGCAACTAAGTCTGGAACCAAAGCGGCGACTTCAACACAAAATATATTTGCTGAAATCAAAGCGAAGTCAAAATTTGTTCGTATAATTTAAATTCAACACAGTCGCAGATTCCGTAACTACGATTTCATCATTATCATTCTGTTCAATTTTTTTATATTTCCCGTAAAAATTCACACCGAATCATTTCGGGTCGAAAATTCAGAAACGTACAAGACCTGCAAAAAACGGAATACAGAACATCGAGCTTAGTATCAATAATACGATAATGAACACGGTCCATGGCGAATAAGTTAACTCGTCTTTCGTGTCTGCGTCTTTGTTCCAACTTTCAAGTGTAGTAACTCGGAGGGTTGAGAAACATTTCCACGAAGCTTGCAATCAGGATACCAACCATAGTAATTGGGCGGGTATATTTTCATGATATTTTCCAATACAATCCAGATTTTGAATGAATCATTCTCTCTATGTCCTTTTCGAAGCTGGAACAAAAAAATAACTGGACCTGTTATTTGCCAAAACACTATTTTTTACAATACATGACATGATTATACTCGCTTTGAGCATTGCCCTAAACAAGACTCCAAACAAGCTGCCACTGCTTTTCGGCTTTGCCTACCCAATTCATTACACCTAAGTGATGTGGTGAGTATGATGGTTAAGTCCTACGCAACTAGGCATCCTTGCATCATGAAAAATATAATTGAATATCAGAAATATTCCCTAGATAGTTTGTGTTAAACAAAGGTGCGGCCTACGGTTTCACCGAGTTATTTGTATCTGCCCCTCCTGTAATAATAACGGTTGCGCAACCCTGTCTTAAAGTCTCGCTTTTAACAAAGTTTAATATAAAAAAAATTGAAACAAGTTAAAGCCCTCACTTCTCTAGTTTGAAGACCCAAGCAACTGCAACTCTTTTGAAGAGTGCGACAGAAACAAGTTCAAATGTAACTTAGTTACCAGAGTATCCGTCGAATACGTCTGTATGTCGAGAACGTAACTCCAGAACCCATCATGAAGATTAAACCGATTACAGACATGCCTGAAAATGAGGATAAGTAATTATAATTTGCCTTTTTGATTTGTGAGTTGTTTTCAAAACTTTTCCTAAACAATGCCTGAATGCTCTGATGCACAAAAGACCATTAGGCCTAACTAAATGTCCATCAAAACCAGTCCAGCCAGACGGGTTGATTCAGAAAAGCCAAACTGGTCTTAGCAACCTTGATTACATGTCCAAACCAACTATAGGTACAGAAGTCTGGAAGTATAAGTATAAGTTTATTTCGACTCCATAATCAGCATAACCATAAAATGATTGATAAAAACAAATAAATAAAAACTGATTATGAAATCAGAAGAGCAAACAAAACCTTAGATAAGATTTAAAACGTAGGTACATAATATAAGATGGAAGGTATTGCTAAAAAGAAGTGGTACGTGCTCACTCACCTAGACGAACACAGTTTTGGAGCTTCCAGACTGGAGCAAATAACTCATGATTTGCAAACGCACTGCATATAGTCTACTTTATTTTCAATAAAATGCTTTCCCGATGAAATTTGCCCATAATTTAAGAACAAAACAACAAACTAATTAAGGGTATAAAGGTAGACGAGTAGGATAGGATAGGATTTACATATTAATCCCGAGTGAAATCATATTGCCGACCATGCTTTCAGTTCAACGCTCGAGTACTGTCACTTTACGCCACATGCAGACACGATATATTCAAGAAATCACGGTAGGCCTACAGTTAACTTACCAGTTTTATCAACACGGCAATCAAATTTAAACAATCACATTCTGACATTTCATCAACCGAACACTTCTGACACTTTGTGTTTAATGGGCTCATGACATGTAAAACAGAAGAACGTCTACATTAAATAACTGAACCCTCCTGTCTAGTGCTGTACAAGCGAGGACAGAAACACACGTTACTCCAACAGAAGCCAAGACTTGAATGTATTGTCGTAAACAAAATCACACAACTACAAATCCCGTAATCAAGAACGCACGCACAAAATAACAGAAGAAAGCATAATAATCATTAAAGTACCAATCTGGCGCTCCCATTATTGGACACGTTCTGACGTTAGTGCACATAACGATCGTTTTGCATTTTATGCTGGCACTCTTCTTCTTCTTGTTCTTATCTGTATTCTTCTTGGTATCGTTATGAGAAAATCGCTTTTCTCATTGATTACTGGACAATTTGCTATGAAATTTTCAGTAAGTAAAGATTATATTTTCGCTAGAAGGCCATTACTTTTATTTATTTAAATATCCCGGTGAGCTGCATGGGATTTGTTTTTTGTGTGCAATGGCGTCATCCAAATTTGCCACTAGGTGGCGCAACGTGTCCATATATTTGAGCCTAGCTCTCTTAGTTTAATAACGTTACCAATTTGTACCGATATGGCCGGAGTTAGGGTACCAGACGCGCAGCCAGGATTTTTAAAAAGGGGGAGGGGGTATCGGAAATTCCTATTGCTGTCTGTAACAGTCACCGTGTTTACGCTCGTTAAAAGAGACGCCTTTTCAGCGTTTAATGATTTTTCTGTCGCGTAAAATATTCAATGTATGACAACTACGAGATTCTATACAATAATGTCCTTATATATTAATTTAATTGTGTCCAACGTAACTCGCGGTTGCGACTTCTTACGTCAAAATAAATACATTACTACACTAAAATACCACGGTGATCTGTGGAAATAAAATATGAGATACGGTAAGCTGCCTGATGTAATCAATTCAATGTATTTTTGCAATCTTGCGAACTCCTTATCGCCGTTAGTAAAATCTCGATATCTGATATAAAATCCACAAGTTTAGTACAATTCCATTTCATACAATGGAAATACATAAAAAGTATACCAGTGAATCAAAAATACACTGCCTGGAAATCCACGCCAAACAGTCGCCGTGATCACGCCACTTATTAAAAAGAAAACGACTTTATTAACGAAAAATGATTTTTCTCTCGTGCAAAGTAATCAATTCATGGCCGATACGTGCATATTTGAAATGTTTTCCGTTATTACTTTCTTTGTCTTCAATTTACCATGCGGTTGCGTCGACAAAACAAGAGCCACTCTAAAACACCATGGCAATCCGCGGACAAAAAAAAAATTGGGGGTTAACTGCCCGATTGTATATTGTTTTGATCCGTATTTTTGCTATTTTGCGAATTCTACAAATTTGATCGTACTTGTAAAACTCACTCCGCTCAATTGCAATGCTGCCACTCCGATTATTTTCAAAGATAAAACCTTTCGAAAAATCCATAAATCTGTTGTAAATTCTAACGAAGTAAAATTTATTTCAGTACAATAAAAATTGATCGAATATACTTTAGATTGATTATCTTACATATCATCACAAACCGGGGAAAAGGTTGCGTTCTAAACCTTGTTTAATGTTAACACAAAAATTTTGGACGGCAATTTTAAAGTAATGAATACCGCCCACAATTAACCGTGAGGGTATGTTTCTAAACGCTGACCAGACATAATGTGTGCAGTAGGCACGCGAAATTTTGCGATTTGCAATGCCTAGAAAAGCGTTTTTAGACTGTCGGCGGGCCTCAACAAAACTTATATTGTTTACGGTTTTATTTTCAGTATTTTATTTTGCCGCTTGGTCGCAGATTTACTCCTTTATTTGTCTTTAGAATCTCGCCGCCGATGAACGTATAATAACTCTCACCGGATTCACAATTCTGTGCAAAATAAAGTACAAAAATAAAGTAATTATCATCGTTATTGTGACAAAAATTTGTGATCTTGAGAGAATAAACACCAACGTAGGGGCTTTTACGGCCTAAATAACACGTCACGACGATGAAAACAATCGGCGAGTTTTAGCAAAAGGCAATTGCACGCGTTATTGGCGACTTTTTCAGTTTTCAAAAAAATGAAGAAGGGGGGATTCGACCCCGAACCCCTCTCCCCTGACTGCGCCACTGCCGGCACCGAAGCCAGCTAAGTTGAGCAATGAGCATATACACTCATTGGGTTGAGGTACCGGTACGGTGAAATTCCAAAAAGATTCCTAATGCTGTAATGCAAACTAAGCTCAATTTATAGACTCTACAGTTATCCATCACAGTGGGTTATCCATCCCAAGAACTCGTATCGGTATGTGGTCTATTTCAGAGGCGTAGCTTAGGGGGGGCAGTGGGGTACATATGCCCCCGGGCGCCAAGGTACAGGGGCGCCAAAATGGGGCTGGCAAAAATTTCACAACAAAGGTAAAAAACGGTCACAAGCAAGATCGCACCGGCGGCAGACATCTAATCTTAGTACATGGCAAACTGCACACTTGGTCAGACCACTTACGACTGCCGACGTCATCACGCACATAGCACGGTCAGATTTCCATCGTAATTACATGGCCAAAAAAATCTGGCCGGAAAACAAAGCAAAATTTGATTTGGTAACGTTAGGTAACAAAATGCACCGGGTTAATTACGTGTTCTGTATCGTTAAGTTCTTGCCTGCGCACTCGGATGTAAGTTGCTATTAGTTCTGTGCTGGAGACAAATGGAAACGGAATTTGGTTGAATGATGTTAATACATGTTTTGAGTAATACGTGGTTTTGTATTTTGTTGTCAAAGTACCGTACTTTGCGGCAGAGTTACATAAAATATATTATACTGTGCTAAAAGACCTCAATGCCGTTTTCGACAATTCGTCGAGATTGCACAGATTTTGCAAATCTCTACCACACGGACATCAATGGCCACGAACTTTTCACCGAAATTGGAGATCAACCAGAAACTCCTTTGGCTCTTCTTGGTTTTATTGTGTCTTTTGGAGACGACGTTTTATTCAATCTGCGAATTTCTCTACAAATTTTGTTAACAATAACAGTTTCAATTGCAAGCTGTGAATGGTCTTTCAGCAGATTGAAACTTATTTTGTCGTATTCGCGTGCATCAACGGGACAGGATCGTCTCCGTGATCTTGCACTTCTAAGTGTTGAAAGAGAAACATTGGAAAAAAACAGATTTTGATGACGTGTTAACCAGTTTACGACAGTGAAATTGAAAAAATGAATTTATTTTAGACTATGTAGATCATCTTTGACAGTAACTGAGTGGGACATATGCTCTATTTTGTATAGCTTTGCTTCTTCTTTAAATAAAGATTCCATTAAAATTTGAATTTACATATACATATATTTTTGAATAAATAATAAAATATATAATTACATATAAATTTGAATTCACATATCATCACGCTAATAACCGAATTGCGTAAGTCATTTTAAGCGGTTTTGAATTTTTCATAAAATAGGTATTTATGTAATGCTGCGCACCTGTCTGTTAACTCAGATTTTATTTTAAGAATTCCGAAACCCATAAAAATAGAAATTTTGTATGATATGCAAATTTGTTCAATTGTTCCGTCATAATGAATTATCATTGTTAACGCAGGACTATTGTGACGTCACAAAGGCAAAATACCCTAGGCGAAGGATTTTCGAGTTTTTGCATCTCAGATTCTAGCTTAGCGCTAATAATTTTCAATTTATACTACTGCATAGGAAGGCGTGTACTTGTGATATTTACTGTCTGAGTCCAATTCACCATGGTTGACTTTTATATAAGAGTACATTACTGTTTTATTCTTTATTACTTATCGATCTTAAGATCGGTAAGTATATTGATAGGTATTTGTATGTATGTATGTCTGTGTGTCTGTCTGTTAGATGCACGCGATATCTCACGAAAGCGAGATTGAATCTGCTCCAGATTTTGCATGTGCATTCATCTTATCTCGGACCAGAAGCCTATTGATTTTGGGCGAATTATGTCGTATAATTAGCGAGTTATCAATCAATTATTGATATAGTGATCTAGATTTTTGTGAAGCGAGTGAATTTTGAAACCCGCCGAGTGTGTGTGTGCGATGCGCAGTGCGCAAGTTACAAGAGCGGATGAATCGAAACTGCAGTTTCTGTTTTGGGAGATCCCCTAACTATCGATCGATAAGTCTTCGGTTTCCAACCGATATTCTCGTATTTAACTTTAGTCTTATTTCGGTGATGTGCAGAGCGTGTTATATTGATGAAATATATATTTTTAAACATAAAAAATAATGTAATTGAAACAGATTAGCTATTTTGGGGATTTTGGATTGTTTGGTTTTCAGGACTGGTACATATAGACAAGTTGCAAAATTGCGTATGTCCTCTAGCCATAGACACATTTTTGCCTAAATCACAGTGTGCCATTATGACGTCACATGACTGCGTCATACAAATTAACTTAAATCCGGCTACGATCAAAAAGTTGAACTATGGCAAATTAAAGACTCTCAATGGCATAGCAATATCATTAGGAAGTTTTTTTACGTTTTTCTCAAAACAGCTAAAAATGACTTACGCAATTCGGTTATTAGCGTGACGAAATATAATTTTTTTTTACATATACAATTAAATGCAATAGAAAACATGATTAAACGTGGGGGCCGGGGCGCCAATTTTATATTTTGCCCCGGGCGCAAAATATGCTGGCTACGCCTCTGGTCTATTTCCCCGTGGTTTATGAAATCTGCTATGACTCGGACTCAAAACTGCAACTACTCGTGGTGTCGTGACTCTAGAATCGGATGACTCGTGGTTTAGGGACTAACCAACACTGGATTCCACAATCCACTTTTACCTAACAATGTTTATCCTCATTCTGCCCATTTTCAAGTGTTTAAATCAGGCACTGGTGCGTAGCGTTGTTGTATTCGATGCGTGATTTTTCATAACAAAGAAAAATATTAGCATAGCATAAATGTTTGATTATGTGCACATTGCCAGATATTTAAAAAAAATGCGTATGTAGCTCAAATGGTGGTAATATATCGTCGCGCTAATAACCGAATTGCGTAAGTCATTTTTGGCGATTTTGAGTTTTTTATAAAATAGGATATTATGTAATGCTGCGCACCTGTCTGTTACCTCAGATTTTATTTTAAGAATTCCGAAACCCATAAAAATGGAAATTTAGTATGACATGCACATTTGTGCAATTGTTTCGTCATAATGAATTATCAGTGTTACCGCTGGACTATTGTGACGTCACAAAGACAAAATAACCTCGGCTAAGTATTTTCGAGTTTTTGCATCTCGGATTCTAGCTTAGCGCGTATTAATTTGAATTTATACTCCAGTATAGGAAGACGTGCACTTGTGATATTCACTGTCCGAGTCCAATTAACATTGGTTGGCTTTTATATTGGGTGCATTGCTGTTTTATTCTTTATATTTAATTTTAGTATTATTTCGGTGGGTGTGCAGAACGTGTTATATATATTGATGAAATATATATTTTTAAACATAAAAAATAATGTAATTGAAACTGATGCATATAGTTTTCAAGACTGGTGCATATAGTAAAGTTGCAAAATTGCGTATGTCCCCAAGTCATAGACACATATCTGCCTAAGTCACAGTGCGCCATTATGACGTCACTTGACTGCGTCATACAAATTGACTTAAATCCGGCTACAATCAAATAATTGAACCATGGCAAATTATTGACTTTCAATGACATAACAATATCATTAGGAAGTTTTTTACGTTTTTCTCAAAACTGCTAAAAATGACTTACGCAATTTGGTTATTAGCGTGACGATATATATCATTTAATTCGTGTGCTTGTAGTAAATTAGACCAATGACAGTCAATAATATGGCAGATGATATTGCCCCTACTCCTAGTATTAGAAATATGTTTGAATATTCACGACTTTCTGTGCATTCTGTATTTTGCGATCTTTTCATAACGCCGTGCGATTTTCCTACAACGTCAGGCGATTGTACAGCCTTTTTCTGATGTTTTCTTTTGCCTCTCATGTTACATGGCCTTACTTCTTCTACAAAATTTGCTTTGACCACCGGTATTTCGTGTGGATCTTTCAAACCCTAGGTAAAAGAGATAGGTACATATATTTATCAAATATCTAAATTATAATTCTTCTTTGAAAGTGTGTGCTACATTGTTATATATATATACCTCAACTTGGCCGGATAAGGTCCGACAATTCTCATGTACCGGACTGTAGAGTTGAACTTTGTTAAAACTTTGTCGCTCTTCGTCCGTCCAATTTTTCTGCAAAAGAAATGGGCCATGAATGATTAGAAAAAGTTCATCTCGTGACGAATGTCATGTTGAATATAATTTTAGAAAACCCTACGACAAGACTGGCATTTATTGATCTCTACGGCGCACGCCAGGATGTGATTTACGGCAGCAGTAACAAATGCATTACACAATTAAAACCTAACAACAATATTGTGCATTACATCCTTTGAATGATTCTTGGACGGCATCGGTGATATAATAATTGTAATTTAAGCCGCCGCTCAGACTCTTTTGGACACGAAATGGAACTATGATTCGCTCTCTTGTTTACCAATGATCATATGGACGTTTCTCCGATCCTTGACCCCTGAAACAAATTCTTCACCATTGAAAAATTTTCGACGTCTATTTGAGAGTGTTTTGCAGAGTTGGCCCTCACAAACTGGCTTATATCCTCAGAACTATCATTTTTATCGAAAACATTAATCCACGTGCCGGTCACAGGTACTGATAGCCAATTTTAAGCCTACCCTATTGTCTATCGCGACGTTTGCGGAATCAGTGATTAACTATTGCAATAAACTAAAGGCCCTCGGTAGACATAATGACAATTAATTTAAAATTATTTTTTGTAAACACAGCTGAAACTGAAAAATAACACGCAAAACCACGAAAAAGAGGCATAGTTCACGACCATTCTCGCATATCGGCCAGAGCGAGAGAAGTGTCTGAGCGGCCCCAAAATTGTAATTGTTACGTCATTGTTGACTTATTGCTGAACAAACATAAACAAGGAAATCTATGCTCTGGGAAACATCAATAGACGTTCAGGTATGACTGGAAACGTTAGCTCGTTCTGTCGGTAATTCGCCCGTTTCCTAGTTGTGTTTTCAAAGTTTAGGTATAAATCGAATACCTCAATAGTCGTTTTTTTTGAGGAGCTTTAGTTTGTTTGCATTACTCAATATTTAGTCCCGACAAAGTTGCGATAAAATGAGGCTGAATTAGTAAGTACTTTTAAATGACAGGTGGAATGCTATGAATTATAATGATGGTTATGGTATTTATTAACCATGTTGCAAATAGCAAAAAAACTCAAAATCAGCATCAAAAGCGTGCAATGACAAACTATAGAAAGAATTATTCTGGGGTAAGGGTTGGGAAACGTCCATGATTTTTTTTAGATCAGCGGTCGTCAACCACCCGTTTTGTTGTCAGGACGTATAATATCCAATTTAGACGCAATTTCTGACAGAAGTTATACAAGTTATTTCTTTCTTTCTTGGTTTTTAACATTTCATGACTATATATATATATATATATATAATGCAAGTTTACACAGAGTAAATAAACTTAACAATTCAATTCATTGTCAACAAATCAGCGAAATTGATGATTTGGTTTAAGACTCGTTATATATATGAAGTAAATTAAGGCAGGCAAAGAAGTTTCTGGAAACCGATCCATTAAAATATTTCACTTTTAAACCAGTTCCTAGTGCAAAAATGAGTTGGCGAGACTCATCTCTAACAAGCACATCCCTTACCTGCAATGCTTTAATATAAGCTTCTTGTAAATCTTCTGCACCGAGCGCAGAAAACATCTCTAAAGAAGAAATACAATATCACCATATTAAAGTAATATATTGAGTATTTATAAAAAATTAAATAAGAAAATCTATACTTACGTGATTCCACGGGATAAGACTGGCAATACGCATCGTGCATTTTAGGATAATACATAACGAATCCAAAACACATTTCATCTATTGTTTCTAGCCCTCCCTGAAAGTAAAACTATGTCAGCAAAACGGGTCAAATTTACTTCGACTCGGTGGTAATCGACTATTTTAATTGTTACATAGCTTACAGACTTCATGCGTCATAGTGAAGTCTCTGGTTATTAATTTGCAACCTGTATTTATTTGGGCGTCTCAGTCAAGTAGTCATGCTGATCATTTATTTAGCTAGTTGAGTTGCGATTTCTTTAGTTAGTTTTGAAAATAAAATAATAAAAAATGAAATTTCTCACCACAGTCGGACCTTTCCTGTTCACCGTGTTATAAATACATTCCAACATTAAATTGTCTCCTGATTGTATTATTTTCTCTCTTGAAAGCAATTTTGTTTCTTGATAATCAAAATCGTATGTCAGGTCTTTGGCAATTGGTTCCAATTCTGTACCATTCCTATCAGAAAATTCACTTTGTTTTGTACATATGCTGGCGTATACCACTACGTTGAACTGCATTATTTACATAAAATGCTAAGCGCAATACAGAACGACTTTAAATATATATTATGGGTTAGCAGAAAAACAGCATTGTGGGTCTGCAAAACATGGCATAACTTCGGGAGTAACAGCAAACCACTTAATGCTTCTGATGAACCGATATTATCGCAAAGAATCTACCACTAATACCAATTGTTAAGATGATACCGAACAAAGTTTGCGCATTCGTAGTCGAATCGAAATAATAAGTCAATTTGCTAAGCTAAAAGTCTGTGAATGAGCCATAATAGTTTGATGAATATTAAATTTTTGAAACTTAACCCCAAAAACTAATATTTCATACCTATAATGCCGTAAAACCATTCCAGATCCAGCGGTATGGGAATGGAGAAAAACTCCGAAAACGTTGATTGTTTCTCTGTTACCTTGCTTCATTATCTGTTCATTAAGTAAAGATTTTTAGTTTGTATTTCTATAAATATCTTGAAGCATATTGTTGTATATTCTGAATATAATGTGTAGCTCATTTTACATTAGGTTCGTAATATTATACTAGTAAAACAATGTTTACTATTGGAAACAACGTCTTTGCGTTTGCAAAGTTTAAAGACCCTACCCGTACTGAACTGGTGATATAATACAAAAGGCTTTTCTTCGCCATATTCATATAACACCTTCTATCATATCGCGGGGGAATTGTATCCATTTTTATACAGTCCTATTTGGTGAATATTTTTAGACCATTATATTTACTTATTCGGTTTGTATTTAAAGCTTTCCAATGTATTTTGCTGATATAAAAGTAAGCAAAAGTTGATCGGCTGATTACCAAACTACGTAAGTGGCCTACTGTAAGTAACGGGAAACAAACAAACGATTTTCGCCAATTTGATTCAGATTTTTATCTGACTATGTTCGTAATTTGATCGATCTTTTATGCTTTAATCCAACAAATTTATATAATTTCTTTTATTTCTAAACATACCCCTTCAAGGCATTGAGCCGAGCAGTGTCCATGTACGATGTAATCTTTACTCCCCTGCGGTATAAAGAGGGTCGGCCAAACATCAAACCCAGTGAGAAGAATACCAGCATCGTACTTCCTAAGGCTTGGTGTATACAGCATACGAATACCACTTGTATCTTTCATACCTCATTACAATAATGAAAACGTTTGATATTTAAAGTAGCAATTGGTAAATCTGAGCATTCACCAAAAGTCATTTCAGGAATTCCGTCAAGCATTGTCAAGAATAACGTTAGTCACATTACCGGTAGTAGGCCTTGAGAATAATCCAAATTATTTTTTCATATCCCACCTACCTGATTCTAAATCAACATTATCGTAATGAATTTCGACTTTGACTATCTTGGGAGATCCAGGCACTCCAATAGGGAAACCGACATGCCTAGGCATCGTGACTGCCTCCATACCAACAGCCCATGAGACTAACACCGGCGCACAAACATTCCAGTGTTCGAGATCTCCTGTGTAACATTCTTTTGAAACGTTAAACAGCTCTGGAGTCTGAAAAACAGTTTACATACAAATATTTAGACATTTTGTTTTGATAATTTGTTGTAATTAAACTCCGTGTGTCTAATCGAGTTGAGTGATACAAATCAACTACGACTTAACTACCAAACTCTTAATAAACAAGGAAAGCTACTGGAAAGCAATAAAAAAGGAGAAGTAACCTCGAATTTGGTTTTAGGGTTCCAAATTTTGAATACTTCGAATAATGCTTATTTACATGTGAAGAAAATCTTTCATTACTCTTATTACAGATCAGTTTGTCAATGTGGATCGGCCTATTTTTTGAACAAGTTGGATTATGAAGGCAGGATTTGGAGCCTATAATCCTATTGATTTGAGGCAATGCGTCAAGTCAATGTTATAGACAGGCGGGAGTAGCAAAAGTAGTTGTCTCAATTCAACCAACAGCATCAAATATCAACAATAGAAATTAAGTTGAAACGAAACTATACAATCCGAAGCTTGGATTGTAGACTATAGACCCACTAGACTAGACTATAACACGATAGCCACACTTTTGGCATTAATGTGAACCTACCATAAGAGATTCATTGCAGTGATAAACATTGATATGGTGAACGTTTTTCTCGTTTCCAGGAGTCAGTATGGCTTCAAACTAAAAAACAACAATATGTACGTGAAATCAATTAGAAAAAATGCCACGAGTGAAAAGGAATATGCGAAGTATTGAAGTGCAAAACCATTCTATATAGTTCGATTATATTATAGATTCTTAACTCATTTTACTAAATAATGAAATATAATAAAATAGATCTAACTGTACTTCATGTAAGAGTGGGACTTAGCACTTTACCCGAATAATATGATGTTTCACATTCAGTTCCGGAAGTTTATGAAAGAAGCAGTGATAATAAGTCCTTGTCTTTGGAATGGTGAAATGTGGAGACCTGATATCATGTGATTTTGTATCTTTTCTTTTTAATACTGCAAAATTTGACAAAAAAAGTTTAATATTTAGTCTGAAAATCAAATCTACAAATTCGAGTTTCTGAATGTGCATATCAAATATGAGACAAAATTGGTATATCCCTATATATATATCTACCGTCATTTTTATATAACCCATGAAAAAACGTTCAATTAGTTATAATTAATATAAATAACAAACAGTCGACTTTCGGGGCTATTTAAATTTAAGGTTTATTTTTACAATCAACAATAGATCTGATCTGATGAGAAGATAGATTATATTGTATAGTATTTTACAATTAATGTCAATGTTCCAGACTCACGAATCCACCTTTAGCATATAATAACAAGTTAGGAAACGTGGAGCAAATGTCATATTTTTATGGTATGTTAAATAATAAGAAAAGATATTTTACTTCTTTTTTCCAACACCGTATATTTTTTGTCGAGTAGTCGAAGACTTTTTACACCTGTATCAAATACATTATAAATAATTGATATCAAATTTACTTGTGATATACATACAGAATGGAAAATTTCTATGGTATAAATATTAAATACATATACTGTATATACATATCGACTTTATATCTACATTGTAGGAGATTAGACTTGGGTTTATCATGATTAGTGTCAAAAATCGAATCTAACACTGAGTTTATTGCACACGAAGTTAACACATGAATTGTTTTTCCCTTTTGCTAGAACTAGAGATTGTCAGTGGTTGAAGATTGTTGTTGAAAGCTATTACTTTAATTTTCAAAAATTTTCGTGGGCTCTATGGGATTTTTTTCACTTTGAAGTTTTGTATGATGCGTTATCAAAATTAAAAATTTCGCACTTTGTGGCAGTTTGGCGATCTTATATCTGCGATTTGGTGGTCAGCGAAGTCGAAGAGTTTTTTGATGAGGAAGACTATCCCGGTACTGTGAAAGCTTTTATATCAAATTTTTTCCGTGATGTCCATATATTTAAACAAAGCTCTCTTGTTGTTGTAATGATACAAGTATATATATATATTGGAACAATCACCTTTTTAGATAGCACTGTCTCCAACAAGTTATGCCTGATGACATTCAATTTGTTTATCGAAAACTCACAATAATACTGCGTAACGTTTTGATAACGTTTTACTAACAGAAGAGAATGAAATTTTCCCAACCAACCTCTATTGCTTCCGTGATAACTTCCAACAGTTGGCAATTTTCCCTCTGGTATAGTATGACCGTAAGCATATATAACTCTCGTTGTGTCTTCCTTGAAATAACATGCAAAGATATAGCAGACATAATACATGATTATTTTTGTATTTATTGTATTGATTTAGGCTATTTGTCACTTACGGTTATGATAAAATCATGATCGTCATCACAGGTATCAAGAAATCTATTAATAAACAACGTGGTATGTGTTTCATTCTGGGTTATACTCGGCCATCTAATATTGCTTTTGGTATCGATTTCAGGTAATCCGTTTCGGCGCCCATGCATGTCCTGGATAAAGAATGGTGAATTAAAAAAAAACGATAAATATTATCTGATTTGTAATTAATGTATTTCAACTGAAATCTTTCTAAATTTGAAGTATATTTTTGTTACAAGTGGGAGTAGATATTCTTTGATCGTTCGCCTTGCATTGAATACTACTTGTAGCTTTAAATGCAATGTATAGCAATAGCAAGGTATTCGACAATAAAACATACTATTTCAATATTTATTGTTTAGCATTGAAAGTTACAAAATAGAAAATTGCATCATTGAGTTTACATAGCTTACTAGAATGTGTGGTTTTCCGCCATTCAACCAGGCAAAGATGATATCAGATCCTTTCATAGTTCCAGAAGGTGAAAAACCGATTCCAATCCATCCTAAAGTAGGTGCTGTGATCTGTATATAATATTGTATTCATTTCTAAAACAGAATTCATCTTGTCTATGGTGAACAACTGGTGGCGTGTTTATGATATATTGGACTGAATACTTGTATCCAAAGCTCGCCATATCTATGCTCCGGAGATAGACTTTCGCCTACTCTGTGGGTGGCTTGTCCTTATGCTTAAACTTGTTTAACTAAAATGTCAGGATCATTTTGTTTTTGTCTGCTAGTCCTAGTCGATACAGGACACGCATGGATCCTTTAAATATTAACAGGGTCGGTATATCGGAAACAAAAAAATGTCTGAAGCAACGAAATGGTTTTATTCATTTTCTCGTGTTAAATAAAATACCTCAAACTTGATTATTCTCTCAGAGAAACTCCACTGGAAAAGCACTTTTCCTTCAAAATCAAGCTTTGCTGAATATTGCAAATTACGTTGATTTGTTGTTTTTATTCCTTTCAAGGGATTGAAAAGTTGCATCAGCATAAACGAACAAAAAATATATTTCAACTGCATCTTATTCCTAATGCATCTAAATCATATTCTAATAAAGTAAACGAGAAGTAAGATATTTCGATTATTCACTTCAGCTCGTGACAGTGACGGTGAGTTATAATTCGCACTAGTTCTTTCATATACTCTTTAACAAAATATACTTTATGCATACATATGATCTACTTTCATTTCTCCCCTTTTCTCCAAATAACCGTGATTCATATTTTTGGAAAAGGTTAAGCCAGACCTATATAATGTTTATTCTATTTAAAGTCTGCATTTTTAACTACCTCCATTCTTAAACTTACCTCAAATCTTTATCTAAACTTTTCTAGTTGGATAGGCAGAATTATCGAACGGAATATTATATTACCCGTCTCGCTCAACAACAAAATAAATGGTAAACAGCGGCATAACATCATATAGCCTAAGAGAAAAGTTATTTTTAAAAATACCACTAATGTTTCTCACATAAGTTCTAGAAATCGATTGTAAGAAAAAAGGGCATAATTTTAGAAATTTAAATATGTACTGTGTGCAAGTGCCAAAAATGGATAACTAGCTGTAAAATAAACATTTATGTAAATGAAGATTTACTGAAAATAAAAACGTTTAAATTTGTTCACTTTTAATATAAATTTTAAAATATTTTGATGGGATTCATACAATATGTAAAGCTATGCAACGTATGTAAGTTAAACATAAAATACCGAAGGAAAAAGTCGATTTACGTCGAAATTCTGTCAAATTTCCGGTTTATTGTAATAGCATGTTTGATCTCCAGAAATAAACTGTGGAAGAGAATTTTATCGTTAAATCTGATAATCCGCTGATTTATTTGGTTTTCTTCAAGACGTCACTAGATGTTGGACGGATAATTCCAAGTTGTCGTGACGGTGGTCCAATAAAATGCGTTTGACGCTCTCAATTTTACAGTTAGATATGTAGTCTAAACAAGGACATACATTTTTATTTCTTGAAAAATAAACATCCCGTTTTTGTTTGCATCGGTATGTTTCAGGTACCTTTTAATATTGTATACTGTGCTTCGAATATTTATTAAATACAAAAAATACAAAGGATTACAAAGGATTTTGTGTTTTTATTTATCAATGCAGCAAAAATTACTCTGTCGTTCAATTAGGGTGGTCGAACTGAATGTCCCCAATTCACATCCTGTGACGCCAAGAAATAAATCTCATTTAATTCTGTAAATCGCAACGAACAAAAACTAATTTGGCGGTCCAAACCATCAGATTAAGTTCCGAATAAAGATGAGATAAAAGACTTAAGGCCGAATTAAGTCAGGATTGTGAACCTCCGAGTTATAAACATTCATCGAAAGTATATAATGTGGAAAGTGTATTATATCATTGTCAAAAAAGGCAGGTGAAAGTTCAATCTTACTAGTCCAATTCACTACAATATGCGTAAATCCGATTTTTGATCTTCACTCGCGAGTTCAATTAGGTCCCGCCCAGTTTCTATGACATATGCTTAACTTACGGTCCAATGTAAAATTTCTTCGTGAATACGATGTCTTTAGTTAATATGAAAAAATATCCCAACTTTATACTAAAATGCGTATTTTGTGCTACAGAAAAGCAGCGTCAGAGAATGTAATAGATTCCGAAGATTTAAGCTATTTTTGTTGTAAATGTATACTACTACCAATATATTATTTTTCATATTGTCTCAAATTCTGATAAGTATCATTTTTACAAGCTTAAGCTATTTCTCTATAAACCGGAGTAAACGTCTGTCACTTGTACAGTCAAGGCCGTTGTATATTTATTTTTTTTGAGTTAGAGTTAATAGAGTTAGCCTGGGGGTTTACGCATTTTCGATACAAAGTATGTAGTTTGTACTATATATAACCTATATAGATTATAACCAATATTGGTTTTTCAGAGTGTCATATTAACATCAAATTTGATGGATTATGACAATACGTAAAACCATCACTGTAAAAATAGCCCACATACAGATTAATTCACCTAGAGACAATGTATTCGATGTAATCTGAAAAGCACGAACACGAAATTTTCTCATGCGGGAAACCTTGATGGGAATCGTTATAGTTAATAAAATACTGTTGTGAATAGCGGCTGGTTCTGCTTGGTTGGTTTTACGTCTGAACGTCTGAAACTTTAGCATGGCATTTAGATCGAATATCCACTTTTTTTCAAATGTTGTTCATAATGGAATGTGGTCGTACCTAAGAGGCTCGGGCCAAAATACAGATCACATTGAGAGATGTACTTGTGATGAGACTCTTTTCCGCGTGTCCAGAAAACGGAAAGAAAATATTCGTCAACAAAACCGTTCAATATGTCTCAATTATTTTTTTTAATTAGCATTTGTCTGTCTTTCTTTTTGTTTTGCTACGAACTAGCAACTATACCAATCTTTTCTGTATTTTGGTCTGTCGTTTGGGAATTCTCTTTTCTTACATTGCCACTGTTAATAGCACACACGCTAAATTTGTGCGTAACTTACAAGCCTATTAAACTGAATTACGTGATTCGCGAACTGCGAACTGAATAAACCAAGATAAACCGAAAATAATGCTAAATCAAATGTATTATAATAAGCAATTACCCTCAAAAATTTATACAAAATTACACGTGCTGTTTATGTAAATTGAAAACTGCTGTAGGATCTTCTTCCATCTAGAGCAGGGGTGTGCAACCCTTTTCGCAGGCGGGTCAAATATCAACAACTGGGTAAAACCGCGGGCCGCACCTCTATTTAACATAAGCTTTCTATTAGTTGCAGGCACAATATAGTGTCTCTTTTTCTTATTGATCTCATGTCATCATTAGTGGTTCTTTTAGAAATGATGAGGTGAACGCATAAATTTATTTGAAATTGTAATTCAAATATATTGTCACATCCAATTTAAACGAGAGAAATTTCAGTGAGAAATTTGATGCTTTTCCCGACTACTTTTATCCAAATTTCCTTTATGGAAATGCTAGCAATTCAATATGACGCCCATTTTAGAAATAAATATGTAACTGAAAAGTGGCATATTTGAAGCCATGACTTTTTTCAAGTGTAGAAAGTTATCTTGGTGTTTTCGGTAAAATGCGCCAAGATTCATTTCATTTCCAAATAATTTGCTGTCAAATCTTATTTTAGATTAGATTTCGACAAAATCAACTGATTTGCTGGAACCAAAACTCATTATCTTTTGTGTCTTTTAATAATAAATTTTTTCAAACTGCTGTCTATAGTTGCATAATCTTCAGTTGCCCGTTCTTGCAAATTCATTAAGTCTGCTCTGCACTTTTTTTAAATTGTTCGCTGCTCAGCAAGTGACAGCTTTGTGAATGGTGTTGTTCCCCTCGCTGTTAGGTAGTTGTAACGTCATAGGCATAGATAATAAATTGGACTCGAATATAACGCGAAGGGAACCAGATCAAACTAAATTAAAAACCAGGTTAGATGGCCGCACACCATTCAAAATGGGCACCTCTCCGCGGGCCGCACAATTCTCCCTTGCGGGCCGCATTTGGCCCGCGGGCCGCACATTGCACACCCCTGATCTAGAGTATAGACTTCGAGAAATATTGATGTAGCAAACTTAGAGAGCCATGCCATGGCAGAGTCCGTGAATGAATTCCACTCTCATGCTGATATGTCCATACCAGGATTCCGGATGAACGCGAATATATCTGCATGTTATTGGCGCAGTAAACATATTGATCACTTTCGAATCTGTGTCGAGGTTGCCGGGAAATATCTGTAAATATAACATAAAATTATATTGTATCGCCGTGTCTTGTCGTGGATTAACACAAACTATGTATGGATTCTCAAGAAAGTCGCATATAAACATTCTTTCGCCATCTGAAATAAAAAATATATACCTTATCTGAGTTGTTATGTTTTATAGTCGTTAACGAGGAAGTAGAACTTCCGCAAGATATCTTGAATGATCGAACCCACTGACGTGATGATTTTGGTCGTCCTTGAGTTATGATTCCACCAATAAGTTTGGGAATACCAAAGTCGATCTGTAACCATTCTCCTTGGCGATCTGGAATGGTAAATATCAAAGGACGCAACTCAAAATACTATGAGCATACTAGCCACTCATTGTAATAATCAATAATACAAACAGAGCATTTAAAATTTTTTGAAAATCTAAAAGAGTGGAGTCGGGAATGATGCTCGCTTTTGTCGCACAGTTCTAAGTTCACGTATATATATTGTGGAACAAATGGTTAAAGTAAGCATACGAAGGTGTGTTCTGAGTTAGGATAGATATATTTATTTAGTAGAAGGTTAGAGTAGCCTATCGTATTAAGTGAGAATATTCTGACGAATTTTTTCTAACAGTGTTTCGTACCCGAGACCGTATAGCCCACTACCTATTGCATTGTCAACAATATAACCATCAAAGTAGCCTAGAAAACTTAAATTGGAATGACTTTGGAAGAAGTGCTTAGTTGACATTATTGAAACTGTTATCGAATTTGTTTTGTCTACGGGCAGAAATGTTTAGAAATAATTACTTATTGTAATTGATTCAATTGTATAATTATATATTTGTAAATATTGTATTATATGTTAGTATAGTATTTTTAAATTCGAATTGATCAAAGGCGCCAAATTCCACTAAAGTTATACGCGCCATAAAACATATAACAACAACAACAATTGGGACAAATGGAACGCGACATATTTGAGACACCCTTCAAAGTTAATTATTTTACGAACTGGCTTTTGCTGCCCATACTGCGTTATTTCCTGAACTGATCTGATTATCAAGTCGTCCATTGTATGCTTCGTATCCACCACCCGAAATCGAAGAAGAAGTCATTGCTGAATCTGGAACATCTCTGTTTCTCACCCCCATGTAGCAGTATGTGGCTGTTTTTCAAATGATAAAATGCAAAACTTGATTAAAAAATGTAGAAATACCAAAAGGATTTATATATATATATATATTTATTTATAGTTTCTGACTTTTAATTTTAAGCTGAACTTATTAGTCACGCATTCGTTCACGTGGTCGAGATCATCGTACTGTAAACTATATCGGATTGCTTGCCTTAGAAAATTAGGATTTTCGATGAAAGTATATCAATAGCTGATGGTCCACACGTTCCAGGTATTTTAATATATATATATATTGAAATTTTACAGAAAATCAGTCAATGATTTGATACTATTATCGCATGGAGCAAGACGCTTTGAATTGCTGCGATTGGAATGGTGCAAGAGATTGTTTTATTGAAACGTATTCTCTTGAAATTCGATCATTTATCGGTTTTCTTCCAAAAATACTCACACTTGGGCAATGCTTCCAAAATTCGTGATGTAGTGGCTTGGAAGTCTATGAAAAAAAAACGGAGTTGCATGTTTTCAAACTAAGTTAGACAGATAAATTATAAATATATATATCTTCAAGAAATACGGGCCAATGACAGGTATATATATATTTTTTTTCGCCCACATTTAGTAGGTATTTTTTTATAAGGTTTAGTATAATCGTTGTACATACTTGGAGTTAAAGAAAGATGGAAATCTGGAAAGTAGATCTAGAACCATAACGCTTTATCGTCAAATTCGAAAGCCGCGAAATAACGTCATATCGTAGAAGAGAAAGAAAACATGATCTAATTCTTGCTGAACCATCAAGATATGTCAGTTTTGCCTCGCTCACCTTCTAATTCGCTAATTCTTTCTTCCAGATGTTCTGCCGTGCCCCTTTCACCTTTCTCTCCTTTAACGCCAATAGAGCCCTTTGGTCCGTGAGGTCCTTTTTTACCGGGCCTACCCTGGCATTGACTTGAATCACATGTCAATTGATGAATGGGTTCCCCATTTGCTACAACGTGGGAACAGAACTCATATACCGTAGGCATGTGACACAACACACATTGTGCAAGCAAGACAATGACAATGCCAGTTTTTATTAGGGTATACTTCATAGTGTTGTAAATATAGTTGATAATACTACAAAATACACAAATGTATTCGATCAAAACCCAAAAAAGAGCTCCGGAATGTGATCTTGATTTTATTCCGTTGAATAAAACCAACTGCGACGGCGATTTAGTTTACATACTTGAATGCTAATGTTTCTTAAGCCTCATAATCATTCTTGAGTGGCGAAAAAATAGGTAATAATAACCTACGATTGATCGTTATCAAAAGTGGTAAGTTATAATTTAGAAGTTTCGTGATTCTCATTTGCCATGACCAGTAATGGGATTCGAAAATTTAAGAGCAGATTCTTTTTGCATAGAAGTCAATGAAAAAGGTCGAATATAGCGCTAATCATCAGCTGCGTTGCATGTAACTTATTTTATGCGTCGTCTATTTGAATACCGCAACAAATACACAAGATACTTCCTGAACCTCGTCACTGATGTTAACGTATTTTCCTACCTTTCTCAGCCAAAACAATTTTGCTTATTTGAAAGAAGAAAAATGAACTTTCATATTTATAAAGTTTGTCAACCTTCATCCCACCTAAAGCGACATTACTGTTGTTCTTTATATATATATATAAGTTTTTCTTATCACAGCCATCTTGTTAAATTCTTTTTCGTGATCAACCCAAGCTACTGACTCCCGATTACTGCACACCTTTCCATCAACATGGATTTACAATTCTGTTCAAATATTTATGTTCTTTTTTACACCCAAAACTGCAAAGGAAAATTTTGTAGAAAAACTGAACTCAATTCGGCTCTTTAATTTGAGAGCAACCAAATACGGAACAGATGTCGCGATTGAAGTACCTGGTAGTCTGTTACTGTATCTGAATACAAGTCGCAGCTGATTTTTAAATCAAAAACACTTTCATAAAAACAATGGTGGAAGAGATAGATAGAATAAAACATAATCCGAGTCCAATTACTCAGGTTCCGTGAAACAAAATCTCCAGATGAAGCTGTTTTATATCAAACGCGTGGGTGAAAAATATCAAATATACCCGGAATAACCACATACTACGTTTATTTTGCGTGTGTTGGAAACAAAATAGGCGAACTAAATTCTATTGAACAAGTCACGACTAATAACCACCTGTCCCTAACTTAAAAAATATGAAAAGGCGTCGCAGTCCCAACGAGGTGCAGTTGATTTTAAACAAACGGTGACCGTACATTTGAACCCATGTACATTTGAACCCATGCGTATATCCACGGGTTCAATCTATATGCGGGTGCTAAAACCCATGGGTTAGGGTTAGTATGGGTTTAACCATCCGTGAAACAAAAAAAATTCCATAGGTGCAATAGCATACAGGTGCAATTGTCATGGGTTCAAATGTACGTGGGTTCAAATGTAATGGAACCTAAACAAACATCTTCATAAAATAACGTGTATGCGAGTATTCCAAACACGCATGGATAAAGGATACCGAGAGTTCAAATATTATGCTATACCGGTCCGATAATAAAAGTTATATGAAGCAAACAACGGGTAAGTGCGGATTTAACAAGCCAACTTCGGTTCGATTCCGAGGCTTAGTAATACTATGGTTTCAACCTCATCCCTACCATTGTGGGTAGAACACGGGCACCAACATTAGCTGTGAATCTTAAATATCCACTATTGGTTATTGCTTCAAATAATGGAGGTTTTTTTCGAGAACTTGCATTTTGTTTACGGCATTTGAAGATTCAACTTGATTACTATTGGGGATTAATTCAACTTTTGGTATATACATACTTCATATCTAGGGTTACCATATTTTTTTGACTTCAAAGCGGGACGCCTCCTGTAACTTTACAGTTTCCGATTTTACTACCTAAGCCTACATTTAAGCCATCCCGGCTGTCTTCATTGACCATATTGACATCGAGAGTTCATGCGCATATTCTCTGTCTAAATATCGAGTTCAGTTCGAAAAATAGAAAGGAATAGACGCTAACGATACAAATGATCCGAATTTAGATTTTTTTTTATGTACAGCAAAAGGAATAAAGAATAATGAAATAGTCTGCCGTTTTCAAGTTTTGAGAATTTACTTATTCGCCCAAGCATGCTTTTCTGTAGATAACGCCTTTAAAAAAACGTTGTTCAATGTTACATAAACATGAACAGGACCAATTAGAATTGATTTTACATGTGATGCGTTCGCTAACAATGTTAGCGGGAAACAACGAAACAAACAAAATAACGCATTCACGTTCAGTAAGTACGCTAGCGTTGCGCTACACAGCAACAACAGGAACGAGAACATGTTCGTGTATTATGCTGGATGGCTGACGCCTAAAGCGGGACGTATGGTAAGCCTATTCATATCATAACTATGAAATAACAAGTTATCTCTCTATCTGAACTAGTTAAGTGAGTTGCAAATCAGTGGTAAATCGGCTGCCTTCGTTACGATTTTGTATTCATATTAAATAAAAATATATATATTTATGACAGCCATACTGCATAACCGGGTCAATTACGTCTGTCGACCGGCACGGCGGAACAACTGGCTAAAACCGGGACGTATGGCAAGTCTAGTTACACTGTATGCTCAACCCTGTGTATTGATATCGAGGCTGTGAAGATGCCGTCTCTACCTGTCTTTGAATTTAAAAAAAAAACCATCCAATCCATGTGTATATCCGCGGGTTCAATCAATTTGCGGGTAGTAAAACCCATGGGTTAGGGTTAGTATGGGTTCAAATATCCGTAAAACAAAAAACTTTCCATAGGTGCGATAATATGCAGGTGCAATTGTCATAGGTCCAAATGTACGTGGGTTTAAATGTAATGGAATCATCGATCTCTCTCATGTTGTCCTGCATGCTGCTGAGTGCCATGATTTATGTCTATGTCATATGCACAAAGTTACCATCGACCTGGGGCCAAAAATAAGCACGGGTGTCTAAAGGCTATTTGGGGGTTACAACGACAAGAACGCAAAATAAAAATGAGAAAGGAATCATACACAAGTCTCTTCCGGGCTCCAACTTTTTATCCACTCAAGTTTTTTTTTATCAGAAGTCGCTTCGAACAAGGTTGTATGCAGCCTCAAAATCGCGAAAGACCACGGAAAGCCACGAAATAACAGCCACATGCAACCTCCAAAATGTAAGAATACACATATTAAACATCCGGCATTAGACATATTGAACAGGAAACAACAACCCAAAGAGCGTCTGCAACTATTCAATGAGAGGCGCAGTTATTCAATCCAAAATGTGGGTAACAAATTAATTCTCAAATAACATAAACACATAATTTTAAATATTCCCTTTATTGAGCTAAAATATAGGTCAAATCATTTATATTTATCGCCACCAACAATTTGCTTCAGCTGTCTCTGGTCACTGGGAATTAGGTTGTGCATTACAGGGCAACTGAAGTCTAAATTTACCCCAACTTGTATCAATGCTCTGACAGATTGTTCGCGTAGACGGTTTCTTTCAGTGGTCCATTGCGCTGATAAATGGAAAATATTCGCTCCATGGAGGCCTTGCTAACAGGAATAGAGCATACGATACGATCACAGTTTGTTTTGCTATTTCTAATACTTCTTCGTATTTCATTTTCCAATTTCTCAGCAATGTCCACCCTAAGTTACCTGAATGCTCTTCTGGTCGATACTACTTGTTAATTTAATCCACAGACATAGTGATTGTGTAAAACTTGTGTAAAACTCTGAAACCTAGATTTTAGCATCACAGCATGGTCCTCCATAACCCCTTTTAATAATTCAGCAGTTGTTGCCCCATTAAACTCAGAACTTCGACGCTGTGTAATTGCGCCCTTGAACGAATCGATTATATCAGTCAGATGAGGTAATAACACAGTTGTTTTTTGTAATAGTAATAGTGGCTTCTCGAAAACCAGCATATCGCTATGAAGAAAGGTTATAATAGTCAGCGATTGTTCTGATTTAAAAAATTCTTCAAGAATTCGTGGCGGACAATTCAATGACAAAAATGATGTTTGAGTGGTTCCCAAATATCTAAGTTCTTTTTCACCACATTGTCTAATGAAGTCCACCGCGTTGGAGTGTGAGTAGGTAGAGCTGTGTACTGGGCATCGGGTTGAGAGCATTATTGTCTAAGAGTTTCCGCTCTGCTGGTTTGGCTTTTGAAGTGATTACAGATTTTCAGAACAATTGTTTCAATGTCGACTGGGAGCCTTTTCGGCCGCATTGTGCAAATATGTGCTGAACAGCCAATTGGGATTAGACGTGCCGAAGTTCGTTTTTTCAGTTTAGACGATTGAAAACATTGTTTTTTCCTTTTTTTTCGCAACCCCCAAAGTTCACTGCTGCATTGTCAGCACAGAAGGATGTCACATTTTTCAACTCAATCCATTTTCCTCGAGAGAAGAAAGAATAAAGTTCATTATCTGCTTATAGGACTCACAGGGCATCGTTCGCAGGTCGAGAATACGCACCCTAATTCCAACTCGAAAGTTAAAAATCTGATAACCGAAAAAAAAAGTTTCACTTCGTTGTTCTAGCACTTGAGAATTTCTTAACAATCTCAGAATCAGGAAATATCGTTTTGATTAATTGCGTGGTGCAATCGTTGGGATGAAATGAGTAAAGTGACGTAACAATGCTTCCTTTTCGCATACGCTCAGACACTTTTCTCACTCAGACATATTTTCAAGCGTGGTCGTAAACATTACCTCGTTTTCGTGTTTTTGAACTCGTTCTAACTAACTATTCGTTAGTTTTCAGTTGGGTTTCGGAAACTTAAATATAAATCAGGTAATTCAATGATCACACGCAAAACGTGAACGAGTCATCCATGTTTCTAAGACAAAATAAGCACGTAACTCAAGAATTAGCACTTTTCTTAGAAAAAAGCACATCGTTACTTTATAAGACGCGGGCTAGAAAATAAGCACAAATCTTAGAAATAAGCGGAATATGGCGGTCCTGCATATGCATAATATATTAAAGCATCCAAAACAGAACGCCAACCGCTCATCTTCCTTATACAGAGATCATCAGTATCAAGATAATGCGCATATGAATGGACATAATTATTCAATTCAAGAAATTATCAAGTTGTCATTTGCATTATATATAACCTATATATATTATATCCAATATTGGTTTGTCCGTGTGTCATGTCAACAACAAGTTAAATGGAATATAAGGCTTCATAAAACTATCACTGTAAAAATAGCCCACATACAGATTATTCACCTTGAGACAACGCATTTGATGCAATCTGAAATGAATTTCCATTGCAGGAAACCTCCTTTAATGGGAATCGTTATAGTTAACAAAATACGGTTGTGAACAGCGACTGGCGCTGCTGGATTGCTTTTATGGGAGAAATTACTCCAGGCCTAAATGCTCTAAATACTAACCGAGAACGTCTAAAACTTTAGCATGGCAATAAGATTGATTATCCACTTTTTGTAATGTGGCACATAATTGGGTATTTCCGAGGTATGTGAATCATGATGTCGGACACTGGAACTTAGTATGTGTACCAGGTTAGGGTTAGGCCATAATTTTCAGGTACAAATACTGCGGGAGTCACTCGGCTAGTCCCCGAACTCATAATATAACTAAAATAAGGAAAATTGAAATAAAATTATAGTCTAACCCTAACGTGGTACACATATACGTGCCGTGCGCGCCATCTTGGTTCACATACTTCGGGAGTGCCCATAATTGTACATAAGAGAATGTGGTCGCACTTAAGAGGATCGGGCAAAAATACAGATCACATTGAGGGTTGTTTTTTTGATATCACTATTTTTCGCATGCCCCAAAAACAGGAAGAAAATATTAGTCAACATAACCGTTCAATATATCCCAATTTTTTTTATGTTAGCATTTGTCTGTCTTTCTTTTTGTTTTGCTACAAACTAGCAACTACCAATCTTTTCTTTATTATATAACAGTCTTTCGCTTTGAATTTCTCTTTTCTTATATAGCCATTGTCGATAGCCCACACGCTAAATTTGTGCGTAAGTTACAAACCTATTAAATTGCTTGATTCTGCAAACTGAATAAACTCATACGAACCGAAAAGAATGTTGCGTCAAATGTATTCTAATAAGCAATATTTATACAAGTTTACACACGGACTGTCTACGAAAACTTAAATCGATTTTTTAAATAAAATGGAAACCGCCGTAGTTTCTTCTTCCATTTGGATTTCGAGAAATATTGATGTAGCAAACTCAGAGAGCCATGCCATGGCAGAGTCCGTTAATGAATTCCACTCTCATGCTGATATGTCCATACCAGGATTCCGGATGAACGCGAATATATCTGCATGTTATTGGCGCAGTAAACATGTTGATCACTTTCGAATCTCTGTCGAGGTTGCCGGGAAATATCTGTAATTACAGCATAAAATTTATATTGTACCCCATGTATTTGTGTCTTGTCGTGGATGTAACACAGACTATAGGTTCTCAGGAAAGTGCATATAAATATTCCTCCGCCATATGAAATACAAAAGTATACCTTATCTGAGTTGTTATGTTTTATAGTCGTTAACGAGGAAGTAGAACTTCCGCAGGATATTTTGAATGATCGAACCCACTGGCTGTGTATTGGTCGTCCTTGAGTTATGATTCCACCAATAAGTTTGGGAGTACCGAAGTCGATCTGTAACCATTCTCCTTGGCGATCTGGAATGATAAATATCAAGGGCACAACTTAAAATACCATAAGCATACTAGCCACTCAATGAAATAGTCAATGCTAATTAGAACAGAGCATTCAAAGCAGGGGTCGGCAGCCTTTTGTCGCTCGCGGGTCGAAATTAAGGGTTGCAAGTCATTGGCGGTCCACACATATTTTTTAGAAAGTTGAAAACCGAACGGATGGTACTTTTTATAATCAAGATCAAGCAGTGATAGATCTTTCGAATAGAATATAGATTTATTCCCTCGTTGCATTGCTCCCATTTGAATATTTTCGGCCCCATGAACCCTTAGCCTTAACCTTTTTTTTGCGTTTTGTTGCTATTTGTCTAATTATAATAAAATTATAGGCTTATTAAAGGAGTAATTGTGAATTTTATACTTGTTAGATTATAATATAATTTAGTCTATACGTGTCTCACAATAAATGCAGTTACTTAAAGAATATAATCGTCAAAACAGCTGGTTTGTTATGCATTTCAGTGAAGTGTCGCGGGTCGGATTATATTACTCCGCTGACCGGATCCGTCCCGCGGGCCGTAGGTTGCGACCCCCGATTTAAAGTTTTTGAAAATATAAAAGAATGGAGTCAGGAACGATGCCCGCGTCCCACAGTTCCGAGTTAAATATATATTGTGGGACAAATGGATAGAAATATTAATTTAGTAGAAGGTTAGAGTAGCCTATCGTATGAAGTGAGAATCAAACAATTGAGACAAAATGAACCCGACACTTTAGGCAGGCACCCTTCAACGTTAATTATTTTACAAACTGGATGCTGCTGCCCATACTGCATGATTTCCCGAACTGATCTGATTATCAAGTCGTCCATTGTATGCTTCGTATCCACCACCCGCAATCGAAGAAGAAGTCATTGCTGAATCTGGAACATCTCTGTTTCTCACCCCCATGTAGCAGTATGTGGCTGTTTTTCAAATGATAAAATGCAAAACTTGATTAAAAAATGTAGAAATACCAAAAGGATTTATATATATATATATATTTATTTATAGTTTCTGACTTTTAATTTTGAGCTGAACTTATTAGTCACGCATTCGTTCACGTGGTCGAGATCATCGTACTCTAAACTATATCGGATTGCTTGCCTTAGAAAATTAGGATTTTCGTTGAAAGTATATCAATAGCTGATGGTCCACACGTTTCAGGTATTTTAATAATATATATATTGAAAAAATAATAGTTTGAAATTTTACAGAAAATAGTTTAACAAGATTTCGGTGGTTGCTTATGTAGATTCGCATCAGTCAATCCCTTGATACTATTATCGCATGGAGCAAGACGCTTTGAATTGCTGCGATTGGAATGGTGCAAGGACTGCAAGAGATTGTTTTATTGAAACGTATTCTCTCGAAATTCGATCATTTATCGGTTTTCTTTCAAAAATACTCACACTTGGGCAATGCTTCTAAAATTCGTGATGTAGTGGCTTGGAAGTCTATGAAAAAAAAACGGAGTTGCATGTTTTCAAACCAAGTTCGACAGATAAATTATATATTCAAGAAATACGGGCCAATGACAGGTATATATATTTTCGCCCACATTTAGTAGGTATTTTTTCATAAGGTTTAGTATAATCGTTGTACATACTTGGAATTAAAAAAAGATGGAAAACTGGAAAGTAGATCTAGAACCATAAAGCTTTATCGTCATATTCGAAAGCCGCGAAATAACGTCATATCGTAGATAAGAAAATAAACATAATCTAATTCTTGCTGAACCACCCAGATACGCCAGTTTTGCTTCGCTCACCTTCTAATTCGCTAATTCTTTCTTCCAGATGTTCTGTCGTGCCCCTTTCACCTTTCTCTCCTTTAACGCCAATAGAGCCTTTTGGTCCGTGAGGTCCTGTTTTACCGGGCCTACCCTGGCATTGACTTGAATCACATGTCAATTGATGAATGGGTTCCCCATTTGCGACAACGTGAGAACAGAATTCATATACCGTAGGCATGTGACACAACACACATTGTGCAAGCAAGACAAAACCAATGCCAGTTTTTATTAGGGTATACCTCATAGTGTTGTAAATATAGTTGATAATACTACAAAATACCCAAATGTATTCGATCAAACCCCCGAAATGTGCTTCGAAATATGATCTTGATTTTATTTCGTGAAATAGAACTAAATACGACGGCGACATAGCCTGATACTTGAATGCTAATGCTTCTTCTAAGCCTCATAATTATTCTTGCTTGTTTCGAGCATAATTAAGTTAATAACTTCGGTTGGTCGGTATCAAAAGTGGTTAGTTATAATTTGGGGCTTTTGTGATTCTCACCTGCCATCACCAGTGGTGGGATTCAAAATTTTGAAAACAGATTCTCTTCTGCATCGGACTCAATAACAACACGTCCTTATTCGAGAAAGTGTTTGTTACTACGTAAGCTGCATTAAACTTGACATCCTTTACATAAATCTAATACATAACTTCCTTAACGAAAAATATCGCGCTAATCTTGTGCTGCGGTGCATATGACCCATTTGCAGTATTCTATTTAAAGTCTAAAACAACAGGGTTACGACGTTAAAACGAACCCGCAACTGGGAAAAACATTAGACCAGTATTTGGAGAAAAAAATCGAACTGTCATATTTATAAACTTTGTCAATCTCCATCCCATCTAAAGCGACATTACCGTTATTCTTTATATATATGGTGGAACAGGTGTATTTCATCACAACCTTTTTCGAGATCAACCCAAACTACTAACTCCCGATTACTAAACACCCTTCCATCAAGATAGATTTAATTTCTGTCAAAATATTTATGTTATTTTTTTACATCCAAAGCTACAGAAGAAAAAACGCATTTCTCGCAAAATCACGCTCAATTGCAACTGTTTATTTTGATACGAAACAGATGTCGTGACTGAAGTACTTGGCAGACTGTTAATGTAACTGAATACCCATCGCAGATGATTTTCACACATTTTCAACACAAATCAAAAAGACATTCACGAAAACTGAAAAAAAGCAAAATAAGCTCATTTTTAGATAGAATAAACATTATCGGAGTCAAATTACTGAAGTTCTGTGAACCAAATCTCCAGGTGGAGCTGTTTTAAATAAAACGAGTGGGTGAAAAATATCAAATATACCCGGAATAACCACATACTACGTGTATATTGCGTGTGTTGGAAACGGAATAGGCGAACTAAACCTTCTGGAACAGTTCAAGACCGATAACAACCTGACCTAACTTGAAAATATGAAAAGGCTTCATACCCCTAACAAATGTGAAGATCCTGTTGATTGAAAAAAAAATATTCATCAGAAAAGTTTGGCGATGTCGCGTTTTGTGCTGAGCGTTAGGAATACGCTCGCCACCGCATCATTGGTTGTCCTGCATGGGTTCGCAGGTTGGAATCCCATGCGGGGATAGTTATGTGCGGAGGATTGTTGGACTCCTCGCCGCCGTAAGGGGGTTCACGAAACCGCTGGTCGGTTACGGTTTCCTCCGCCATCAAGTCCGAAAACAAGTAACTGGCTAACTAATCCCATACCCGACATGGACTGGTAACCGGACGAAAGGCCGTGGTTTGCTTCATGATGAGCCTTGTTGTGCCTCAACCTATACCGCTAGTAACTAAATTTATGATTCCTGAAATTCCCTTGATCCAAGATTTATGAAATATCCATAAGGAAACAAACTACAAGTATTATTTATACATATATCTGAAGAAAAAAACGGGACAGTGGCTGATTGGACAAGTCAACCTTGGTTTGATATCGAGGCTTAGTAATTCTGTGGTTCAAACTTTTTCCATACAATTTTAGGCAAAATACGGGCATCAACATTAGCTGTAGGTCTCAAATATCCAATTTCTCTCTCTATAGTCTATCTGAACTAGTTAAGCAAGTTGCAAATCAGTGGTAAATCGGCTGCCTTCGTTGAAAAAAGAATAATTTTGTATTAATATAAAATGAACAAAAATATTTATAACTGTCATACTGCATAACCGGGACATTTACGTCTACCGGTCGGGACAACTGGTAAAATTAGGACTGCGCCGGATAAATACGGGACGTATAAAGCCTAGTTATGATGTATTCTCAACCCTGAATATTGATATAAAGGCTGTGGAGACGCCGTCTCGACCTGCCTTGGGAATTAGAAGAGACCATCCAATTTAACTTAATATGGAATACCCTCGCCACCGCACCTTCGGTTACTCTGCGTGGGCTCGCAGGTTCGAATCCCATAAGTATAAGTTTATTTCGACTCCATAATCAGCATAATAGATGATAAAATAATTGATAAAACAAAATAAACGAAACAGATTATAGAATCGGGAGAGCAAACAAAACCACAAGTAAGGTTTGAAGCGTACAAATTTTAGATGGGAAGGTATTACGAAGAAGTTGTGCGTGTTCGCTCACCAAAAAGAATTAAAACTAATTAAGGCACATACACACACAATCACCGAGACATGATAAGATCGGATAAAAAAAGCGTACTCTGTAATTTATCCATTATGTAAAGCTATGCAAAGTATGTAAGTTAAACATAAAATACCGAAGGAAAACGTCGAAATGCTGTCAAATTTCCAGTTTATTGTAAAAGCATAAATCTTCAGAAATAAACAATGGAAGATGATTTTATCCTTAAATCTGATAATCCGCTGATTTATTTGGATTTCTCTAAGACGTCACTAGAATTGGATGGATAGTTCCAAGTTGTGATAACGGTGGTCCAAAAAAATGCAACGCTTTATTCACAGTTAGATACTTACTTTAAACAAGGGAATACATTTTCATTTATTAAAAAACAAACATCTCGTTTTTGTTTGCATTGGTATTTCAGGTACAGTTTAATATTGTATATTGTGCTTCGAATATTTACTGAATACGAAATATCACAAAGGATTTTGTGTTTTCATGTATCAATGCAGTGAAAATAACTCTGTCGTTCAATTAGGGTGGTCGAACTGAATGTCCCCAATTCACACCCTGTGACGTCGAGCAATAAATCTCATTCAATTCTGTAAATCGCAGCGGGCCCGCCTGATGCTGTCATAATTTTCGGTCCTTAACCAATTCTACATACACTACATCTCCACACACTTTTCTTTGCACGTGCAGCCTCGAGTTTGAATTTATAGCCTATAAAGTTTGGTTAAGGACCCATAACACTCTTAGCGTTCTTTCTTGGCCCCTGGTCCAAAAACCGTGCCGAACTCCGCTATAGCGATATGCCCGGGTGAGCGAGTCAGATAATATAAGGAATGTATTGTTAGGCCTAAGCTCATACCGCTAATAACTAGAATTATATTTTCTGTGATCCATGATTTATGAAATATTCATAGAACATATGGTACTGCCAGTACTAGTTATACCGTACTGTATGGCCAGTCCTGGGTATTGATATAAAAAGGCTGTGGAGACGCCGTCTCGACCTGTCGGAGAAATAAAAAATGACAATCGAATTCCATATAATAGGATGGAGTATATGCCGGGACGTTTGAGCAAGAGAAACTAGCAAAATAACAGATATTCCTACTGAAACTTTGAACCTTTCATGCGTGTAAGATGGAACTTATGACGTCAACCGTCAAATATTGAACTCTCTCTCTCTTCTGAACAAACGAGCAAATGGCAAAAATATAGGTAGAATTTTTTAAACATTCTACGAAAAAACTTTAACAGACCAGTGTTCTGCAAATATTTTGGTTATTTTCTAAAAAAAACATGAAAATAATACAACAAAATTACATAAAAAAAATAACTTGCCAAGCGATTTGAAGAAAAAAGTTCAGGAATTGAACCAAATCATTGGAACTCCAGCGGTATTTCTTGAAAAAATTTACTACGTTTAACGTGCTTAGCACCGCACTATTGACCGACCGAAAATTACACAAAATGAGATATCATTTTCGTCCCGAGGAGAAAAAAACGATAAGACGGCTTAATCATAAGGCGACCACAGTCCATATCGAGTATAGGATTAATTAGCCAGATATTTGTTTCGGATTCATGGACTTGACGTGAGAAATCCTGAACCGACCAGCGGTTCGTGAACCACCCTGGGGCGGTGAGAAGTCCAGCAATCCTCTTGATCACAATCATTCGAACCTGTAAAGTCATGCATGCATCGGAGATACACTCAATCGTATACTATTTCACATTCGATCTGCGCTGGTACCTGTAACCAGAAATGGCTCTATTACCTCGCCAAGTGACATGTCCCGAAAATAACATTGGCCTAACTTCACTTCCGCAAGTCTTGGTTTGGTAACACCTTGTTATAAAGAAGCACAGTTCAGTAAAAACCATTAAATGTATTCATTAGTAGACTGCTAAGTGTCATCTTTTCTTTGGTGGTGTCATAACAGGAGGTGGCATTAAGTCATTGTGTTGTCTTTCTTCACTTCTCATTTGTTTGCTAGGAGGTTGTTGAGAGCTATTGTTTGCTGAATAAAGATTTGAAACTTATTGCTTGAAAACTTGAAATCTGAGTCCATAACTATAGGATAGAATTTACAAGTTTATTCATATGGTGTGTATTTTCTCTCGTCTAGTTACCACTCCATGTCGGGTATGGGATTAGTTAGCCAGTTATTTGTTTTCAGATGCATGATGGTGAAGGAAGCTGTAACTGACCAGCGGTGATGTGAACCACCCTACGTCGACGAGGAGTCAAATCTCACATAATTAACCCCACATGGGATATGAACCTGCAAACACACGCAGGGTAATCAGAGGTGCGGTGGCGAAAGTATTCCTAACGCTCAGCACGATGCGCCACATATTAAGGTAAAGAAATTCAGCGGAGGATTCAAATGTTTTCCCAGTTGGTGATTTTTTCAAACAAGACGGAAGGTATGCAGTAACAAAAGTACGACTGATTTAAAATAATGATATTATATTCAAATACTAACATGGTCTTTTCTGTCCAGATATTTGTGAAGGTGGATGACCTGTAAAAATAAAAGATGAAATGAAATTGAATGCTCACAATATTTTTATTTGAAACAGAATTTACCTACTAAAGTTTAAACCGACTAGCAATACAAGAATTCTAAACAAGTAATATACTAGGCCATGAAGATTTGTATCGAGTATTGAAGTCGAGCGAAAATCTTTTTTCGACAGAAAAATATCAGAAAGAACTTGTAAGACCAGTATAAGTTAATATTTCACTTCAGATGCCATTTTTTGCCCATCAGATCATTGTTAACAATAAACCAAAAAAATACTAAGATTTGGTATTATGGATTAGATTTAGTTTTATGGAATGGTAATTTATTCTAAATTAACCACCATAATTAAAATACCATTACGACAAGGCATTTCATAAGATGCAAGTATATAACAACAATATAAAAAGCACATACCAGTACCATGTTTTGGTAGGCCATATCTTCTGTGATCAATTACATCAAATAATATTTGTTTTGTCACAGGGTGTTTTATACTTCCACAGACAGCTGAAAAGATGAAAGAAAATGTAAATTTCATCACAAATTCCATTGAATTACGGGTGAACTTTCTTTAATCATTTCCACAGAAAGTAAGAAAAAATACCACATTTTGCAATGTATAATACACACTTTCAAGGTCAAATTTAGTTTGAGCTAATATTCTTGAAAAAACAAAAAAAAATGTCATATGTCCCACTAAACTTGATCAAATTTAACTTGGATACTTTTTCAAGTGAATAAATATGTTTGTTCCTATGGGCAAGATCTTGCGTTACCTCAGTTACCTAGTTTATAGAGCATCCTTGATTTGTCGCCTTTTCTGGACTAGACCATGATGCTAGGGATTTCCATTTTGCTATTTTGTTTTAATTTAATGCATGAAAAACTCATATCTCTCTGTGGAAAGCACTTAGAATAATTGCTTGTTCAAAAAAAAAAAATACAGAAATCCATACCTATGGCTGTGTCATAAGAATTTGGAAAACTTTTATCTGTTCTTTCCCTCATAAACTTCCATGTATTATTTTCAAAAGTGCATTCGATTATTTTGTTATCATATAGACGTAAAGTTTTTGTAACCTGCATAATATGATAATAGATGAAGAAATAAAATATAATAAACATACAACAAATGCATTACGGTGAATGACAATTTAGAATGGCTTGATACCTACAATTATTTTGCAACATACAGACAGGTTCCATTTACATGAATTATTTACTTTATTTAAGCAGAAAACCAGACTAATAACCGAACACAGGCCATTATTGGGTATATGATCAGGCTGCATTGTCGGCTTTCTTTCTCAGGGAGAGATCTCATAAAATAAATTACATATTTTGTAAAAATGAAGCCATCAAATCACTTCGTTTATAGAGAACACATACCACAGACGCTGTTCAGTTAGAAAAACATTGAATGAATTTTATTACCCCATTAACCGATTTTAATACATTGTTCAGTGGTTGGTCATCAAATAGAACTCTATTGGTATCACAGGTTACCCATGTCAGGTTTTGAAACCATATGTTCTCTTCCAGGATTTATCAAATTGGTTAGAAAATGATGAACCAGAAATTTATCACAAAATAAAAGATATTAGTGGGTGCGTGTACATGCCTTGTCTAAGCGAAAAGCATGAATAAGCGCACATAAAAAATACATCAATCGTTGCTATATTTGATTGCAGCAGACAGCTTTACAACAATTATATTATACCTTCATACTAGAAAATGGTGGTTCATGTCCTCCAACATATAACAATCCTAATGTTTCTTTCAACATTCCCACTCCTGATACCTGCTGAATTTTTAATCGAAAATCGACACTATTTTGTGACGATGGCTTCCATTTCAATATATCATCATTTCTACCACACGTGTATCCCTGAAAACAAACGAAAAAATATGTTATCAACTATCACTCTGTGGAAGTTTCCATTTGCCAATGAACAATGTTTTCAAGGGTTACACGTTGACTCCAATTACTTGAAGTCTCATGCCAAACACTATCTGTTGCATTTTCATCTATAAGTAACTTTTAATACGAGTTTAAGACTCAGTGTTGAGCAAAATTGCTTGAGAAAGCTGCTAATCCTTACTTGTGGAAATGTATAACAATATTATTTTTCGATTATTCGAAACCAATATCGAATGAAAGATTTTCATTTAATACCACTGAGGATTATGCTTTAGAAAGCTTTTATGGATATTAACAATTCTTTATCTGCAAATAATTACTATTTTTCATTTTTTTCTGATTCTGATTGCTTGATTTTCAAGTATTTTTAATACAAAGATGAAAATGAAGTATTTTTCATTAAATAAAAGTTAATGAAACTATATTTTCATTCACCAAGTTTAGATCATGTTTGTAAAAATATTGCGATTACCATATGTATCCAAATTTCAAGTCATAAAAAATGCACCAAATGACAATTAGAACAAATATATCAATTTTTGAACCAATTTGAACGCTTAATAAAAAGAGATAATGAAATATGTTTATACCTACATCTATTGGATGAGCTGACGCAGGTTGAAAAATTAATCCATCAACTTCATGACTTATTTGTTTCGAAAACCTGAAATTGAAAATAAATACACGAGTTCATTCATCAGTGAATTTGTTGCATTATCAGTATTGCCTTTATCGAATACAGAATTTCACTTTGCCGAAAAGCTATTGCTATTTTTATTGTAAGAAAATCCCTTCTCTGCACTAACTAATAACCACATCAATTTCAGAGTTTCAATGATGAAAGAATAATAGATTCGTCCAAATGATTTGAATGCTCAAATTGATTGAGAATTATTTCTATTCTATATTATAACTTTTGAATTTTGATTCATCATTTTGCACAATTGAAATATCACAGTATGACCTGATTGGCCTTCCATATAATTTTTAAAAATTGTGCAAATATAAAATCATTGTTAAATTCAAATTCATTGAATACGAGTGTTCTTAACTGAACATGACTTGATTTAGAATGTTTTTATATTCCATTTTCAAGAATATTATCTCAGAATTAGATTATTCCATTCTGGCCATCCCTGATTCACCATGTGATTAAGATATCATATCACAGTGGTTAACAATCTTTTATGGCTTGTCCCCCCCCACCCCCCTCATCTGGAGGCGTTTAGCACTCATGATGCCCCATTCCCCCTGTTTATCATTTCAGTGGTGTTGTTATGATCGCTAGATTCCAAATCCCATTATGTTCATACAATTCATTCCCAACAAAGTGAAAACACCCTGTGACATAACATTATCAAACTATGAAACGGGAAACTAAGAACGAGGAGTTCTCTTGCGAGGGAAATGTAAAATGAGTTCTGCGCCTAGTATCGTGCCCCCCCCCCCCCCCCCTCCAACCACACGGATTCCAGGTTGGCATTCGCCGTACTGTGTATCAACTTTCTTTATCCTGAGAAGAGTATAAGAATTCCTATCTAACTTCAGTCAAACTCATTACTGAGAACAGCGTTTTTCACTGCTTCGTCGGAGTGTTCCCCAAGACAAGATCGAAATTGCAACTAAATTGGTCACCATCGCGATCTCGGCCATACTTCGACGACTCTGGGTCACAAATTTGTCCTCCAATTGATGACAAACGGGCAGACAGGCCCTGCTATCTGACCGGGCTGACAGACCTCGTGCCAGTATAAGAAGCATGACGTTTTCGTTAATAACCGTTCAATATCTCAGACCATCGGCCTAATTTTTTTTAATTGTCAAGTTTACAGCAAACTTTTCAATTTCAACCATAAGCTAAATTTTTATGGAAATCACCCTCTTAAATGGATTGTTTGCTCAAAACTAGAAGCCTAAAAATTTGTGTAAGTTGATGCACAAAGTAATCCATTATACAATTTTTTTATTATCGATTTTACCTTTTAATTTCTTGGTGTTCCGCGTGGCGAAATAAAAAGTGTAGGTGGGACAAAATAAGTTTCAGAAACGCCGACTCAGAATATGTGGTCACAAAATGATAGTAGAAAAAGTACATACTGTCCATCTAATAGTTCTCTTGATTGTGTTATATCCCAGAAATCTTTTATCCGAACACTGAAAGCTTCTTTTGATTTATCCAGCATTCCTCTCCTTATTTTTTCATGTCGAGGCCCAATGATTTCTTTTTTAATACATGATAATCTTGTAATAAAATCACAATCACCAACCGGCTGTCCCTGAAGAAAAAGAAAAATCATAGTTGTTATGCTAATACTGGAATATTTCAATGTGTGAAGAAGGCTCATAACAATACGATGAAATATTAATCTTGAAAAAAAATTTCCCCATTACAACTTTTAAATAAAAGCTATATATCAACATTTTGACCAAAAACTTTACCGTTTGCAGACTTTTTTCAAATTCAAGTTGGGTATTTTGACTGTAATGGCACAATGGCATTGCATTATGGATCTGGTTCCCAACTGGGGACCCATGGATCCCTAGGGGGGCCACAGTGCAGTTGTAGGGGGGCCACGATACTGGGCACAAAATTTAACACTATAAATACCTCTCTATTCCACTTTCTAATTTTCCCAATAAAGCGAAAATAGGACGGCAGTTACATTGCTTTTGGCTTCACCAAAAGTAAATCGATAAGGTCTAATCCTAGAATGTGCACAGTGCTTGCATAAGTTGCATTGTTCGTATTTTTGGAATGATGAACAAGGGGGGCCACTCGTGTTAAATTCCTCCTGAAGAGGGCCACGGCCCACGAGTCATGAAAGGTCGGGAACCACTGCATTAGACCTAATTGCATTGTTAAATCTCATACCACCAACCCCACCCAACTTGTAATATATTGGTTAGGCAATGCCCAGCTGAAAAGATTCCAGTCCTTCCTAATGAAAATGTCAACTACCGGTACTTACGTCTCGCTAGATATCAGCGGCTGCTTGGTACAGAGCCTCCTTCGAAGCAAAAAGCATAATATAAAAAATTCAGATAAATTCAGATTCTAACTCCATATTCTTAGACTAAAATATTATAATGCTGATATTAAATTACCACAAAAATATCAAATTCTAAATTAAAACCCCGGTCCAACAAAATACGTTTATTAAGGACCAAGTTACTTTACTTACAGCAAACATAACAATGTCATAAATAAGATATCTTGGTACAGAGATTCCTTCCACAACATCTAGAATCATTTCACCATCTAATAAAGTATCAGTGAGATGATGTTCGAGATTTTTACGATGAACAAATTCCATATCCGAAATCTGAAATAGCGACCAATACAGAAAAATTTGAAATGAAAATAGAAAGAATGGTCAAATCTTATGGTAATAATTTGTAATTGATATTTTAATATTGAAAGGTGTATCCACTCGAAAATATATAAAGGTTTGATAACCGAATGAAGACCTTTTCTAGTAGTTGAAAATTAGAACTATTTTAATGTCTTCGTTGAAGATCTTGGACTCAAACCCAACGTAGCCAGATTACTCAAGGTGTAACAAATCGTACATGCAAATCCAAACTGTAGAGATATAATTCTTTTTAAAAAAAATAGTTGCTGCTTCTGTATAAGCAGCAGAGTGTTTAAAGCGTTTTCAAAAAAAAAATTTCCATCATTGATGACACAGACACGCAAGGACAAGGGCCATCTGGCCCACAAATATGCCACACTTATCCAATTTAGAACAAGGATTTCTCCGGATGTCATTGCTTCCAATAGCAACATTTAAAATTAGAAAGTGCTTCACTTGTAATGCAAGATGTTTTACAGCAGGGCTCTTCAAACTGTATTATTAAATTTCACTTAATTTCAGTTTCTGGGGGTTGTGACAAAATTTGACTGGGCCAAGTGGGTCGTGAGTCACGATGAAAAAAGTTTGAAGAACACTGTTTTTTCATTGAGAAACTGTGCACAGTGGAAAAACTGAGAGTCAAAAATTTGGTTGCAGACATTAGTGAAACAAAATTTTTTGAATTTGTACCTGAAAAACCGCATTATCTCTGTCCACCATATAAACTTGATTCTTTCCATTAATCAGCATCATGTATCGAACTCCATCAGCTTTCCAACTGACTTGATAAGATTTTTGAGTCAAAAATTTGATATTTTCTAAAGTCATTGACACTGGTTGGGCACCAGGAAATCCTCTCCTAAAATATATTGACAGAAATCAAAAATGCAATAGAAAAAAAATATCAAACTAGAAACAATCAGAAGCTTTTTATATAGATTGACCACAATCTGCAACTGATGTAACTATAAGAGCTGGTACTTTGATGTATTCCCAATCTAATATAAAGCCTACAATCTACCAAGAGTAGTGACATAATTTTTGGATGACGCAGTCAGGTGGGGTTCAGGATTGACATGTGCTAAAATTGTTATGCTACGCCCACTAGAAGTACTTTGAGGTACGAAACTACACTAGAGTACACTAATTTCACACAAAGTGCTACATTTATCGTATGTTTTAGACTTTTGATTCGAGGCACAATTAATAAAACTAGAACAAAACAGCTATACAATAAAATATTCATCATTTGAATATTCTTCAATGTAAACTTCTTTCCCATTGTAATGAATAAACTTCCCAAACAGATAATGACAAAAGATATTTTAGAATGATGTATACCAGAGACTAAACTACTCTCCCCCTACTAAGGTAATGATTGTAAGACCAATATAAAAAAATATATCTAAGGACATACCTTTTCCATTTACATATTTGTTGAACTCGTTTCTGTACTTGTTTTAAAGTAGGTTGAACTGCGATTTGTTTGACTTGAGGCACCGTTACACCTTCTATAAATGGCTTTAATTTCACCTGAATAATATAAGAAAAAAATTGGCTTAGAACTTACTAAAAAAGAAAGAAAATGACAACAAATGAACAACTTACTCTGACACTAGTTGTCGCACTTGAGACTGAACCATTAACCTCTTGCCCATCGTCATCAACTGGAATGAAGAAGAAAATTATAGTGCACGTACTAGTAAAAATCCATTGCACAAACATGTAGCATTATAACAAGGCACCAATTCAAAAATGCTGTGCGTTGGATTCATTATCTTAAGAATTTTGCACAATGCATATAGAGATTTTGTACACCTTTTTATATAATTATTACATATCGATACTAAAAGAATATGGAAATTTCTTCAAAGTTGCCATTAGAAATGGAGGCAGGCACTAACCTCTAAATATTACGAATATGATTTCTTTTAAAAAATCATAACAATTTAAGCTAATCCCAGCAAAATATACCCACTCTGATGGGCTCAATCAAAAAGTTAACATACATTTAACTTTGAGGCTGAAAATAAATCTAATTCTTCTTATTTTCCAACTTTGAATTAAATACAGATATCCACTCAAGAGCAGAATGCCATTCAAAACTAAGGCCACGAGATTTGTAAGTGTTTTGATTGGAACCATTGAAGTAAAACTTGGAAATATAGATACAAGTTACAGCTCAGAGTCCTAAGTAAGTTAATTATTTTTCTTACCATTTGCTTCACCATCATCACACTCAGTATGCCACGGTGGAAGTGGGGGTGGGCCAGGGGCATCTGCGGCATCACCATACCGCCTGAATAATTCCTCAATGTAATGACCTTTGATTATTCCTGGAGGTCGTGCTTGAGCAAATGTAGAGAAAGCTGCTTCAACACTGAAAATAAATGAATAATTGATTAGAAATAGTGATTTGGAACAAAAAAAATTAACACATTTATTAAGAACTAACTTATTCCCAATTTAGACATCATACATATAACAAGGGTCAAATAAACTACCAATGCAATACTAATCACTTTATTAAGGAATACCTAGAGTACCATATCTACAAAAATGGTATTTGAAATATTGACTCATATAAACTATAGACGTTTCCGTCATCTATGAACCCTGAAATTCTCCACTATTGCAAAATTTTTTACGCTTATTTTGGGAGTGTTCTGGAGAGGAAACTGACAAATAACATGCAAAACCCTAGAAACGAGGCAAAGTTTACAACACGATTGAAAATCTGTCAGAGCGAAAGAAGTGAGTAGCTGCACAAATTGCAGTTGATAAGTCATTGCTGATTGGTGATTGTTACGGACATAAACAAGGAAATCGATGCCTGGGGAACATTCATTGGGCCTAACAAAGTACAATAAGTATATTTATATATATTGACATAACAATTCTAAAAATCGAAACCCTACCAAAGTGTGATAACTTTAGTAAAGTTGCATTTCCTCTGTACTTAGATTGATATCATTGTTAATGGTTACTTATAAATTATTCAAAATAACTGTTATATAAAAAAAGTATAATCCTAAAGGAATTAACTACTTTGAGGGGTTGGCGTTCCAGATTGAAGATTGAGTTCACCCAACCGAGGAGTAGGACCTTGTAAATTGAGTGGACAATGATGAATCGCAAAGATAAATAGCATCTCCTTACGTATCAGTGGCTACTTGTACCAAAACCTCTTACACGTAAAGGTGTGAAAAAAAAAAGAAAAATTCCTACCTCCAATCCATTTTTTCAATCAAATAAGCAGAGATAAGAAAACCAGTTCTGTTATATCCGTGTGTACAGTGAACACCAATGACTGACAATGGATGTTTTCTTATTAAACTGTCACATAAATTTACAAACAATTTTGTTGTTTCTTCATCCGGACATTCTCCATGGCTGAAAATGAAAAAAGATCGCTCATTTTTTTTCATTTATACAGTGATTAGTAAATATTACTCGAAAATGTGCAATCGCATGCTAATAAATAAATAAATGAGACAAGAAAAAAGTAAATTTCAAAGATGATCAGAAATTCTGTATCCAAAAATTGCATATTCCTGAACTATCAGTTTTAATTATATTTAAAATTATATAAATTCGTCAATATAATTAAATCATGTGTTAAATAGTTTTATTCTATGAAACGAACATTGGATTTATTGCTATTTTTTATGAAGAAAAATATAAATAAATTGAATATAGATATATTGAGAGTTAGAGAACTCGTACATGCTTGATATAATATCCAGGGATGGCCAATACCGAATAGTTCACTATTTCGAATACATTCGAAATTATTATTTTCGAATATGAAATTTCGAATACTTCGAAATTAAAATCCAGTAATAGAATCTAAGTGTATGAAGGAATTTTCATACAATAAACAATGGAATAACTTCTATCTACAACCTGGCTATATTACCAGGCATTTCATGTTTGCAGATTATTGCGATATATATTTTATATAACATTCTCTTATTATATAACCCATGTTAATTAACAGAATTAAAATAATACGACAAGGCATTTTAAATAGTGGTATCGGTGATGGATTTGAATGCGTGCGCAACACAAAATCATCCTAGTAAAACGCCCATACTTTTAAATACCAACCATTATCCAAATTATCTGTCAAAAAGCGGGATAAAGTATGAGTTCTTTTTCAGACTTGTGACAATTTTTTCGAGAGTAGAAAAATACGAATCAAAAAGTAATTATATTCGGGAACTTTACCACACATTTTAAGTCCGCAGATCGCCGTTGTATGTTTGTGTAATAATACTTTTATTATTTTATAAATACGAAAATAGGGTTCACTACTATTTATAATCGGGTAGTTTACCACACATTCAATGTCCACAGATCACCGTTGTATTTTGTAAATATGAAAATAGGAATCAAAAATTAATATCAATCGCGAGTTTGCCTCACAATTTATGTCCACAGAATGCCGTGATATTGTGCCCGAATATAATTATTTTTTGATTCTTATTTTCGTACTCACGAAAAAATGTCACAAGTCGGAAAAATAATTTATAGTTTATTACACATTCAAGTCCACAAATCGCCGTTGTATTTTTGAGTTATAATAGTTTTAATATTTTGTAAAAACGAATCCGAAATTAATTATAATTGGGCAGTTTACCACACATTTCATGCCCACAAATACCCGTGGTATTTGGTATTAATACTTTCATTATCGATACTTTTGACCATCATTATCAAAATTATTTTCCAGAAAGCGGGTGAGAGTATTTTTCCAATAAATCAACTTGTGACAATTTATTGGATATCGTAACAATTACGGCTATAGATACCGTATTTCCCGGCTAATAAGTCTACATGGCAAATAGGACGATGTATATCTTTAGCACTCAAAAAAAAGGGGTTTTCCATATAGGCCTCCAAGAAGACGGGTAGAAAAATTGTTCCCTGTTGTTCAGCTATGCTAATATGCGCTAATAATAATGTTCAGTAGAATCATACTCACATAATTAACTATTTTTAACAATAAAGCGGTAATTTAAAGTTAAAAATCACAATCATTTTGAACAATCTATAATTTTATAGGGTCAGAACAGAACCAGATCATGTTTGTTTGGTAGAACCATACTCACGGAATTAACTATTCTCAACAACGAAGCGGTAAATTTAAATTATAAAGGGGCAATCATTTTGGACAACCTATCAACCCGAATGTTGAAATAATTTTGAAATGTGATAAGTACCACACGGTACGTCCACGGGTTATTTCACAGCTGTGTTTCATGTCCCTGTCGTTTTCTGCTGAATCGGCAAAACCAAAGGGTCATAAATCACTTACTTTATCTCGGTGGCGGTGGCCGTGTTTTCTCTTTTAAGTAACGATAACCGGCCTACGATTAAATAGCATGATTGGCAGACCCATAAGAACCAAAATATATATAAGGTTGACACAAATTATGCTTGAGAAGACTAATGCGAAAAATAAGCAGGCCACATAGAAATAAAATAAACATGCTTTCTCTATAAGGCGCCCCTCCCCCCAAAAAATCAAGCCAAAATTGGGTCTAGAAAAGCGACTTATTAGCCGGGAAATACGGTAATTGTCGATTTTTCGACTAATGGAAATGATTTTGTGAATTAAAAGACGAATGTCGGCAATGTCCACCAACGCAAACGTGCAAATGTGTCGCAACACTATGCGACGTACATTCGCGCTGTATATAAACAATCAAAATGCCGACTCTATTTCATCGTCATTACAATACGTGAGAAAGCGTAAAAAGTCGTTTGAAGATTCCGGTAAAACGAAACACCGTGTTTACGGCGAAAAGTGACTACTATTCGTAATTATTCGGAAATGAGCCGAAAAGGTATTCGAATACTTTGATATTCGAATAATTTAGAATATTCGATTCGTTTTGGACAACCCTGATAATATCTGCAAAATAATCGATAAAACAACTTTTATAAATAAACGACATCAGAAATAGTGATATAATTGTAATATTTACTTCCAGCAATTCATTATTATTCGCTAATTACCCTCTACAGGCTACTTTCTGATGCACAATATTCATTTTTGTGATTTCTTCTTTATTGTAAAACCTTGTCGTATTTGTAAGATCGATCACAGTTGACATTTGAACTTTCAAACTTGTCAAGTAGGCAAGCAGCATCGTGGGATGAAACCTAAAGATATATGATGCACAAAATAGATAAAAAGAGAAAATTTTTTTTATCAGAGTCCTCTCATCCTCAAAATTTGTTTGAAATAATATAAAAAAAAATCAGCATTCTCACCTGCATTCTTCGGGAACATCCCTATCATATCTTGATGATAATGGTGTTTTGAAAGGTAAAAATTTCCCAGCCACCAAGTTGCCTTTCCTGGGACAATGCAGCCATCGTGGTGGAACACTCATAGTTTATACAAAAGTAGGTATAGTAATACACGTATGCACACAAAAAATCGCTCCAAGTACAGAAGTAGTTACTGGATATGTTTTATTTGCCTATTTTGGTCTGTAGGTAACAAAAATAGATGAAACAGGTGTTGAAATCATACACTAACTGCACTAAATTAGCTTGCTTATATACCATGGATCTGTCATCTGTGGATGGCAAACCTCTGGCCTGCAAAGCTAACCATTGCGTTTTTTTGGTGACCTGCAAAGTCCAAATTAATGCAATACACATATTGATCATACCTTCATAGGAGCAGCCAGGGTCAAGATCTCCAAAATGCAAGTATTTAATATTCGAGTCGATATGGTTATTATTAAAACCCCCAATCTTGGATGACGTGTCTGTTACCTTGTATGGCACTATGCAGTTACTTTCGGTCACATAATTATAATAATAAGTTTATTTTGACTCCATAATCAGCATAACAATACAGACAGATAAAAACAAATAAATAAAAACTGATTATGAAATCAGGGGAGCAAACGAAACCTTAGATAAGGTTTATAACATACAGAATATAAGATGGAAGGTTTTGCCACTCACCTAAAATTATTAAGTTATTTCACACACGCTCACATGCACCCACCAGCCACACACACAACCACTGAGAAGTTATTTAAGAATGAAAAGCGATAAATTCAGGTTATACTATACAATAAAGTGTAAACAAACAAAAAAAATAAAAAATACTAGAAAAAGAAAAAAATTATTTGCCACACCATATTGATAATTTTGTAATGGTTGCCACTGCCAAATTGATCTAATCATAAATAAACAATAAAAGGAAGATTCTATTGAAAACATATTGCCAAGCTGATTATAGTTGGAGTCAAATGCCAAGTTGCCCAACCAAAGTTGCCAGAATTGGGTGCATGAAGAGGTGGGCTAGACCAGGGCTTCTCAAACTAGGGGCCGCGAAACGAATTTTGGGGGCCGCAAAGAGAACACCAATTTTCCACAAAGTACTATGTCTATTGCACTTTTTCAGACTCTTGATTCGAAATGCAATTATTAAAACAGGTGTAAAAAAATCTCACGATTCCGAGTGAATACATCATCTTACCGTGTTTCCCCCAAAATAAGACAGTGTCTCCAATTTCTCCTTCGAAAAATATTAATGGGGCTTATTTTGATGGGGATGTCTTTTATTTTCATTTTTTAGTAACAAATTAGGGAATTACGTGAATTTTAAATATACAAAATGGGAAAACCTATTTTACTTGTAAATAACACCTTTTTATTTAAAATAACTGCTAAACAGATTATTACCCATTAAAAAGGAGTAGAAAAGATTTCTTGCAATCGACTGGGTCAAAAAAAATTTTGCGCTATCGAGTAAGTTTTATTTTAAGTGAAGGGCTAGGTCGCATTTTCCTATTTTCAGGGAAACACGGTAGAATCCTCGCGCTTGTATAACAATGTCTATATACTGATCGTGAACCTGATTTGATTTGATTGCACAACGATGCCGGCTTCAATCGTTATGCCAGCAGTTCCCGAAAGCGCTTTGCTAAGTGCGCTTCGAAAATTAAGAGATTTGTGTTAAATATCAAATAATTTACGATTGAATATTTTATATATTTTATTTATTCTAAAGGTTTTATTGTTTCTCATCATTGTAAATGATGTATATTATGAATCAATGATTTCATTCCACCGCTCTATATTGTTCACTTTCTGTACGTAGGGTCTATTGTTACGTAATAGTAGAGGTAAACCCTATTTGCCGCAACATGAGTGATTTTTTTTAGCTTCTTAAAGAAGAACACGGCGGAGATAAGGTAGAGAAGTTAACCTCTCGCCTGAATTCTTTAGGTACTACTTGTTTATAAACTTTAAAAGACATAAAGTGCACATTAACGATGATAAAATTGATTTTTTTTTCAGCTGAAAGCAGCATTTTCTCGTGTAGGTGTGCCGTGAATTTTTTCTCTGATAATCTAGTGCTGCACGAACCGCTGCTTTATGCTAAATTTGATCATTGAAAGTGAGTAACAAAGCCTGATAAGGACCATGCCGTCGGTGGCCAGACATCGTAATTATTATCATTGAGGCCTTCAATCGACAAACATTAAGCCACGGCTGGACTTCTGCAAAACATTCGCACTCATCACACTGAATAATTAAGTAGTGTTAATCGGAGTTAAGTAGTGTTTTTGTTATCGAGTGGGCCTACTAAAAGGTGAAAAAATTGACTGCGTCAATAAAAATATTTCGAACTGTTTAGCATTATTAACGTGAACAGGGGCCGCAAAAAATTTTAATATTTCGAAAGGGGCCACGAGCCCAGAAGTTTGGGAAGCCCTGGGCTAGACCACTCCATTCCCCAAATTAGAGCCTATTATTGCCATATTATAGTCCAGATTGTAATAAGTAATTAAAGTTACCGGTAACAGTAAAATTACTATAATTAAGTAAGGCAGTAAGGTAGGATATGGAAATAAATTGGTTACAAAGGGTGTAAGTGAGGTTTTTCCATTCTTGGGTATTGATTTCAGACAAGGATATAGGAATAAAATTGTTATTTCACAAGATATCGGAGTCTTTGTTTGATTTTTTCCTTATGTGTTTTCTTCATTTAATCACTTTGAAGTGATGACGTTTATGACATAACAATCTGGTCGGTACCTCGCAACAGCTTGATACCGGGTTCCCTTTTAACGTTATCCCATTACAGCATTAGAAGTGCATGAATCAAAGAGGAGTACAGACTATTCTGGGGAGGTACCGGTACCGCTAATTCTATTTTGCAGGGGCCATGTCAGAGGGGTTACCCGAGACTAAATCTCAATCCTTCCTACAGTCCTATGCCAGTACTGCAGTATGCGTAAGCTATAATACAACTGTACAAGAATGCCGTACCGTAGCAGTCAGCAGGAATATACATGACTACCGTATACACAATACCATGTAATTCAAGAGTCCCACTGCACACTAACACTGAATGTATTTCTACAGACTTCCTCGGACAAGCAGTTTACATCAATGGCAAGAAAAGAACCGTGGTTGTCAGTGCTTTGTGCTGCAGGTGATGTTGCAACAACCACCGATAGATGTCGCACGCTGGAATGGGATGATAAAATGTAATGATTTGAAGTTTTGTATTCGTTCTTGTTACAAAATGACATAATAGTACTGTACTTTCTCATCTGCCCTTTACCTTTATATTATAAAACACACACAAATTTTTAAAAACACAGAGCGGAGGTTGAAGGCCACTTACGACGAAGAAAATAAAATGGAAACTACGATAATATACACAGTATACACCTCAATGGTTTTGCACTAGTTTTAATTATTGTGTTTCGAATCAAAAGTTTAAAAAGTACGATAAATTTTGTACTTTTCGAGAAATGGGTGTACGCTACTTTTTGAGTGTACTTCAAATTCGTGCGGCACCCCCTGCGGGGTCGCGAACCCCAGTTTGGGAAGCCCTACTCTATAAGACCTGACAATTGCATGACCCTGTTGACTCTACGCAGATGCTTTGCTTGCGATGGCTCCGTGGTTCCACGGCACACTGGTTCTCATGCATTTTAGCATTTTTTTCTTGTTTGTCAGCCATACGGCCGTGCGATCTTCAGAGTCAACTTCAACCTATTTTGTACAGTTAAAATACAAAACCAGCGATAACGTAAGGACATCAGAACTCGGGAGCCACATTTATTTTTGAGACCGGAGACAAAATTTTTAAATAACGAAACCTAAATCAGACCTGTGGCTAGAAGTAGCTACATTTCAGGACTAAATCCCATTTGAAATTTTTTTCTAGAATTGCATCTAAAACAAATAACTCGTCCTATTGAGTTTTCTCCCATTTGGCATCAATGGGAACATCGAACCGGTACATTGGATAGGCGCTACTATGGCAAGATAAAATCATTATTCTCCTAAAAATCAGTCGGTTTCAACCGGGCTTCCGCGGCACCCCGGGTTGCAGCAAGTACAATCTCGTATGCTTTCATTAAAATTCGAGAGGCTATATTAATACATATTATACTGTATATTGTTTAAATGTAATCAAATGCTATGAGGTTTGCCGCTTTTATTGGTCTTGGTACACTTCGAAGGTTCTTGTTTTGCCAGTACTAGGTTTGTTTTTTGGACGCGAAATGGATTTATGAATCATTTTGTTATTGGACACGTTTAGTGGCCATAACGATCGTTTCAATATTATGTTGTTGTTGTTGTTCTTTGACACGTTTTTAAAAAATCGCTTTTCTCTTCGAATACTGGACCAATTGCTTTGAAATTTTCAGTGGTTAAAGATTAATTTCTTCACTAGAAGGCTATTACTTTTATTTATTTCAAAATTTTGCTGTATTATTTTTTATCCATGGGAACACGGATTTTAGTCAGTGTCATGACTGGCTGTACGTTTTGATTCTGCAAAATTCTTGCTACTGGAAATTCAGAACTTTTTTGAGGGTACCGGTAGCGTCAAAGGTACCGGTAAAGACTGATTCGCTCTGGTCTAACGTGTCCATATATTTGTGCGTAGCTCTCTTGTTATTACGTTGTTGTTGTAATTTTTGTTGTTTTAGGGCCTAAAATTTAGGCTATCTCGTTTCGAACGCCGACGGTCGCGTCGCTTGCCGATGATCGGTACCGTTTAGAAGTATTTATAAATTACCGAAAACGTTTTCGGATGGTTTTAAAAAAGTTAATTGGTATTTCAGATCATAGGCGGGAAAAGACCAAATTGCAAAGCAGCATCTATTTCTCGTATTCACTAAGAAGTATTCTGCGCCCCATTTCGTTCATAACCTACGAAAGACGTTACTAGAAATATATCAATTATATTGTTTTGTCATAAAGTATGTAGCATCGTTTTCAGTTACCGTACGCATTAGCGCGGGCAGGCCGTCCAAATGGGAAGCTTAGAAAATTGTCATTACAGGGCGCGGAAATTTCCTGGAAGCGGCTTTTAAACAATCACCTCTAATATAGCACTTGATAAGGGAGACTCTCAGGTATTCCGCGTTAAATTGTTGTTTCCTATTTTTTGTATATTCTTGCAAATTTTCTGATAGAAAAAATCTAATGTCAATTAGCACATATTTTATTATACGAAAA